GCCCATTTAGAGAGGGGACGCATTCCCGTCTCATGTGATCAGACACCTTCATTATCTGGGCATGTACTCATTAATCTAGAGAGATATCTGTGAAAGTATTCTAAGGATATTCCTTTCACCAGTATAACAAATGTAAATAAATCATATCAACCTCCGAGTACCAAGACGGCGATCACGGGAGTTGGACCGATTCCGCGATTCCGCCCCCACTTGACGTTGGGGGTTTAGTAGTACGTCGATGCAGGGGGATGTCCAACTTGCCTTCTTACATCCTACTCGATATGGATGTTGCCCACCCCCGCAAGAAGCTCACCCTCTCCTGTTCGCGATGTCGCGCCTCCAAACTAAAATGCGATCGCAAGGAGCCTTGTGTGAGTGTGCCTAAAATCGTATGGAATTGCGAACTCATTGTTTCTAGTTGGAATGCGTGAAGCGCGACTGCGCCCACCTATGTACCAAGGGTGAGCGTCAACCGAGAGCCAAGCGGACCAAAACCCAACGTATAGAACAAAATCGCAGCCAAGTGACGCTGGAGGAAGAGGAAGAACCGGAGGTCGAAGAAACGGCGCAGATCTTAGAGCATTTCGTGGATGTCATTCCTATCCCCACCGAATCAGCGGACGTGGCCCCTGACATCCCCAATCGATACTGGGTGACCCAGGATCCGCAGAGGCACGACCAAAAGTTTGCCTTGATCCGAGATGTGGTTCACGCCCTGCCAGAATGGAATATCATCCAACTCCTCTACGAGGTCTTTGTCACGCGTTGCCAGGGACCACTGGGAAATGTGGTGCACACCCCAAGCTTCATGAAGCAAGCCGATCAATTGCGTCACTGCTTAAGTATGGCTTCCCCCGACGCGGCCATCGCCAGTACGCTATCTCTGGACTCTCTTGCTGGTTTGCTTCTCGCGGTGCCGCTCTCCTCTAAACCCACTGGGTCTAGCGTCGGCTGACTGTTTCCACGCAGCTCGTGCTTGGACTCGCCTTTTATCCAACCCCGTCCCTTTTGGGTGTCCAACTCACCCCGTTGACTTTCCGCGTGGAGCAACTGCGTGCCTCGGATGAGCCTGCAGCGACATGGCGGTCCCTCAGCGTGCGTTGTCTCCAGGGAGGTATTTCCCTCTTTTGTGGCTCTATCTCCAGCTTACAGGCGGCCATCATGCTTCTGTTGGATAGAAAAGAGACCTCGTTGGGGCTTGATGCCGTCTTAGTTACCGCCATTTCGGGTGCGCGCAAACTTGGATTGCATCGCTTAGGCAATGCCATTTTGGATACCTCGCCTTCCTTAGATTATAGCTCTGCGACTGCTGAACCACCTCACATTCGCACCGAGATTGCGATTCGGATTTGGTAGGCACCCCAAATACCCGTATTTTTCCACTTAGGGCGAAGCGCTAATCATTCGGGACCACTAGGTGGGCTCTTGTTATAAGAGACTGGTCGCGCGGACAAGCTCTTGGCTACTATACCATCCGCCCCTCACAATTTAATACCCGGATGCCATTGCACCTCAAAGATGACGATCTGCTCAGGGCACATGGCAAGATTCCCGAGCGCCCTCGCTCTGAATTTACCATGCTGTCCTATACGGTACACGCGTTGGAGTTGTCCAGCATTGTGCGGGAATCAATTGATCTCGGGGACGCCGCAAACGAAGCTGCCCAGCGGCGCCAGCACCTCAATCGAAAGTACGAAAAATATGTGGCAAGTTTGCCGTCTTACTTTAGATTGGGAAGCACCGTCGGACTCACAGCCATAGGTCCCATGGCCGCCATCCCAGTCCAACGATTCATGTTGCATCAACAGCTGTGGAGTCTCCTCCTCCGCCTGCATCGCTCTACTCTCTCTTCTCCCATGGGACGCGCATCCTGCCAGCAGCTGGCTCATAACATTATCAACACGCAAGCCCAGATCCAAGCCCGCTGCACTGTTTGTGGCTCACTATCCACCAACGAAACGCAACTCTTCAACGCGACCGTTGTGCTGGTCTTGGGGCTGCTGTTTGATTCTCCGTCGACCGAGGCCGAGCGCTCGAGTGCCCAACTCGGTCGCTTAATGACGCGAGACCATATTCGGGAGGCCATTGAACTGTTGCGTACCAAAAATTCGCCTGAGGGATCCTCCGGGGACGCTATACCCCAAGAGCCGCTCCAAAGCTCGGTGTCGCGCAGTGTTGTGGCCCTCGAGGCACTGATGAAGTTGGAAGAGGATTCAGGTGACGGTGTCAACCGCCATGCGGGATCAAACCAGAAGCGTCCCCTCTACCACCAGGTGGTGGAGATTCTGAAGACCTTGAATGGTCCAACCACTCCCGCTGATTTACCCGTTCCAAGATTATCGACCCCTGGGGACACCTCTTTGACTCTCTCCATTCCTGTCGCGGACGGCTTCCCCGATCTAGATGTAATGCCCATTCTGTCCAATGGCCTGAGTCTTAATATGGGGGACTTCTTGGACTTCCAGCTACCGGAAGATGTAGGCAAAGAGAAGTTCTTGCCTATGGCCGGAGACGTTTACGGGGCAATGGGTGTTACCCACGCTTTGTATCCAAGCCAAAGCAATAGCCTCTCGGGGACGCGCTTGACCCATGAATCCCCGTCGTCTATGGGGAGTGAACCTACGTTGGACCCCGCGATAACCCCTTCGAGCGCTGACGCCTTTGCGGCTGCTAACTTTTACGAAGTCATGGGAAATGGGGGCCTTCCGCCCTGGTGAGACATTGGCTGACCGGTTGCACTTGGACTATACGCCCAGGTGTACAGTATGTGTGTGACATCATTTACCCCGACCCATCGCTGGATGATATACAGGCTACCACAGCTATATATATCCTTGTATGTACATGTAGAGCGTACCACTTCCTGAAGTTTTAGAGCCTTGTCAAGGCTTGTTGTAGCCTCATTGCCATTCTCAACGTTAGGCTGCCCTTATAGCGCGATTGTGATGGGTTCTTTCTTCAAGAGCCAGAGTAGAAAAGCAAAACAAAAACAAAAAAAGGACAGAACGCGAAAAGAAGCAATGAAAGATACGCAAGAGATTTGAAGGATATTCCGCAGAATGCCAGACCTCTTGGAGCCTTTTGGGTGGAACCGGGTTGTGTATCACCGTTGACCATGCGACTGGGGCAGGTGTACAGTAATATTCGAAATCAGATTTACCCCCACACTCTCTCGGTGTATTTTACAGGAAACTGTTGTACACATGCTACCTCTGCGCCCCTCTTCCTTCCTGTCTATCCCTAGCAACATGCTTCATCACCATATATTACTCCTCAGCGTCGCCCAATGTTGGGCCTAGCAATATGGCTCCGAGACTTCCCCCGCAAAGCTGAATCTCATCCGTGATATGATAGAGATCACTCAGCACTCTGGCGCCACTGCAGCCTTCTATTGGATGTCAAACGAGTGTAGGCGAAGGCTGCGTGTGACGGAGAGGCCAAGACACTAGGGAAGTGGAAGAAGAATATTGCCCAGATTGTTGGGAATGAATTCGAGAGAGTGTAGTGGGTAAAGCTCGCGAAGCTTACCAGATGGAGACTCTCTGTGTCATTGATTCATCTATATCCACGCTTCTTCCAATCTGTAGTTCCAAAGGCTGTTTTTTTTTTCCCCTTTGCTACTTGTATACAATACCCCCCTACTTAGGGTAGGCTCAATGGCCTTGCAGCACTACTTACAAGAATCAAACAATCTAATCGCAGCATAAGATAGAATCAAAACATCATTCATCAATAAATCACTATATACATCCTCCCAAGAGGGGAGTGAATACCACCCTCTAAGAGCCATCGCTAGTAGGCAAATCCACAAATGGATCATCAGCGGGATCCGAGTGCCACCGGTACTCCAGCCCGAAAGCCGTCATACGCGTAAACTTCAAAGCCTTTTCTCGGCTGTAGCCCGGGATAGGCGTCGCATCCCCGCGGAGACCGACCTTCTGCGTCTCCGGGTGGGCCTGACGATCTTCAGGCGCCACGTACGTATTCGCGATAAACGCAAATCCTGCGTCAATTCCAGCCGTCACGCCAGATGAGGTCAGGAATTTCCCATCATGGACCCAGCGGGCGCGCTTTTGCCACTTTACGCCGGGGTCTGGAGATTACGAATGTTATCAGTCTGGTTTTACGAGAACGCAAGCTGATTGCATAACAGTATTGGAAATTGACGTACGCTTGGGAGTGACTTCGTCATAAAGACGCTTGTTGGTGGTCGCCTGGCGACCGTCCAGACGGCCCGTGGCGGCGAGGAGAATTGATCCGGTACACACGGTGAAGACGTTGGGGGCCCGATCGACCAGCTGACCGATTTGCTGGAGTAGTATCGGGTCCCAGACCAGCGGCATCATGCCGAAGCCGCCTGGGATGAAGAGGGTGTCGAAGGAGTGGTCTTCGCGCAGGGCTTCGGCCAGGGAGATGGTTCCCACGATGCCTATGCCATTTTTGATGGAGGTTTCAATGCCTTGGGGTGAGGCGAAGTGGTGGAGGTTGACGAATTCCAATTTGTAGTAGTCACTCCGGGGAACAATTGCGCCAAGGGGACCGAAGAGATCGAGAGCCTCAACTTCGCTGTATACTAGCGATAATATACGGTGATGAGTGGGCATTTTGCTTTCTGATTTGTTGGACTTCGGTTAATATGAAGAAAGAGGATGGAGAGGCTAAGAGTTGAATCTCATGCCAGATGAGCCTGCAGGTACTTATTGTCCCCAGGCTGTAACGCAGGCATGCCTGACTCAGATGCGAAACTCCGTGGAGTTTTGGCGGAGTTTCGACCATCCGGGGACTCGGATTCTCAAGTTCCTCAGCGTTACCCCGGTCCAGTTATCCGCGGAAGAAAATCCTACACGATACACACCAAGCTAAAGTGAACGGTTCAGTCCGATCCCTGCTCATTGTTACGTACGCCCTTTATTTATACTCTCCAATTTCCTTTTTCTCCAGACCAGATACTTTTGCTCCGGGGATTGAAAGAACTGAAAGACCAAACAAACAACTCCAAAATGCCGACTAAGTATGGATCACCTACAGTGGACAGAGACGTCGATACCCAATGGGTCCAATGGCTCGCCAGACGCAAAACCCCAATTGCTTCACCACTATCTTCGTCGACCCCGGTGCCAATGCCATCAGCCACCCTTTATGACTCGGGTCCTCTGCACTCCCGCAGTACCGCCACCAGCTACTTTGCTCTACTCTCCGCTGCCCAAGGCCAGCAGCAACCACGTCGCCAGGGCAGGCCGCAGACACCGTCTCTATCAATGGACTCCTCCTGGGGGACCTGGCTCTTCGACCGGGGGCCACGAGGATCCAAGCGGCCAACAAGTGTAGGAGTCAATCCGCAGATGCAAACCACTTCGGTCAAACCGCAATTAATATCCACGGCTCCCGCATTCGCGGTCTCAAGCCTTGACCCCCTCCACTTCCCTTTGACTACCCCGCTTATGGACTCGGAGTCTATTCCCGGAGTTTCGGATAAGGCGTTGGGTGAATTTGACTTGGGCTTGGACTTGGATTACCCACGCCGGTAAGTACTTCAATTTACTACCAGTTCTCCGGATTCCGCTGACCGTCTCCACCAGGCCCCGGCCCCAACCCCGTTAAGGTGGCCATTGCCCTTGAGCACCTCGGTCTCTCATACGACACCGTGCCTCTGGGCTTCGGTGAAGGCAAGGGCACCGTCAAGGATCCCGAATAAACCTCCAAGGTCAACCCCAACGGACGTGTTCCCGGTCTCATTGACCACGCCAACAGCGAGTTCACTGTCTTCGAGAGTGCCGCCATCCTCCGCTACCTGGCAGACAAGGTAAAAAGCCGAACCACTCAATATAAGCCTCAAGCCTCACTAACTCCACTTAGTATGACGCCTCCGGAAGCCTGGCCGGTAAGATCGTCGAGGAACGCGCCGCCGTTAACCAGTGGCTCGCCTGGCAGGTGTCCGGCCTCGGACCCTACCAGGGCCAGCTGGTCTGGTTCCTCGCCTCCCACGAGGGCGCCCACGGCGAGAAGCCCAACCCCAGTGTCATTGCTCGCTACCAGACTGAGGTCGAGCGCCTGCGCACTGTCCTCGAGGGTCACCTCACCTCAGCGGAGAACGGCTTCGTCGCTCTCGGCCGTCTCACCATTGCGGATTTCGCCATCTTGCCTTGGTTGAAGCTTTCGGGCCTGGCCGGACCAGCCCTCAAGCCCTTCGAGGAGTACCCCGCTATCAACGCTTACATCAAGATGTTGGATGCTTTGCCCGAGGTACAGGCTGCTTACAAAAAGGCTGTTCCTCCTATGTAAAGAATAAAAAATTCGACCACATGTCTCATAGACCGCAGAAAGTTGAAGGAATTGATATATCATAACTTCTGGATATTTGCATATGATTTTTGTTTGCTCCAGTACGCTTAACAAGGATATCCATATCTAGACCTGGCCCTCACCCGCGGGTGACCCTCCGGACCCTCCACCCGACCCGCCCCGCGGGTGGGTAAGCGACCGAGTTATCGACCCTGAGGGTCGTTCACCTAGAGGTGTGAACCTCAGGGTCCCCAAACAAGACAAACAGGTAGAAAACGTGACTTACTTACGATGCATAAATTATGTAGATTTAGAGAGGATTTCTATGTATTCATTTGTAACTTTTAATACAGCAGAAGAGTAAAGAATTAAGAATCAAGAGATGAAACCAAAAGAAAATTGTATTCTTCATCGTACAATATGCACCACTATCAGTCTGCTTCAGAAATCTATTTTGACTACTACACCACAAATATTTCATATTATCTATTAAAACCAACCTTTAATAAGATTTTTCTACTCGATACTAAGAAACCTAAGGTGACGATATACAAGGTATTAGCTTACAATTTAATTTCTTTATATTTCGAAAGTCTTTATAGTAAAAGATAAGAAAAATGTAGAGGTATACCAGAACAGCTGTAAATAACAGTATTTTAAGAAGCTGAATCATCTAATTTATACGTCCGAAATAGGAAAGGCGGGGAGAAATTATGCATTTGAGGGTCGATGAGGGTCGATGCGGGTGACCCTCAAGGGACCCTTAGAGGGTCAGGGTCAGGGTCAGGGTCGGTAAGGTTGGACCCTGACCCTCTGAGGTGCGGGTGGAGGTTCCTAATCTCGGACCCGCGGGGCGGGTGAGTGCCAGGTCTAGCGAAAGCATTCGCCAAGGATGTTTTTATTAATCAGAGAACGAAAGTTAGGGGATCGAAGACGATCAGATACCGTTGTAGTCTTAACTATAAACTATACTGACTAGGGATCGGACGGGATTCTATAATGACCCGTTCGGCACCTTACGAGAAATCAAAGTTTTTGGGTTCTGGGGGGAGTATAGTCGCAAGGCTGAAACTTAAAGAAATTGATGATTAAATTTGTAACCCAATTTAGGCCGACTGTTTGAACTGGGGTAGATCCACGCCCCGCGAGTAAAATATTGGCTATTTCTCGTACAGTCGTATACCGGTGGGCTCCTCCGCGTGAATCTATTGAGAGTATCTATTGTATAAGCGATTTTTCTTCCGTTTTAGTCAATTTATGACTATTGGCGCGAGTTTCGAAGCGATTTGAAAGGCCGGTAAGACGATTCCGTAAGGAAGAAAATAGTACACTAAATTGGCGCGCTGCTTTGCGAATTGAAAAGATTTCTTGATTTTTAATAGCCTGGGTAGCTAATAAAAGCCTGCCTTCTTGCTCTATTGGATTTTGAGAGGATTGGGAGCGAATAGCATGCAATCGCTCTTTATTCTTGGGTTTTTCTATGTTGAAAGACGTACGTTTCCACGTCTGGCTTTGGGATAGCTTCCTATTGTAAGAAAGCTGTTATTGTTCTCTGCGGTATCGGAAGGATCTGTATAATAATGTCATATTAGGTTTTGTTCGAACGGAATAGTTGGGTAGAGACAAACTTGGAATACCGACGGTTTCGAAACTTATAAACAGTCTGAGTTAGTCCTTGAGGACAGCTTAGGACTGAGATAACTGGCTGCGTTCGATTCTTGTCTATTCCGTAGCCAACGGATTTCAGACAAAAGTCCTTCCCAAAACATTTCGAGATTGTTGTATTCCTATAGCCTGCTCTTCGATCTCACGAGTGATACGCTAGAGTTCCGGTCGCCCATCCTGAATTATATATTGCCACTTGTTTGTTTCAACAACTGCCAACAATATTTTGTTTTCTATAGCTAAGGCTACGCTTCTCTCCTTATTGGAGATGCTTTTTGAGGTGAGAAAAAAAAACAGTATATCTAGTGAAGTGAATCAGTCAGCCGAATGTTTCAATATTAAGAGCTCCGAACTTTATATACGACGCAGAGAGTTCTATCGTCGTATATATGGGTTTTTTTAAATATGTGCAGCTATTCTGTTAATAGTCACACTTTTATATCTCTAAAGGAATCAAGACGGTCTCAGTCCGGTCTGTATATAGTATCGTTTGTCGACTATTCGGTCTATTCTCTAAGAGTATCCTAGTATATCCGTTGCTCTAGATTGCCAAACGAAGATAATATTAGACTTTATGACTGAGCCTGCTAGGTTCTAATTGACCTAATACTAATGACAGTCTCCCTGGAGCAGTGTCAACGAAAGACAATCGATAGCACAGTCCTGTTGTTAAAGCCTCGGTTGTCCTTTTAGTAGCTTTGAGGTTTTCCAGAAGGGTATAGATACTCCGCTGCGAGATTTTGCGTGGGCACAGTGGGCCTAGTAATGTTGATCGGTTCGATCGTATTATCGTAGGCGCGAGATAAATACCAATCTAGAGTACGGTTAGTTGATGCGAAACAACGAGCGAATGAAGGCTGAACTCACTGTAGTATATTCAGAAGCGGTCTTTTTGTTTTGTTAAGTAGTTTGGAGGCAGAGGAATAATGAAGACTATTGTTTTCGAGCAAGTGGCTAGATATAATGGCATCGCTTTAGGCAGAAATATTAGGGGTGGGCAATGTTTAGAGTTCCTAGGATTCGAACGAAATAGCTATAGGCCCTTAGGACTCTAGTAATACAGCTTAGTGGGCTCCTGGGAATGCACCGCAGGCTCCCAGGAGCTCATCGGGTATTATTGTTGATGGTTTGTCTTTAGCTTACAGATTACTTAGCAATGGCGTGAAAGACATGACGGTATACGCCTAGGAAATCCTTCGGGTCGTGCGCTCATTGGCGAGAGAAGTGGCTCATCATCGTCACCTGCTGAACACTAATTCCTCCAGTTACCGATATATGGAAGGGTTCTAGATCTTTAAGGTATTCCTAGGAGCATAGACTGAAATGAGGTATTTTCTGATTGCTAGTTAGAATATGTTAGGCAAGTATGTTGCACTTCGTAGTGAACATTCCTCACTCCACTTCCACTCCATTCCCGAGGATCAGCTAACCCATTGGGGTAGGCAATCAAAATAGAAAAAGCAAATGACTTCGAGATTTGGTCTCTTAGACTGCTTGTTATCATGCTTTTCCAGCTTCTCTTTGGGTTCCTAACTCTTCCTGGGATTGCGAATTCAACAGTCAATGCCGATATCAATACAAGTATCACCTGCTATAATTCTAATGCGGTTACCATGGGGTATGCCGAGTATGTATTTATATATTTCTCATTAAATGGCACATTAACTATGTGTTATGACTCTTTAGACGAGGTTCGCACTGCGCTGGATGAAATCGACGATCAAATGCTTGATCTCTTAAATCGGCGGCTTGTAAGCCGTGTTCCGTGTCCCCTTGCACAATGAGGCTGTCCTCAAACAGGCAGAAGGGCAGTCGTTTCACATTGGGGTGCCAGTGACGACTGCACGGGCGGCCATAGGGGCCATTCTGAACTCCAGCGCTCTTTTTGAACAGTGCATTGTAAGTAAGCTGCATTGTAAGTAAGCTGCATTGTAAGTAAGCTGCATTGTAAGTAAGCTGCATTGTAAGTAAGCTGCATTGTAAGTAAGCTGCATTGTAAGTAAGCTGCATTGTAAGTAAGCTTGGTGTATTCTTAGAATTGAAACTAATCCTCTAGTTTGATGTCTATACTTCTTACAATATAATAGCCAGAGTAACACATACCGTGAGCACACACTGCTCCCACCATAAGGTTGGGGGTCGGCTCCCAAGAAGGAAGCTGGTTATGCTATGTAGGTTACGGAGTACTCCATAGGGCTAGATGAATCTTTCAAGTTCCACTTTGTGTTGAATTAATTAAAAACATGGGGATATTATTGGACCTCGAATACCCGAATTGAACAAAACATATTATCTTCAGCCTTTACGCCCGATGCCCTTGACGCTGAAATCAATCTAAGACAAAGCATTCAACCGCCAAAGCCGATATGCAGCCCTGTACGGGTTGTTTTACTATAATGTGTTGAGGACGAAATATTTTATTATACAAATGACCACAGAAGGCCGCAAAGCGAAGTTATTGGCCAAGTGCTGATGCGTGCCGTTAGCGCCCCTCCAAACCCAACAGTCCTGATGGATTTTATAACGTCCACTATGCTTAATGCCAATTAGCCAATTGTCCACCTGGGCATGTCTAAGCACCATTTTACTCCCGAATTTCGCGCCCGATGGAGATACACAGGGAGGGTGCACCGTTGTCGGACACGCCAGATACGCCTACCGAAACCCGAACACGAGTCCGCCGCTGGCATCACCGAGGGTTTACAGGATGCTCGACCTGTCGCAGCCGCCATGTTCGCTGCGATGAGGCATCTCCCGCCTGTAATAACTGTGTCCGTCTTGGGCGCAAGTGTGATGGCGCTCAAGGGCGGATGACGTTCAAAGTCTACGGGCCCTCCCAGGCACCGACCGATTCACCGCTAAAGCCGTCCAGTGCACCAAAGAGACGAAACGATGTTTCAACATCCAGCTCAGAGTTAAGCGACACTTCTGCAGTTTCCCCATCAACGGAGAGACAACATGTTGACAGCAACCAAATGCGCAAGGCTATGATCGCCCGGCCAACCCTACCACAACAAACAACCAAGTTCCGCTTCCAGGATCCCGTCACGTCACTCAGTATCGCGAAATCAATTCAGCGTATCGAAGAGCGTTATCTCACACACTTTTTGGATCGAGTATCAACCTTATTGATCATCCACAATACCCCCCACAATGCCAATCCCTACCGCACACATTTCCCAGACTTCGCCCGGTCGTCTCCAACAATGGCCAATGCAATGCAGGCATTGGGTGCATTACATCTTGCGAATACCTCGGTAGGGGCGCAGCGCAATAAGCACTTCCAGCAGGCAATGGGCAAATATGGCGTAGTGGTGAAGGGCTTCCGCGCACGATACTCAGATCCAAATCAGCAGCTTGGATTGGCGGATTTCGCGACGTGCCTATTACTTTCTATATTCGAGGTTCGTTTTCTTCCTGTCTTGCAGACCTGCCAGTCATGGTGAATTGACTAATGTTCCTGCAGATGATGGATTCCCAACACCACAACTGGGCAGTACATCTGAAGGGAGCTCGCGAAATCTACAACCTCCTCTTCTACCCGCAACCTGGAGACCCGGCACGTGAAATGCAGCGCCTCGCCGAGACTAACCACCCGGTCCGCCCATTCCTTGTCTCCCTATTATCCTCCCTCGATGTGGCAGGTGCATGCGCAACTCCCGGCGGTACCGTGGTCGAAGGCAGTTACTGGAAAACCATGGGTGGGGGGTGGGAATACAATCTTGGGACACCAAGCTTATTGTCAACGATCCCCGACAACCCACATCTGGTCGAGCTTCGGCAGGCATGGTGTAGCCTGATGGAAGTGCGGGCATCTATCAGTACATTTGCATCGGACAAGAAAACATGGATGACCGTCGACCAGTCAGACGCGATGTATAAGGAGATCTTCAACCGACTAGTTGTATGGCGTGCCATGGCCCCGCCCTGTCTACAGCTACTCGCCGATTTAGATGATGAGAGCCTTGCTCGGTATCCGTATCCTGACATTATTGAGTATGCGAGCTGCGTTGAAGCGTACGAGAAGGCGACATTCCTTCATCTGCTTCACGTCGCTGGAGCTGGGCGTGTCGATTGGGTCACTGATTGGACCTATACGAGCATGCTTGTCAGTCGGATTCTTCTGCTTGTTTACAAATTGTCAAAAGATGTTGCCCAATTGGCTTCTCAGTGGCCGCTTTTCATTGCCGGACAGGAGACGAGGAATGAGGCTGAGCAGAAATACATTCGCCAAACCATGCAAGATTTAAACCGGTTTGGCTTCAGAGTATGTTGCAAACGAACTTCATCAAGAGGCCAGTCCGAATGCTAATATCTCACAATTTAGAACATCGAGAAAGCGCTCGACATCCTAGAAGGGATCTGGTTCAAGCGACGTTCCTTTCCTGGGGGTTGGATCCAGACTTTGGAGGAGATTCAAACGAATGTCCTTGTTCCCTGATGGGACGCTGGCTAGAGTCGATATTTTCATGCCTTCTCGTCTTCTTTACCGGCACTCCGTGCGTGGCCTGTATTGTACATTGACGAACCTTTTTATGGAGGAGGCACCCTCCTCAACTCATTGAGGTGCTCTCGAACAACCACGGAAATTCTCCGCCGCTTATTCTTCCCCTGCTCTCAATGACGCCGATGTCATACATATCTTGCCTTGCTTTTTCTTTGATACCCCATGACTTCAACTTGAGACTTCCATAGCTACAGAATTTTCTGATGGCTTTTCTACATCGCAGCGTGTATATGAAGCAACGTATATAGGCCAGAAAAATGAGAATATAACCATCATGGCCCGACTCTTCACCCAGGTAGCGAGCCCGTATTAGGCACACAAAGTCTAGCCCGAGGCCACTTGAACAACTATTCTACCTTTAACATATAAATCGAGACTTGATATAACAGCGCAATAGAGCAATGTTGTATAATGTATAATAGCGGCTATGGCTATTGGTGGAGACGCACCAGACTTAACAGATACAAACTAGCAAATACAAACAGGAAGACTGTGGCCAGCTTACGTCTCTACCATCCGAATCGTGATCGACAACAGAAGTTAGAACTAGTAATAATAATATCCAAATGGTCCCCAGCAAACATCTATTCTAGTCAGATTATCATTGTTAGCGATGTAGAAAGCGCTTCACACCCCGCATAGCTTGCTGAAACTGTTTGCGACACCTTTCCAGCTTCTGGTAGACAGTTCTTCAGTGAATCAGGTTATGGGATTGGCCTTTTGACTACATCTGCAGTTTTCCACATTGATGGTACCGAATCAAGTATATTGGATAGAGATTTCTGGGTCCAACTTGCGATGATATGCTGCCGGTCTACGTGGCCAACTTTATGCACCAAATAGGTCTCCTCCAGCAGTTTCCTTCGTTTTCGTTATTGGCTAATACCTATCGTCTTCCACACCTAGCTCTATTGCCACAAGATCTGTCGGTTCTTCGTCGTCCTCCTAGAGTCCTACATGTTAAAATTGCTGGAGGAGACCTGTTCGGTGTATAAAGTTGGCTACGTAGCGGATAGCCTGCGGGTTAGATATAAGCTTATTGTAGTCCTTGTCCTTTACTCCTACCTTGTCGAACTGCTTCTATATCTTCACCCGAGGCCCGGTATACAACGGACATTGCATCAGGATATACCTCGGTGTTTGTGAACCTGCGTCGCAGCTGTATTGGTCTGTCTCTGAGGCCTTGATCTTGAACAAGAAGTGACGGAGGCCGATCCTCATTGTGCGTATCTGGATCAGAATCGCACATTGTGGTTTCGTTATATAGACGAAGGGTCTTCTTGTTCGGCGCCTGTACTAAGCGCTTTGTAGGAGCCGAGGCACTGCTTCTCCCACCGCTCTTGGATACGCTGACGTACCAGTCTCTTAGCAGCTGCGGGGGATGCGGATTAACGGATTATCCGGCCCGGTCGCAACTTCTATCCCCGCACCTAGAAGCGCTGCACTCTGTGCTTCTCTATCGGCATATTCTTCAGGGGCACTTACTGCGGTCTTGTACGACTGGGCTGCGCGTATATGCCAATACCACAACTGCTCAAAACATGGCCACATAGGAAACACCCGTGATGTCCCTTCGGCAGTCATTGAGAGGTATGCTGGTACCTGATGGTACCTCTCTCTCTCGCCTGTGCGAGAGCCTGTATCCTCTCAATCTCTCTGATAAAGTCGGGGCGCCGCTTCGACTATCCATTGTATGCGCCCCCGTAGTTAGCGCACTTTTGTTCATAGAGTGTTGCGTCCCTCTTACGCTGGCAGTCTCGAGAGCGATATTTCTTCGCGCAAACGACACACCTTGTGTCATTGGAACAGGTGTTTCATATGTGACCGTATTTTTGGCAGTTGTGGCATTGGCGTATACGCGCAGCCCGGTCGTACAGGACCGTGGTAAGCACCCCCGAGTCCTAGAGTGTTCCAATATCGATCGACTTATTCGCAGTGTACGGTGAGGTGAATTCCACAATAAGCGATCCAGATTTCTTATTCTCCGGGAGGACCAGCTATGAGATCTGAGTGATCTATGTACCATCTCCCCAGTGGAATATGTTCTCAGTAAGCAATTGCTTACTGATCGCCTGTTTCTGGCCTTGCTCTGTGAGCCCAGCCGCCGTATTGACCCCGAGAGATCGCACATTGACATCATGCATAACAACCCCCCTGCTCGGCAATCGCACCTCCGATCCCTTCCACAAGCGTTTGACCCAATTCTCGCGGTGACACCTCATAATCTCTGCCTCCTTCGCAGTGCGCAGACTGAACGATATATCCCCCGATTTCAATTGCCTAGTATTGGCGGTTATAATTGAATTAAAGACATCAACTGGAGCGGAGATCCTGCTACACAGAAGATGGAATATTGATGTGTGGTGATGATGATCTCACTAACCCGATGTAGCTCGCTGTTACATACATGCTGCTATGCGGGTATAGCGTTTTAGAGCCTGCTCCTCAACGACAAATGGTGGTGTATCCCCAGTATACACCCACCCCTGTAAGTCACCGCTTTCTCGTGTCAATTATAGCAGCGTCCACGGTACCTCTATCTACTATGTAAACCCCTAACATGATTATCTACGGATAATTTGACTTTCTTTACGTTTATTTCTTTTTTCTTGTTTCCATGCCGGCCGGTTTGTGGCCTTACATTTCAGGTTGCAGGAACTCGGCGATCGAGTACTGTATACAGAGGAAAGCGGTCAGGAAAGCGGTCAGTACCTGAAAATCAAATATGGCCTATAATCGTGCCAAGCCCACCAAGACACTACCCGGTGTTGGTGGGCTGCACCGGATAGCAAATTATCACCAGATAGCAAATCATATGGATTAGGTATCTTTTGTATGGCAACTACATACAAAAGGTACATAAACACTAGGTAGATATAATATCCATTTTTCTCAACTTTCAAACTAGCTTAAGGAAAAATAAACAAGTAGAATTCTAAAATAGATCTTGGTTAATCGATTTGCTACTAATAACGATTCCCAATTTATGATATAGAAGTATAAAGAGCATTTTGAAACACACACACATAAATACAGTATGTAAAAGCAAAACCATTCTTTTACTTTAGAAACACTTGATAATTTTCAGTAAGCTTAATACCAAGTAATTGAAACTTCATTTATACTATATATATCTTCTTATATCCTTCCTACCTACATAGTTTAGAGCTAAAAAGAATAGAGGTTGCAACCAGGCTGTATTTAGGTACCTTTTGTATGGAGTTTCCATATAAAAGATACCTAATCCATGTGATTTGCTATCTGGTGATAATTTGCTATCCGGTGCAGCCCACCAACACCGGGTAGTGTGTTGGTGGGCTCGGCACGATTACGGAGTAAATATACTATATACTATATGTATAAGTGCAAAGAGCACCTTAACCCACATCGCTGTATCCTACGAAAAGTCATACGTTTACTGCCTTTGTGTAGAGAACATCCGAAAACACATCCAAGTATTCTTACATGTGAGTCTCAAATGTTGAGAAATATACTTCAAGGACAGAGGCTGAGCGGTCTATACTGTAAATATTGTTAAAAGTTTAACCATTCTCAAGCATTCTCTGTAGTTTATGTGTGTACCTTTTGTATGGAGATTATATAGAAAACATACTTAATCCTACAATTTGCCGGTCGGGTCCACTCAACAGGTTAAGTGGGCTTGACACGATGACTGGCCTGGTTTAGGTCTTAGTGCCTGGACAGTTCCCAAAGGGGCTCTTACCAGGGAAAAAAAGATTTGAAGGTTACAATCCGGACCCTTTGTAGTGTTACAGAAACAGGAGAAACGGATTATTATATATGAGAACTATATATATATATACATATGTCCATATATACACATATACATATATACTCCCACTTCTCTCAAACCACCTATAAAGATCAAGTTAAATTCACTCGGATCAGACAACTCCGACTTAAATCTATTTACTGATTCGGACCCTCTCCGAATAAAACTTAATTGCCGATTTTTATATTACAACAGGCAACTTACAGGGAAAAACTACAGAAAAACCAAGGAAAAAAAATGCAAGCCTCTATATAAAAACAAGAAAAACAGTCCAAAGTCATGAAGTCCATTGTGGAGTCTCCTAAATCTTGCCGGTGGATCATTTGGGAACGTTTTGACTGCGGGACTAGCCTAGAAAGTCTATCACCCTAACCTTTGGAAACCCTTGCAGCTAGAATTTTCTGACCTCTTCTCATCCAAACAAAAAAACAACAACTGACATTTGGGATTTCTTCTCCATATCTCTGTGCCAAATCCAGAGATGGCCTCTAACGAACCCGTCGCCGGTCCCGCTGACCTCCTCGCCGCTCAAGGTGAAGGTACTCGCGCTGAGATCAAGGAACAGGATGATGCAGCCTTGCTGGTAAGTGATGCAGCCTTTTTTTTTATGGTTTTTTTTTTGGAAATCTCAGACTAACATCGTAATCTTCCTAGCAAACCTTGGGCTATAAGCCGGTATGTTGAATCGTATAGATTAAGATAGTCTGTGATCAGCAACTAAATCAGCTAACCAGGTTCTTCATCGGACATACACTTTGTTCGAGAATTTTGCAACCACATTCGGTACGATTTTCGCTGTTCACCACTTTGCGGGCGCATTCGTGCTGACTTTTTTTTTTAAGCTGCTCTTTACTTTGTCGGTGGTGTTCGCGTTACTTTCAGTACCGGTATTGCCGCCGGTGGAAACTTGGCTTATTGGACCAGTTACCTAGTAACTATGGTGTTCACCTTCATCACTGCTGCTGTCATTGCTGAGGTGTGTTCGGCTTCTCCGTCTGCCGGGTCAATTTACTTGTGGGCCGCCGAAGCCGGTGGGCCTCGATTTGGCCGACTTCTTGGATTTATCGTGGCCTGGTGGAGTACAACCGCCTGGACGACCTTCTGTGCAAGTATGATATACATATATCCTCAAGGACCGCGCGATGCTAATTTGATTATAGGCAATACTCAGGCCGCCACAAACTATATGCTTTCGGTATGCTCTTTTTTCCTTCGTGATTTCCCCGGGATTGGCACTGATAGATCGCTTTTTAGGAAATCACTGTATTCGAAATCGATTTCCCGTCAGATGCAAGCAGTGTCAAATTCCGTTCAGTCCAGTGGATCTGCACTGAGGTCTTGCTTGCTCTGGCCGCTTTGCTGAACTTTTTGCCTCGTATGTACAGACGTGTAACTTTTGATTTACTCTGTCTGACAACATTTTAGCTCGCTATTTCAAGTTTGTCTTCTGGCTGTCCTCCGCAGTCGTGATGCTCGACTTTATCCTGAACCTTATCTGGCTGCCCATTGGTACTGCTCAGACCTGGGGATTCCGTACCACCCACGAGGCCTTTATGACCACGTACAACGGTACTGGAGCCCCAGATGGCTGGAACTGGTGTCTTTCTTACCTTGCTACTGCTGGTATTCTGATCGGATTCGATGCCTCGGGTCACGTTGCCGAAGAAACTAAGAATGCCTCTATCACTGCTGCTCGTGGTATCTTCTGGAGTACCGTTGCCAGTGGCTTCGGTGGCTTGGCTACTATTATTCTCTTTTTGTTCTGCGCGGTTCGTCTCTGGTCTCTGCGAATCTCAAATCTCAAATTTCTGACTTTTTCTTTCCCCCTTTAGCCTAGTGCAGATACACTTATGAGCTTCGGCTCGCCCCAACCCTTTGTGCCCCTTTACGCTGTTGTTCTGGGCAAGCGCGCCCATATCGTCATGAACCTCATTTGCATTTTCGCTCTATGGCTGGTGAGTTATCATCTGTGTGTGTATGAATATCTCATAGCTAATTTTGTTTTCTAGAACACCGCAATTGCCATCATCGCCGCCTCTCGTCTGGTCTTTGCCGTCGCCCGTGATGGTGTACTCCCCTTCTCGGGCTGGGTTTCTCGTGTAAAGAACGGACAGCCAAGGAACGCAGTTATTGTCGTCTGGGCTGTCGCCGCCCTGGTCACTTGCACGATTCTTCCATCCGCCACGGCTTTCACTTCTCTCGTCTCGGCAGCCGGTGTTCCCAGCGCTGCTGCTTACGGTCTGATCTGTTTGGGTCGACTAATCTGCACTCCTAAGCGCTTCCCAAAGCCGCAGTGGAGTCTCGGCCGCTGGAGCAAACCGTTCCAGTTCATTGGTGTCTTCTGGAACGGCTGGGTTGTCGCTGTCCTGTTCTCCCCCTACGCGTTCCCCGTCACGGGCGAGAACTTGAACTGTACGTTGGTCTTTTTTCATGGGTTTCCTTTTCGTCTCGCTTACTTCAACAGATGCCCCCATTATCATGGCCGGAGTCACTATCCTGGCATTGATCTCTTACTACATGATGCCTGAGAGTGCTTGGCTCCCTCAAGAGCGTATCACTCACTTCATTGATAGTAAGGGTGCTACTGAGACTGTGGAGGAAGTTAGCTCTGACCATGGTGAATCGAGCACCGCTCGATAATATGGAGAAATGTGGAGGATTGTGGGGGTATTAACTGGTTACCAGTTCCTAATTCTGGACATATAATGTCTCAAGAGGTTGCTGTAGATCGCTTTCGAGCTTAGACGATATAATATTCTATCTAATCCTAGCTAATTCTAGCTGATGAACATTGCTATACTATCAAAAACTACTATACAAAAAACACTACTAAATCCCGCTATCATTCCGAAGTTGGTGTAAATGTGGAGCTTATCTTCCCCCGCGTTTCATGATTATGCGGGGGATAAATGCTAGAGGATATAGATTATAGGCTATAGAGAAAATATGAAATCCAGACACCTAAGCAGTCTATATAAATAGCAAAATATCCGGGGAGGTTCCATCGCAAGGTAGGAATGTGAAATCAGAGCCGCTTCCCCTCTTTGCTTGGACGTTCTGCCGAGGATCGGTGCTTTGTCTCAAAGTCGGTTCCCCTCTCCCCTTTTCTCTTCTTTCTTCCGTTGTCTTTCTTTCTACTGTGGCTCTCAAGGTCTTTGTTTTTTAAAGCTCTAATTTTGCTTTTATCTGTCCCGCCTTTCGGTCTGGACTGGATGCGGCACCCCGGTCCTTCTACCCCTTCCTACGTCCAATAGGCATTCTTTAAATGAGACAAAAAGACCCGATACAGCGTGCAGCTTGCAGGAACTCACAATGAGCGCTCCAGCTTCGCTGCGGTCAGCATTACGGCCTTGTTTGGGGGCGTCCATTGCTCGCGCGGGGAAAATTTTCCTTCCGGTGACGTCGGGTAAGCTTCTCCAAATTTAAGTGTTGGAACACCAGTTGAGCTGTTTTCTGACTACTTTTCTCTCCCTAGCTTCTCAAATTCGGCAATTCACATCTTTCACATCGCAAAATAAACGTCTGTCCGTTTGCCAGCCGCGATGGCCGTCCATTTCCAAACGAACCGCTATAACCTCGGCCGAGTCACCTCCATCCGAGCCCGTGTCTACCACCCCCTACTCAGACTTGACTGTGGGAGTTCCTCTGGAGATCTTTCCCGGTGAACGCCGTGTGGCAATCACCCCGCAGAATGTCGCCCTTCTGTTGAAGAAGGGAGTCTCCCGTGTGCTCATCGAACATGGTGCAGGCGAGCGCGCTCAGCTACTGGACCAGGCCTACGAAAAAGCCGGCGCGACAATGGTCGATCGGGACGCGGTCTGGTCTCAAAGCGATATCGTGTTAAAGGTCCGCAGTCCTCAGTCAGAGGGACCATTCAATGAAATCCAGGCTTTACGCAAAGGTTCGACCGTCATCTCTTTCATCTATCCCCTCCAGAACAAACCACTCGTCGAGGCACTTGCTGCTCGTGGCGTGACCTCCTTCGCAATGGATCGTATTCCACGAATCTCTCGTGCACAGACGTTCGATGCCCTCAGCTCCATGGCCAATATTGCAGGTTATAAGGCGGTGCTGGAGGCTTCTAATCACTTTGGTCGCTTCTTGACTGGTCAGGTTACTGCAGCTGGAAAGATTCCTCCGAGTAAAGTTCTCGTGATTGGCGCTGGCGTAGCTGGTTTGAGTGCTATCGCGTCTGCCCGCCGCATGGGTGCTATTGTTCGTGGCTTTGATACCCGTCCTGCTGTGCGCGAGCAAGTCCAGTCTTTAGGTGCCGAGTTCGTCGAGGTTGATTTCCAGGAGGATGGCTCTGGTCAGGGTGGATACGCCAAAGAAATGTCCAGGGAGTTTATCGAAGCTGAAATGAAATTGTTCATGGAGCAAGCTAAAGAGGTTGATATCATTATCACCACGGCTCTGATCCCAGGCAAACCTGCACCGAAGCTCATTACTAAGGAAATGATTGCTGCAATGAAACCCGGCTCTGTTATTGTTGATCTTGCCGCTGAGGCTGGTGGCAATTGTGAAGCTACTGTGCCCGGGGAATTGAGCTCCTACAAGGATGTTACTATCATTGGCTACACGGACCTTCCTTCTCGTCTTCCTACCCAGTCTTCAACGCTGTACTCGAACAACATCACAAAGTACCTTCTCTCCATGACTCCCCAGGAGAAGTCCTTTGGGATTGACTTTAAAGATGAAGTTGTACGCGGATCTATCGTGACTTTAAATGGTGAAATAATCCCCCCTGCTGCTCCACCCGCTCCACCCCCAACCCCAAAGCCAGAAGCACAAGCTGTCGCGGCAAAGGAAGAAGTCGCTTTGACGCCGTGGCAAAAGACAACACGGGATGTGACAGCCGTTACAGGTGCAATGGGTACGACCCTAGCCCTAGGAAAGGCAGCCGGTCCAATCTTTATGGGCAATATGATGACCTTTGGACTTGCTGGTCTGGTCGGATATCGTGCTGTGTGGGGTGTAGCACCTGCGCTCCACTCTCCTCTCATGAGTGTCACAAATGCCATTTCGGGCATGGTCGGCATTGGTGGACTGTTCATTATGGGAGGAGGCTATGTGCCGACCACTATCCCAGAATACTTCGGTGCTGCCTCCGTACTTCTGGCTTTCGTGAATATCTCCGGTGGCTTTGTGGTCACGAAGCGCATGCTGGATATGTTCAAGCGTCCCACCGACCCTCCTGAGTACCCATGGCTGTACGCTGTTCCCGCTCTGGTGTTTGGTGGTGGCTTCATTGCGGCTGCCAGCACTGGTATGTCCGGTCTGGTCCAAGCCGGTTATCTCGTCAGCACAATGCTATGCATGGGCTCAATCTCTAGTCTGGCATCGCAGGTAACAGCCCGACGCGGCAATATTTTCGGTATCTTGGGAGTAGTCTCCGGTATCCTGGCCTCGCTGGCTGCGGTAGGCTTCTCTCCTGAGACACTGACGCAGTTCACGGCTGTTGCTGGAACAGGCGCCTTGATCGGAGGCTTGATTGGCCGTCGTATCACACCGACCGGTCTTCCCCAGACCGTCGCTGCTCTCCACTCAGTGGTGGGATTGGCTGCTGTTCTGACTAGTGCTGGAAGTGTGATGGCCGATATTGGTGATATCACAACTCTGCACATGACGACGGCATACCTGGGTGTTCTGATCGGTGGTATCACCTTTACAGGTTCGATCGTCGCTTTCCTGAAACTGGCAGGTCGCATGTCATCCAAGCCGACGCTTCTGCCCGGCCGACACCTTATTAATTCGACACTATTGGGCAGTAACGTTGCAACCATGGGAGCGTTTATTACAATGGCACCAGGAAGCCCTGCAATTGCAGCTATCTGTCTGGGAACAAGCACCATCCTCAGTTTCCTGAAAGGATACACTACGACAGCAGCCATCGGCGGTGCCGACATGCCCGTCGTCATCACGGTGTTGAACGCTTATTCCGGGTTTGCTCTGGTGGCTGAAGGCCTGATGCTCGACAATCCACTTCTCACCAGTGTCGGATCCCTGATCGGTGTCAGCGGTTCCATTCTCTCATACATTATGTGCGTCAACATGAACCGGTCGCTGACGAATGTCCTGTTCGGTGGAATCGGAACTCAGACTGCGCAACCGCAGAAGAAGATCGAGGGCGAGATCACACAAACCAGTATCGATGACACCGTGGAAGCTCTTTCCAGCGCTGAGAATGTCATCATTGTGGTTGGCTATGGTATGGCCGTTGCCAAGGCCCAGTATGCTCTTTCGGAGATTGTTAGTTTGCTGCGTGCTCGTGGTGTCAACGTTCGCTTCGCAATTCACCCTGTTGCTGGCCGAATGCCCGGTCAATGCAACGTGCTACTCGCGGAGGCATCCGTTCCATATGATAGTAAGTCATTGATAACCTTAGACTAATCCATTCGCTAACAATCGATGCAGTTGTCCTGGAGATGGAAGAGATCAACGATGACTTCTCAGACACAGACGTCACCCTCGTCATTGGCGCCAATGATACTGTTAACCCTATTGCCATGGAGCCAGACTCGGCTATATCCGGCATGCCTGTTCTCCATGCATGGAAGAGTAAGGAGGTTATAGTTATGAAGCGGGGGATGTCCAGCGGATATGGTATGATTCCTCCGCCGTCATTCCTGGTGAATTGATCCATCTAATATTTTCCGCAGCGGATGTTCCAAACCCCATGTTCTTTATGCCCGGTACTCGGATGCTATTCGGCGATGCCAAGACCTCTTGCGATGGTATGTATCACTTACATGAATATCTATTAAAGGAAATAGTGCTAATTTATTTCCAACAGCTATCAAAGCCGCCCTGGAGGCACGGAAGTAGGTTTCTATTAGAACGCATGTTGCATATTTCTTTTATGACTGCATACTATTTTTGAACTGCTCCTTATTTACGCCGTACTGCGAAATCTTATGCCCTAACGGCCTGTCTTATTGCTTACAAGCTCGCACTGGATAAATTGCTATTTTCATCGGGTTGCGTTTCAGTAGAGCGAGTTATTTAATCCAATCCTTTTGAAGAAAAAAAAACCTCAAATTAAAATACGGCGCTCTTTATGCAAAATGCGCAATTGGGCATTTAATGAAGATCATCATAGTGCATAGTGGAGTCCCCGGGTGAACCCCTAGACGGCAACAAGTTCCGTAGTTGTAGACTGCATCGAGGTGGTGTCAACACATGAGGACGAGTTTTCACATTCCCCTTTACAATTTACATATATTGTTCTAAATTGTACTAAGTACGAGGTATAGCACATCCCCAATCTGAGTTGAAGCTGACAATATTGACCCTGGTGGCTGTGTGGCAAGGAATTCACCTGCATCAAGCTAAACTCGATTCCAGCCCGTCCTCCGGGTCATGCAGGAACTTATCGAGTATCCCTTGCTAGCCTTGCTTCCTATAATCCATACGCTAGACGCATACTGTCGCTTTCGTTTTACCGAAATTATGGGAGTGAGGGAAAATCAAAGAGTACGTTTCCTGGGAGATTGATGGCCATCTGTCTACCTCCATAGATATATACCTGTATAAATATATTTCTCCATAGCTATGTAGCTATGTCATTCAGAGATAATTGCATAATATCCTAACCAGAATGAGAACTACCCAGTAGTTTCCCCGAAATCAGATACCATGCGCCAACATTGAAGTAGACATTAACCATCCCGGAGTGTGACATGATGTTTCCACTGCCCAAGTCATGGACCGTCATATATTAACCGATCAGAAACAGAGGTGATGAAGAAAAGAGATGAAGACCGAGTATCCGAAAGAACCCAGGAAACAAAAACGCCAATACCAAAAGACACCAGAATGAGAACCCAGAAACCCAATCCATGCGAGAGATTTCATTCCCGCCCATAAAGACATTACTAGATCAGTATATGTTGAGTATCAAAAACTGAAAAAAAGAGAGAAAAACGAAACGAAACGAAACGAAACGAAACGAAACGAAACGAAACGAAACGAAACGAAACGAAAGCAAAGTAGGCTTCGGAAAGAAGAGTTGTCACAAGCCAAACCCAACCCCATATCTAAGGCTTAGCATGCGACTTCTTCCCCAACTTCAACCCCATAAACCCCCTCCCACTCGGCATAACGCTATGATGCCGCGAATGGCGACGATGGCTCGACTTCCGCACGAGATGGGAGTCCGCACTGGGCGGCGGGGCAGGCTGTGTCGCGACGGAAATCTGCGAGGAAGATGGACCATTAACGCCGACCTCGCGCAGATTACTGAGTGAATAGACACTGGAGGCGGAGTGTTTCCTTGTCATGCGACGCATCATCAGTGGCGAGCGGCTCGTGAGCATATTCGACACGCTGTATGTCGAGGGCCCGCTGCGCTTCGAGGAGATGCATGGTGGTGGGGAGGAGGCGGGTGAGTTTGAGGTTGGGCTACAGGCTCTGGGGAGGTTGGAGGATGCGCCGCTGTAGTTGTTGGATTTGAAGGTAGTCGCGTCCTCGGCTGAGTAGGGTGTTGTTGGGCGGGAGGTGTAGGTGTGGCTGCTGTTTCTGCTTGTGCTGTGCAGCGAGGGGGCGCGACGGGCGCGCAGGTTTAGAGGGGGTGGGGTTGGTTTTTCGGTGCCTGCGGTTCGGGGTCGGGGTCGATATTCTTGGGGTTGGAGGGTGCGTGGTGGTGCTGGGAAGTAGAGGACAGAGGGGATTTCGGAGACTCGGTTGATGGTTGCACCCAGTGCAAACTGTGTATCTTCTAAGACTGGGTTTTGGGTTTGGGTTGGAGCTGTCTTTGGCGCCTGCTTCATGGTGGTCCTTTTCTCAGATACTCGCGGTGACTTGGCCGCTGGGTCTGACGAGCGTGGTACTGTAAGTCGACTGTCGGCCCTGACGAGCACAGAGCGGGTGCGGCTGCTTTCCCTAGAGCGAGAATGGCTGGGACGGGATTTCGAGGCCTTGAGCTGTGACCCCAGAGCGTTGATCAAGACCACTGTAGGACGAGTTCGGGGCTCCATGATAGTCACCTTCGTTGCGACTTGGATGTCTACTTCCTCTATCGAGAAGACCGATGACGGCGAGGTAGAGCGAGACCTTGAGGTGGACGGCCGTGGTGGTTTTGGCCAGACGTATATCGACGGCTGTAGAAAGGTGCTGGATGCGAGTTGCGGCGGAGAATCCGACGGTGGCAGTTCGAGAACTATCTGCTCCTCTGGATCAAACACATATGTATCTTCGTCGAAAGTGGCTCTGCTATTTCTCTTAATGGTAGCAGAAGAGACGGGCCGGGGACGTTTGACCATTGGGGGAGCCAGAGTATGTTCATCCCGGTCAAAACCAGGGTCCAGGTGAGAATCATCGTCGGCACTGAGGTCTGAATCAAAGATTCCGGCTTGTGGTGAGCCGACTGGCGAGGAAAGTAGATCTTGGGCGCCTGTATCAGATTCAGACACAGCCTCCTCGTCTGACTGGTATCGATCTTGAAGGCTATGCCTACTCAAGCGATGAAGGCTCAACGAGGGAGCAGGTTCGTACATGTTGCTGGCAGTCATATGGTTGTAATCGGGAATATAGAGCACAAGAAAGAGTGACTCCTCCAAAGTGTAAGCAAATACCGAAACAAAAGAGAAAACACAAAACCCCCCAAAAAAAACCAGCCCTCAACTAATAATAGAGTGAAAATGAGACCAACTGAAACGCAATAGCTGTCAACTTATTTCAGTACAAAGCTGCAAAAGAGATCAGAAGCACTCCAGGGCGAAGGCTCTTTTAAGGAAGTGGACCGAAGTGGGACCAAGGAGCTATAGGATGCATAGACCAAGCCAATATATGAAATATGGAGAAGGAAGAAAGAGGCATCCAGGGACTTTTCCATGCCATGTCCCTATACACGTGTAGGGCAGAAAATGGAAAGGTTCCTGAATTTACTTGCTAAATTCGTATGGGCGCGTAATGAACCTTGAAGAGGGTTGAAGAGGGTCGTGATTGGGTCTCGCCCTTGCAGGGGAGAAAACTAGGGCGGGTTGGCCAGGATGACCAGTTTCAGCAGGGGGAAAACTCATTACACTATCGGGAAGGCTAGATTGGAACTTTTGGATAAATAAATATAGACGAGTGAAAAGAATAAAAAAGAATAAAAAATATATGTTCAGAGCCCGATCTGATAGATCACCATGAGCTATTGGTCAAGGTCCATGCGCCTAATACTCCGCGAACTAGTATTCTTGATTACTCCGTGGACACGTATGCATATCAGCTGCTCACATCAAGGGCAAGCCAGGAAAGAATCTTCGTGAATCTTCGTATCCAGGGAAGTACAGAGTCCTCCGTAGAAAGAGCGGGATGTCGCCCATAAGGGAGACATAGCTCCCCTGGAAGCATTCCCTGGGCCGAACTACTCCGTACTTGTGAACAGTTTAGATTGGAATGAAGCGCCCACAGTGGGACAAGGAGCCAAGACCAACAATCATCGAATCACATCAGTCGTCTAACAAGTTGCCAAGTTAGCCACTAGTGGGGCCCATGTGTATAGCTCAAACACGCTACGAACTCCGTTAGCTTCAAACTGGATTCTAGGTATTCGACCGGGTACGAAGTACGAAGGAAGTACGGAGTAAGAAGTACTAGAATGTGAAAATATATTCCTTACTGAGATGTCAGGGATACTAAGGCCAACCCCGACCAGGGGCTGGGGTTGGGGTTGGAGGCGTAGAGGGTTGAAGGTATATTCTTCCGGGGGGTACTCCATATACCCGAGGGACCCCAAAGGATTAGAATGTTCATGACGTTTAACAGTACTCCGTACTCTCCTTACATTTACATCAAATCTCGGTGATTTTCGAATCTACCTCATATATCTATAATTAGGGGTGACGATGAAAAGGCCACGATTGTGCGTGGCTCTTGGAGGGAGAATCATGGTCTTTTCACCTAGCGCTCTGGACACCACGGCAGTAGCCAAATAAGGCTTAGCGTGCCTTCCATTAATATGTGTACACAGGTACGCCCAGCGCGTGAAATCATGGGGCAAAGGGTATAAATGAGTATTGAATGATCAGTTACAGACCCCAGACAAAGAACCCTGTCAACAGTACTAAGTCCCGACTCCTTCGATGCGATCCTAATGGATCTGTAAGTACGTAAAGTTTTCAATTAGATGAAAAGCGCTCAACTAACCAGTTTTATTCGATGCCCATAGTCGATGGATTATCGGCTGCCAAGATGATCCGAGAATATGAAGTTCAAGCCGACTTGAGCCATAGTTATGTCCTATCTTTGCAGTCTCCGCCTCGCTCTTGGAAAAGGACCGACAAACTTACGTCGGCTCTGGCTTTGATGGATGGATCATGAAGCCCATTGACTTCCGAAGGATTGAGGAACTTCTTTGGGCGTGAAGTCTGCCGAAAAACGAAGTACATGTTTCTATCGACCGGGGACGTGGGAACAGGGCAGCTGGTTTGCGATAAATAGTTCAGTGGGCTATGACATAGTTAGACAATGCATATATATATATATATATACTCGTTAATATCGGAACTCGTAACTTATAAGGCAAGAGTTGAAGGAAGGGTAATGTATATTTGTAGCCTGAGGATAATCCTTGAGAAAAGTGTTGATCGATTGGAGTGACTATGGCCGGAGAACCAATGTCAATATCAGGCCTACATTAAATTGAGACCAACTTGAATGAAACAACCTTGAATTTAGGTACGAGAAGAGTTGTTGGATTGAGGACACGCTGAATATCATGTTTCGAAACGTGCTACAGATACCGGCCCCTGTGGGCTCTCCCACAACCCAGGCTTCAATATAACCATATATCCTTCTCAACTCCTGAAACAACATCTCTCTGTGGCTTTGTGAGATCGACTGCTGCCCCTTCATTCTCTCGGGACATATTTTCCGACGAGCCGGACAACACTCAGAATATAATTCCAGCCACGAGTGTATCTAGATCATCGGATGACGCTGGATTTCTCCGTTCCATGAGCTTCCTGAATTCCTCCAGGTCATGCTAACTCATCTGCTTCAAGAGCTTGGGGAGGCCTTCCCACTCTTTTTCTAGTGTCTTTAATCCTCTGGTCTAGGCTCTCTGTTGACATAGTAACATTTACTGTAGTGATGCCACTGGCTTTTGCATCAACAGCGAGTCCTGTTAAATCTCTTCCTTTGTCTCGTAGAAGTCGTCTTCCGGGGATAGAGGCCGCTAGCGAATTCAATAATAAGAGGACAAACAAGCAATCTTGCTTCCTCCTCAGCTACCACTGCTATCGTTAAGTATCTCTATCCCAGTCACTATCATGTTCATCCGTAGAAGGGTCCGGATTGGCGAGATCGAAATGCGCAATCCAGTTGACACTGGACATAATCGGACGTTCGGGCTTGCCGGCCTTCTCAAAGGGTCCGATAAAGTAGCTATATAGAGTAAATTAGTAAGTTTGTCACCTTTTCGTTGGGATAATATAGCAATAACGTACAGTGTTTGCGTCTTCTGGTGCCAAACTAGGCTGCTTGCTCCGCACACACGGGGGAACCACCCGTTCTCATGCAGCTTACTACATAGTCGACAATGATTAGATCCAGTATCGAATACAGAAGAAATATCAACTTACGGTAGAGCGTTAAGAAAAGCCAAGCGAACCTGCTCCCTTTCGTAGCTTTCAAGAGCCCAAAATGGGTCAGCGCCACTGCCGTCTCCGAGGCGCAGCCCTGAGACGGTCTCCCACACAAGCCAGATAATGAACCCACCCGCAACTAGCCCCGAGCGATCCTGTTTATCGATCTTGTATCCGACAAGCTTTGGTGTGTCACTCGAGCCTTTTTCAGTGAGGTCCCGGCAGGCGATCAATTCTGGGGGGTTGTATGTTGTGGCTTGTCGGCTTCTGGTATCTGTATCATCCATTTCAGTCTTCCGATGGGGAACTTGAATGTAGATGCGCATGAATGCTTTCTTATTGCGTGCTCTGGGGTCGCAGCATATATATTTAGCCGAGGCGAAAGAACAGAAGCCATACTCATCGTTTTCCTCCTCGTTAACCTGATAGTCATGCTCGTTCAGCTTCTCAAGAATCTTCCACTGGGAAGGGACGGGTTGGTCAAGGGTGATGACAGCTCCAGGTTCAGGTCCCTTACGGAACCAGGCTGAGTATGAGGACGACATTGGAGTTGCTTTGGATGCTTTGGAGATGGGTTTCTTGGATAGGTGATGTGAGGCTCTTATGTGGGGCAGACTGGCAGCTACATAGGTATACATACATAGCGCCTTGCGCTAGCCGTATTGGGAGGTGGATACCTGGTGGCTATATTGCCTAAAATTCCAGGCCGACAATCAAGCTAACTATCTACGGTATCCATGGATAGTTGCATAGGGGATTACTACAGCGACTCCCCCTGAGGATGCCTGAAATTCGAGATGTCTTTTTATAAATCGGGCATCAAGGCAGAAATTTCCAAACCGCGCACTCAAGTTGTACTCTCTTGCGCAAATAATTAGTTAGCCTGTTCAATTTATGTTATCCAGGCATCCTCAGGCAGGGACGGCTATCACTCTCTCCAACATGAAAAAAACACATTCTTCTACACAAGCTCATTATCGCCGAAGTAAATTATCCACTACAATTACTTTTACCTCATGATATTCTATTCCCTCGGAGTCAATACTGGATAAATATTGATCTCCGTGCCCTTGCCCTCTTGCCCCCTTGCTCGTACCTACATGGAATATGTTGTGCCAGGCCACGAAGGCTAATCCCGAACCTCCTCCAACCCCGCAGGTAATCCTCGCCATGGGTTATGGTATATTTATCTTCCTGCACGAGCCCGCCTATGGCTAGTATCTATCCATCACGGCGATTGGTCTTAATGTATCCTCGGCATTGCACAATGTTATTGCCTGGATGAAGAATCGACCATTTTTATCCTGTCGTGTTTCGACGTTTACATTATCACTGTTATTCTCTGTTGGCCGTATTGGGTGGTTGAGATCTATGCTAATTTCACTTCTGTGCAAGGGCTCTCAATATTTCCAACTCTGTTATGCATGCGCTTTCTGCACGTCAAGCTCTTGACATTTGCTTCAACTTAGTTACATTAACCATACATTACTCCGTACCCAGTGGGTACTTCGTCTCAAAGTATCCCATAACTCCGTCTACATACATGTATCCAATGAGCTTCAAACCCGCCCATGGCCACGGGAAGTTCATAGGCCGATCCTCATTATTAACGTCGACACAGCCACTACTGCATGACACTGCATTTTCCCCCTATTTTGTTTTTTTCTCAAATCGGGGTCTATGCTCCAGCATCAAAGCCCGGCCCTGCATATTCGTCCAGTCTCCGAATAAACCACACGCATGGCATCCAAGCAAGGCACTTGTTGCTTTCAGACGAGAATAGGAAATGAGCAAATAGTGCATATTTTCTTGCTTTTGACTATATATCTTGTCCCGATCTATTGAATTTCGCCCAGCCCCATTATCTATTAATGGCTGGACTTGGTGCGGGGAGGCGTGGTGGCTGCATCGCTCTTTCAAAAGCTGGGAGGCTGGATATAACCTATCTTGCTCCTCGCCTTCCAAATCCATGTCTATTTTTGGGCGTTTCTCTCCCTGGAAACTGAGGATCTGCTGTTTCGTCGCTCGACACTTTGCCAAAGGCCCATGGATCGATCGCCTTGTTAACTGAGTCATAGCGTCTGGAGCATATGAGATATATCACTTTCGTGGCGCTGCTTGTGCTTCGTCGCACTGGTCATTATGTGTGCATAACTCCACCTAGCGGTTTCTGTTCCTGCATTTCTATTTCTGCTGTGTAGTCTCCAGTGTGATACTGCACATTGTGCTACAAAGTCAGTATTTATACAAGCTTTGTGTTGTCATATCAACAGAGTATACTTTTGGCTTGCAATTATTTGGGTCAAATGGATTGGCTTGGATGATAGATAGCCTCGAGAGACGATCTGGCTGGATTGTCTCTCGGGATGCAGACGGTGTATGCATGAGGGATGTATCCTGGAACCCCGGCTGTCCACGGGTGCTGAAGGTGCTGACAGAATAGGCAATCAAGCAAACATACCTTGCTGGCCAGACGCGAACCACGCATATGGTCTATCGTCTCTTTCCCAATCTATCAAGCAGACTATTTTAGGAACGGACATGATTACATTTATCTTGATATAATGAGCTAAAATCTATCAATGGATACTTTAATAACAATAATAAGGGCGAAAGGTACAATCCAATGGCCTGCCACCAAACGGAGGGTGATAACGACAAACATGAACAGAAGAAGAAAACATTATAAAATACAACCATGACGAGACCACTGGGGTAATCCAACAGTATCCCCCCTGTAGGTTTTCCGACAAAAGTTTTAGCGCATGCATTCCGACAACTCCGAGGCACATACCCCATGCTCGGGTGATGGACCTGGCATCATGAGGTGGTCATTCATTAAACAAATATAGGGACGCATCACCCAAGAGCAGCCACTCTGCCCTTCTGCTTTGGCCACAAGCATTGGATGAATTTTTAATTCAATGGTTCATCCGAAGATGATTCAACAATCAAACTCGTGGGCAATATACTTCTTCCAAATCACACACTGAAAAACATTCAGACATGACGAGGCTTCAGTTGATTATTTATGCCTTGCGAGAGCGTGTGACGGGGCCGTTGGAGCGGCCAGTGGACTTGGCGCCACCGTTCTGGCTACCGGCTGGGGAGGGAAGTTCGAAGTTCTTCATGTCGATCAACGACTTTTGGCCAGTGTTGCGGCGGGGACGTCCGGTTTTGGCAGTCTGCTTATAGGTGGCAATGTAGAAGGAGATGAACAGGACCAAGTAGGAGCTGATGATGCCGATACCAGCCATGGCAGCGAATTCCTCACCAGCACACTTGCCCATGTTGGGGAGCCAGGGGAAGTAGGCAGAGGTGAAGTAAGTGTAGGAGGCGAAGTAGATGAAGCCTTGAAACTGTCAGCATTCCATTCTTTGCGAATTCCGAGCCTGAACCACTTACCGACGTCAATGACGAACTGGAGGATCTGCAGCATGGTGATATACTTCTTCCACCAAATACGAACGCCGCGGGCGCTCTGGAAGTAGTACCAGTACATCACGACATGGACCAACAGGTTGATGGTGATGGGAACCCACTGCACGGCAGTTACACCGATGAGCTGAGTGTAGCAAAGGAGGGCGGTGGCACCGTGGTGGTAGGTGTGAAGGAAGGTCAATGGCTTCTTCTTGAGGACCAGGAAGATGGTATCGATGAACTCGACATATTTGTTGATGTAGTTGAGCTAATCGAGAATGTGTAAGCTTATTTTCTTCTGGCGGTTCATGCGCTTTGCAACTTACGTAGTACAGAATGATTAGAGGGCGAGTCCAGCCACCATTCTGATCACAGATAGTGTAGAAGACTCCGTGTCTCCAGAGAGTAGGGACAAGCTGCTCAACGAACAAGGCCAGCAGGATGGCGCTGACGGTGGTCAAAAAGAGGTTGTGGATCATGAACAAGGTGTTGAGCTTGAACGCAGGCAACTTCTTCATGACCTCACGGCCACCGAAGATGATAACGTAGTAGGTGACAAGCATCATCGCAGTCTCCTTCAAGGTGGACAGAGGGGTCACACCCTCGGTGAAGTTGAACTCGCTCGCGGGATACCCCATGACCTTCTCGTATGCCTGGTCGAAGAGGGGCCACAAGTGCACACCAAAGGGTCGATCGAGGGTCGGGACCGAGACATGTTTGAGGATTTCGGACGCCATTGTGACAGGACTGGGTGGTTCTCTCAACCAAATTGGATGTGGAATTGAAGATAGAGATAGCCCGTGGAAGGCAAGCTGTTCTTTTCTTGGTGGGGCAGTAATGGGACTGCAGTAAACCGCCAAGTACCAGGGAAAGACCAAAGTAAAGGAAAGGAATAAAAGAAAAGAAAGCTAAAGAAATGAAAGTGGGAAAGGGGGGAGAGAAGAGAGGGAAAAGCTGGAGAAATAAGACAGAACAATTACTTTTTGCGTCCGGCGTGTCCGTTGAGGACCCAAAAAGGTTTAGCGTGCCATAAAAAGGGGAAGATCCAAGTTCCGACCTCATCTACTGGAGTATATTGTCCGAACATGTGGAACATTAATTGAACTCTTGTAACTATTAGATCTGTTGGTTCTTTTGGTGAAATTCCTAGACTACTAAATATGGAGTGTGCTGTGTTGCTGAATGTTATGTTGTCCTCGGTGGGAAACTATCACATGCTAGTGTCTAGTCAAATGCCAATAGCGCATTGCAGATTACAAGACGAAGAAATGAATTATTCATAGAATTGCCGAGGAATTATCTACCTGAACTATGGCTTTTCAGGAACCGGCCAACTTTTGCTCTCGATGGCTAGATTCCAGTGCCTTGACCAGATCCATACCCGAAGTGTTACATTGAAAATTCATCGTCATATCTTATCCTATTAGGTTGCAACTGAATACTATTGGAGCTGGCAATTGGCAGTGAATTTGGCAGTGATTATCTATCTAATTCAAAATCATAATAATCTTCCAAGGTTAGATTAAAATGTTGCCAGCTATATACATAACAACCTCAATTTCCTCCAGGCCCGTTCTCACCCAAGCTCCAAGCTCGAAAGCCACAGCTTATGTACCTAGTCAAGCTCTCCGGCTTTTGCCTGCCTTCTCGGGTTTGTAGATTAACATAGTCAAGGTCGATACATTGAATTGGGACTAAGTGCTCAAATAGCCGGCTTCTTTTACGCATCAATCAGATCTGATATATATGTGTAGTTGAATGTTCATTCATCTTTCATACTTTTTTGAAATTGCTTGTCCAATGTCTGACCTTATAATATCAAGCATATGGGCGTAGATATACGCAAATTCAAGAACAATATAATATTTATATAAGTATCTAGCACGAAATTGACTGTCATGACCTTAACACTCGGTCAATGAGTGACCCGTGGACGCATCTTGAAGGGTGACAGTCATTCAGCCAATCAGCAGCCTCCCTTTGAGATCAAGATGGACGGAACGGGGCCAATCGGATGATGACTCAGCACCCGTGTCGATGCCTAAGGCATCAACACCACACCACCCGCAAAATCCTAGAGGCACTTCTCACCTCCCCTTCCCGTCTCCATCCACACCTCTCCCCTCACCATTGTTACTGTCCGGTCCACCGTGGTCAACTTCTGAAAATGTCGTCCCTATCCATCTTCCGCGTGGCGACCCGCGCCGTTCGCCCTACCGGCTTCTTTAGAGCTCCCCAATTGGCCCGGTCCCGGATGCAGTCCCCGGTCACTCTGGCCGCCGCCCGCGCCAGCAACTTCGGTACCACCTCTATCCGCCGCTCCGGCCACGAGGATGAGACATACGAGGAGTTCTCTGCCAGGTACGCCCCCAATCGCAAGCCATTGAGGCCGGAGGAGTGGGACAGAAGCGCCCTGCGTTTCCACGTTAGGCGCTTTCCGGAACCAGCATCGGTACTCGTCTGGACATGATAGGAGCGTGTCATACTGACCATATATCTCAATGGCAGATTCGAGAAGGAATTTGATGGTGTGCAGGACGTTTTCGAGCTCCAGGTATGACTCTCTCGACTTCACCCGAGGCATATTGATCGGCATGCGATACATGGCATCAGCCACACCCGTCACTCAACATGCGGCTCCTATATCCGCATCAATTCGACAAATGACTAATGCATACCCTTGCAAACAGCGCAACCTGAACAACTGCTTCGCTTACGATCTCGTTCCCTCCGTTGAGGTCCTCACTGCCGCCCTCAAGGCCGCCCGCCGTGTTAACGACTTCCCCACCGCTGTTCGCGTTTTCGAGGGTACGCTTCCACAATATCTCATCTTGGAGCACTAGCATCGTTTGTCGTTGAATCAAAAGCTAACGTCACTTCGTGATTTAGGCGTCAAGGCCAAGGTCGAGAACCCCGACCAGTACAAGCAATACCTCGAGTCCCTCGAGAGCCTGCGTGTCGAGCTTGGTGTCGCTCTCCGGGAGGAGCTCTACCCCCAGGAGGCGTAAATTTCCATCATCAATTCTACTTTTACGTCAATTTTCTCTTAAACACACAGTACCCCCTCGCACGTTGTTTATCCGGCACTGTTTGACTGGCTGAGGATCAGGTCAGGTAGAAGAGAAAACTGTATACATACTCTAGAGATCTCTTGTGTTGTTAGTGCTGCTGTTGTCTGGAAAAAGGTCCTCTGTGCCTTACTTGGTTGGTGCTTAATCTATCTTGGTTCCATCTTGTTCAGTCATCCTGCATTGTTGTATTATCAACCGCTCAAGTCAGTCCCCAGTCCTTGATCCTCAATCCTCAATTACCAACTTTCCTACACTTATCTTACGGAGGATACACTTCCTCAATGGTAGAATACCCAGAGTGGTCTGAATATCGGTTTTGTTCCTACATAGGTAGCCAATATATCACACAAAATGACAACTCCGACAAGCAGGCCAAGAGGCACCAAACCACAACAAACAGAGCCTCCGACAGTGGCTATGCACAATCAATATAATTACAATGTAAACAAGGCCCCCATAGCTCTCGGGGAGATAGCAACACGGCCCAAAGCGTATTTTGTGACAAGCAATTAAACCAAAAAATAGGGAAGGGGGGAAAAGAGAACACAAAATCATCAATACACACAGGTATGTGTCCGCTCAAACGCCGGGTACCAAGCCACTGATTTCCAGTAATAGTCATAGGAGTATGCAAGGTGATGCAAGGAATCGAGTCATGAGGTACTCTCCAGAATGACAAGAGACGAGAGAACATATCAAACACGACACATGATAACTAGTGTGTTCCAACATACTTGAAGTAAGTAGGTCGGCAATCCTCCTTGGCAAGGAAGTCTGCGCCTTGGAAAAACTGGCCAGCTTTGCAGCCAGAGCATTTGGGAGAATTGGGGCAGTTGAGATACGGGATGTGGTTATACCCGATATCGCGGAACCTAGTGAAGATACATGTCAGTGAGGGTTGCTAGATGAGAGAAAGGCTATGTGACCTACCAGTGGACGTTGGCGGCATCGGCGAAAAGACCAATTCCGAGGGAGTGGACGGGAGCATCACCCCAGCGTTCGTAGAAGAATCCACCGGCGCGATCCAGGTGCTGGAAGTACGCCTCGTACTTCTCGCCGCGGAAGAAGTCGAGATCGCCGATTTCAAAGTTGGACCAGAAGTGGCAGGTGGAGTATCCATTGGCACCCTTGGTGTGCTCGGGACGAGCGACGTCATCTGTAATCCACTCCCACATGTTGTTATCGCTGAGGTACGATGGGTTGGCGGCGAGGAATCGCTGAGTCTCGGGCCAAAGGGACGGGATACTCTGTGGTGCGTCGTAGAGGTTGATGGTGAAGCCGTAGGTCTTGTTACCATCCTCCATGTATCGGAACACATCGTAGTCAACATCGCAGAAGAACTTGACGTTGGGCTCGATGCGCCAGTAGTAGCGGTAGCCTGCGAGAGCGGGGTGCTTGTAGAACATGCCGCTGTTCCAGCGACACATCTGGTGGTAGGAGACCTTGGAGCTGTACTGGATGTCTTGTTCCTCCAACATTTTTGCGGACTCGTGGAAGAGGTCCATATTGATCCAGCTTGGGACGTCCCAGTGTTCCTTAGGCACAAGTTCTGCATCCAAAGTCAGCCATGGTTCCTCTTGTTCTAATCGGACTGGAATCTGTACCATATTGACACTTTGCCTTGGTCATTGCCTGAGTCTGCTTCTTGAATTCCTCCGTGAAGGGCACATCATTGAAGAAGATATAGGGATAGTTGAACTTGCTGTTCCATGTTCGCTCTAGGTCACCCATTGTCGAGAGCAGCTGACCCAGTTCCTCATTGCGGACAAGGGTAATGAGCGCAGCATTAGTGCGGGCTGAGTGTTCGCTATCGGGGGAGTAATCGTGTTCGTTGGCTCGCCATAAATTTCCTACAGGCTCTCCGGTAGCTACAAAACTCGTCAGTATGGCACTTAGAGCGCGATGGTTGTCATAGGAGGTGTGGCGGACACTCACGATCTACAAGAGGATCCTTTTTCATGCCATGAGCCAACTTAGACCCTTGTTCAGAGGAGCCCTGATGTAATTGGAAGACAAGAAATAGACAAAGAAGGATGCATGCTGCACCCAGCATGCGAATCGGTCGTGCGATAGCCATGATGGTGGTATTTGCTTAAAGGGGGGATATGGTCGGAGGGTGAGAGAGGCGCTCATTAAGAGTGGCCATCTTTCCTTATCAGGCCTAGCGCCATCCAAGCAAATCATCCGGGTCTCTCTTCACTTTATGCTTCTTCACTCTATAGCGTCTAGAAACATCTCGATGTGATTTGTCTTTGATCCTGGATCCGAGCTCATGTCTGAAAATGGCCTTTGTGACTGATCTCAGTACGCTTGTCGATGCCTTGATCACCTCCGTCGCTAAGATATCACCAGAGCAGAAGGTAATATATTGAATTCCATCACTTTTTATCATCACGCACGATGTTCTAATGCATATGTAGGGGTCTGCGCGTGCTCAGGGTCTGAAGCGTCGAGTACAAGGGAGTCTCCGCACTGGTTCTCATACGCGCACCGACCAGTTTGCAGTCGCCAAGCAACTCGAGGGACTACAGGAAAAGTTTCAAATCTTAAATAGAGATGAACTTGCTGATGCCCTTCAAACCCGTCTTGCGGAGCTAGAGAGCGACCGGAGCTCCTGGCTCCCTGAGATTCTGAGTCTCTTACTACAACTCTCAGATCGTCCTGCCCTTTTGTCTACGGTCAAGCGTCCGGAAGAAGGGATCAAGGCCCCAGAAGCCAAAGAGACTCTTTCTTGGTCGGACCTTAATGCAGATGGGACGGCATTCAGTGACGAAGAAATTTGGGAACAGGTAGACTTTGCTGGTGACTCATCAGATGAAGACTTTTCATCCGTTACCAGTGATATATCTCTTCCAAAGCACAGGCCTCAATCCGCCACAACAGTGGATGAAGGGTACACTATTCCAGATGATGCTTTTGTCCCGGCAGAGGATGGGGATTTTGCTGCCTCTCTGGAAAAGGCTCAATTTTGGAGAGCGCTACCCCAAGAAGCAGCCACCTCACGACATATCACAGAATCCCAACTTGCTAGAGAGACTCTATTTATGCTTCAGGGCCTTCCGACTTCCATTTATGTACGTTTGGATGATGAACTTGGAGTGGATCGAAGATACACTCTCGCACATTCATCCAACGAAGCCCTATCGTCACTTTTGCAGTCTTTCAGCGAGATAGGAGCCAAACTCAACGCTATGAGATGTTTCAACAAGCTCCCACAGACAATTCCATACATGCAAACATTTTGCCGAGGCTTAGAAGAGCGTCTTCTTGAATTCGATAGAGTCTTATCTCAAGTTCAGTGCAAATACCTTTCTGCCGGGTCAACTGTTAGTCTAATCCAGCTTCTCGTTGACGTCCGTCAACACTCTCACGAGCTAGTATTGCTCGCAGAAATGATCGCCAATCTAGGCAAAAACTTGACTGATAAACATCAACCAATGTGCTGCCTCGATTCGTTATACGATGTAATATGCATGTTGGAAGCGATTGGCGATGAGAGTTCGTCTCAAAGCCTGGCAGAGCTATTCTTTATGTGTTTCAAAACATATTCAAGCTCGATCCGACTCTGGATGGAAACGGGTCAGGTTGACACTTCGGACAGCACTTTCTTCGTGCGAACAAATCGTGAGAACGGAGATTTACGAACTCTTTGGCATGACTGGTTTGTACTTGATACGGGCCACAAGCAGCAGAGCATCCCCCAGTTCCTCGAGGCTGGTGTGCAGAAAGTTTTTACGGCGGGGAAGAGCATGGTATTTCTGCGCCATCTGAATGCGCCACCAGACATTGAAGCCCTGAGATTCGAGGACCTCTATTCCCAAGATTCTTCATTACTTCCTTTCCCCGCATTAGTAGAGTCTGCTTTTGAAAAGCTTGTGGATGTGGATCATTCAGTCAGTGCTAGCCTATTACGAACGGAACTCGATCAACAATGCGGATTATGGACCTCCCTTGATGCTCTTCATCATGTCTACCTCGCCAAAGACATGAGCGCCGTCAGCATAGTTGATGACAAAATATTTGAGTTGATCGATAGGGGTCGTTCCTGGGATGACAGGTTCCTGCTCACTGAGATATCAAGGACGGCTTTCAGTTCAATATCCGCCATTGACACATCAAAACTCCTTGTGCGGCCGACTGGTACTCCATCACAAGTTTCTCAAAATAATCCTCGAACTGTGGGGATTCTGGAAGCAATCTCAATTGATTATGGCCTCCCGTGGCCTATTGCGAACATAATCACCGAGGATGCGATACACACTTATCAACGCATCTCGACCTTCCTGATGCAAATCAGGCGCGCTAAATATGCCATTGTGAGACAGCGTATTCGTGACGCCCGCATCGCCACACTTGACGATAATGAAACATTGGTGCACGCTCTACACCATAACATGCTCTGGGTCCTCGATTTAATCTACGGCCATCTGACATATCTTGTCATATCCACCGCAACCCAATCTCTACACAAAGATTTATCTGGCGCACCAGACGTCGATGCCATGATAGCCGCCCATCAATCCTACGTATCCTCTTTGGAAGCCCAGTGCTTCCTCTCCAAAAACCTATCACACATTCATGACGCAATCATCGATTTACTTGACCTGTGTGTTCATTTCGCAGATCTACAAGCCGCGCACTTGCTCGATGAAGAAGACCAACATCTGGAGAACCCGAAGGCACCGCGCACAAAGGGAGACTCCGAAGACGAGTTCGACTCCGACTCCGATGATGAGGACTACGACGATATGAACCACGAACACACGCTCACAGTCTCATTTCGTGATTCGACTTACAGCCAACGGATGAGAACGGTTAGAAATCAGTTCAACCTTTTGACAACATTTGCAACGGATGGCCTGAAAACGTTAGCTCGTGCAGATGGAACTCAAAGCTGGGGTATTCTAGCCGATAGGCTCGAATGGAGGAGAAATTGGCGTAGGCTTTGATACACGACACAACATTGAAATACCCTTGTTTTTGGTTCAGCGGGAGTTGGCGTTACATAGCTTAAGAATTGACACTAGGTAATGGAAGATGCAATAATGGCTTTTTTTGAATACATACATAAATTTCTGTCTCAAAATGAAGTAGCCGTGAGCGTCCACGGGTGGTTTCGACCCGACTGAGAAACTCAAACGGTTGACCAATCCTTTTTGGACCAGGGCTTTGGATCCTGGATCAAAACGTAGGATGATTTCTTCTGTACGCGTAGAGAACTAGTCTTATTTGCGGTCTATTTTTTTTCCTTTTCACGCAAATATCTATTGCTCTGAAGCTTGAGCAGCTTCTTGCTCCGAAGGCTGGGCCGTCTCTTGCTTGGCACCGGGGAAGCGAGAGCCTCTGTCTTTAGGCTTCTTTACCTTCTTGTGCACAACCGGGGGTGGGTAGGCCTTCAATGTAACCTCCTGCCATTCAGCTGAGGCCTGATACGCCGCCTGGATAGGGGCCATAAGATCGACCATGGCGGCCGCGACAGCAGGCTTAAGCAGCTGTGGGGTCAACTATATAATATTGTTAGTAAGTAACGCAAGCCATTTGATATAAAAGAGGTAGGTATAGGCACATACAATATCAGCGCTGTAAGCATCGTGTAGCTGCTTCATATTGGTAAAGACCAAAGGCTCGGCGTCCTTGCGCTCAACGCGGAACTCTCCGTTGCCCTTGAGGACAGCTGCCGGCAATAGAATGTGTTCGACTAATGAAATCACGCCGTTGTCTGTAACGATCTTAGGAACACACTCTGCCTTCCGAATCTTCTTTGAGATGCTCTCAGCGGGGTCGAGAAGGTCGATTTTACTATCTGATCGGTTTTTAGCATATTGATAACTCATGATAAGAGGGGAGCGAAATACCTGGGCTATCACTAGAGCTCATTTTGCCGGAGGATAATGAGGCCATCATAGGATTCAGAAGATGGGCGCGCTAGATGTTGGTAAGCATCTGATAGTCAACATTGCAGAATGGAAACTTACAACACGGTATCCAAGTTTAGGGAGCCACTCCGTTGCGCTTACGAAAAGCTTCCTCTGGTCCACACCACCGAGCTGGGCATCGCAATTCAAATGTTCTTCATCGAGAACCTGGAGAACTGGGTACAACAGTCTGGCAAACGGTTAGTATATTGTGCAATCCATATAGGCCGAGCGAGATCAGGAGTGATCAGATATTCATACCCACTCAACGGAGCATTGCCGGACTGCTTGACAATCTCACTGCCCGCTTTCTTGGCTTGGCCTTCAGAGATCAAGGACGATAATTTGTACACATCAAATACATAGGCAGAGCTCTTCTGGTAAGAGCTACCGACAACAAACTCGAGCTTCTCAGTAGGAACCCCAACAGCCTGAAGGATGGCGGTAATAATGTTTCGGTAGTAGATACACCGATTCTCAACAAGCTCGAGGGGGGGCCTTCAACTGTTTATATCAAAGGATTGGTTAGATCGGGATCTGAAGGAGTCACTTCAAAAGATATGAAGGTATGCGCTTACGTTATCGAGGAATGCATGTACATCAGCAAGCAGAATCACAACATCACAGCCTGCGAGCAGCAACTGCGAAATCTTCAGCGCTGGCACAAAGTAGCCGATATGAGGGCGACCTGTAGTCGCCGTTCCCCAATAACATCTGGGATTGCGCCCACTCTTCAAGATATCCTCAATGATCTCTGGGTTGAGAAACTCGGCGAGGTTCGAACCAATCTGCAAGAAATCAGTGTCTGAAATCGGTGTGTGGGGACGGTTTGCATTGGGGTCTCACGAGATCGAATCTTGCTTGCGTCGCGGGATCCATGATTAATAGGCTGAAAAGCAGGAATTCAAGAAGAAAATGCAGAGAGAAAGAGAGAGAGAGAGAGAGAAGGACCAAGGACCAAGCCAATGCACAAAACAGAAGTCCTGAAGAGTGTAAAGAAAGAGATCTCGGCAGAAAGTGGGATGACTCAGACCCGCCTGAAAGTCTGTGGACCTATCCATGGGTTCCCCCTCTATCTCCGCTAATCTCCATCTACACTTGGGCAGAAGCCTCATGGTACTACATAGCTAATAGTTCTTCACATCCTAACAATTGCACATTGAGCTTCGCCTTATTCCTATATATTATTACACATCCGATATTCTCTGAGTTCTCTCTTTTAAACATTGGCATCGAAAACAAAATATCTACGTGTAATTTAAACTATATAACTAATTAAGTACCAAGTAGCTTAGATTTGGTATCAAATAGAGATAATTATCCCGAATACATACATACACTATCGAACCCTTGGACCCTATGCCCTGTTATATGATAGCACCGGAAACTCACCTTCCTAGAGATCAAATCATCCTTATCAACCTCAGGCCTACGTTCTACATCAAAACTTTGGGGGAGTAACAAGGGATTCATTTAGTCATGGGTTGCAAGAGGGATTAGAGATCTCATATCAGATTCCAAAGGTTATATGCTACTAAAAAACGTGGAAAAGACGTGTAGGTGTTCATACTTATCACGTCTCAAATATACATACCTATGTCAGCAAGCAGGTCGCACAAGCTACCGACTATTCTGATTGTTGGTAAGTAGTTATTTTGGTGCTTCCTGGTTGACTGTATAAAATATATCTATGCCTCTGAGATGTTCTGTTATTCTCATACAGTACATGGGCTACATAGATTAAGTAAAATAGGCCCAAGTACCAAAATTAGGATATGATGAGGAATATTCCAAAGCTGGTATATGAAACCATATTAGTATGTACTGTCTAAATTGTATCCAATAATCATAGGTTTGTTGCTCTGCTCATTTTCGGCGGTGATTCATGGAATTTTGATTCCATTCCATTCTGTTTTGTTGGACTGGAGACTCCTTAGATCACATATTTCTATAGATCCAACCAAATTCCATTGTTAGGCCCTGTGGTGATACCTTTGTGTTGAATATTGTACTGAGAGGATCCCCTGGGCTGATGTTCCTGTTGACTGTTTCCCAAGGCCCCCACCACTCTCCGGTCGGAGGCCCTCTTCATTTTCCTTTCAACACCTGTCAAATGACATGAAACAGGCGATTAACTGTCATATTTTATACATTGACAAGTTCTGTTAGACAGATGAATATATACATCACTATAAAAGAATTTTGCTGTCAAAGTTTAAATTTTGGTATCGACACGTGACCCAGCAAGATAAGCCACAACGGGTTTAGGGCGGGGGAGACTCATTTCTCTGACAAAAAAAAAAAGCGGCGATAGAGTCATTGCCGGCCTCTTCTAGCGATCTTCTCAAGTCCACTTGAGAGAGGCACTTGAGCCACTCAATCTCCTTTGATATCAGGAGAATCAATTTCTAATTCCTGTGTCATACTTGACTCATTGGGATAATCCCCAATTTGCTTCACAATGACTTCTACTGATACTTATTTGGCCATCCCGGGCTCCGTTGCCTTTTCCCGTTCCCGGGGTCATGCTATTGCTACAAGCATCGGTGTCCAAGACATCCGGGCCCAGTGGATTCACTATGTGCATACCACCCAACCCTTGGACGAGGCCCAGCGTGCGGTACTCGAACAATTGCTTCAGTACGGCGATATCACAGACGTTCCTCCTACCTTCGAATCTACCGACGGTCAATTCGATACCTTCTACGTTTTCCCACGAACCGGTACCGTCTCGCCATGGAGCTCCCAGGCAACGGGCATTTCGCACGTCTGTGGCCTACAACAGTACGTCAAGCGGATCGAGCGGGGTATGAAGATTTCTTGTCTTCGTAACAGTGCGGAGGACTATAAGCCAGAGTACATGGATGCGCTTCATGACCGGATGACTCAGATCATTGGCAAGGATGAGCCTGAGCTGAGCCTTATGTTCTCCGAGCACGCCCCCCAACCCCTCAAGACCATCTCCCTCCAGGGCGGTACCAAGTCCCCCAAGGAGATCCTTCAAGAGGCAAACACCGAGTTAGGCTTGGCCCTGGATGACTCGGAAATTGATTATCTGGCTGAGGCCTATGGTCCGAATGGCGCAATTGCCCGTGACCCTACTGATGTCGAACTCTTCATGTTCGCTCAGGTCAACTCAGAGCATTGCCGACACAAGCAGTTCAATGCTTCCTGGGTGATTGATGGCAAGCCCATGCCAAACAGTCTGTTTGCCATGATCCGCAACACACACAAGAAGCATCCCGAGCACACCATCAGTGCCTACAGTGACAATGCTGCCGTGCTGGAGGGACCCGAGGCCGCGTTCTGGGCCCCCGACCCAACAACCGGACAGTGGATGCACACCAAGGAAGTTGTGCACTTCCTGGCCAAGGTTGAAACTCACAACCACCCCACTGCTGTTTCACCTTACCCTGGTGCGGCTACAGGATCCGGCGGAGAGATCCGTGATGAGGGTGCTGTCGGTCGTGGCTCGCGCCCTAAGGCCGGTCTCTCCGGCTACTGTGTCTCAGATCTTTTGATTCCTGGCTTGAGGCAGCCATGGGAGCTCGATGTCGGCAAGCCAAACCACATTGCCAGCAGTTTGGATATCATGCTGGAGGCACCCATTGGCAGCGCCGCTTTCAACAACGAGTTCGGCCGTCCCTGCATTGGTGGATACTTCCGCACTCTGCTCACCGAGATTGACGTGGGAAATGGTGAAAAGGAAGTGCGAGGATACCACAAGCCCATCATGATCGCTGGTGGTGTTGGAACCGTTCGCCCTCAACATGCTATCAAGCACCCAGATGTTGTCAAGACCGGTGCTTTCCTTGTCGTTCTTGGTGGCCCTGCCATGCTTATTGGTCTGGGAGGAGGTGCTGCTTCCAGTATCGCTTCTGGTGAGGGATCTGCCGAGCTCGACTTTGCCAGTGTACAGAGAGGCAATGCCGAAGTTCAACGGAGAGCCCAAGAGGTTATCAACGCCTGTGTCGCCATGGGAGACAACAACCCTATCAAGTTCATCCACGATGTTGGTGCTGGTGGTTTGTCCAACGCCCTTCCTGAGCTGATCCATGACTCGGGCTTGGGAGCTACATTCGAGCTCCGTGAAATCGATAACACTGACCGTGGCATGAGCCCCATGCAAATTTGGTGCTGTGAAGCCCAAGAGCGTTACGTCATGGCCGTTGGCGAGGAGAGCATGAACAAGTTCACTGCTATCGCTCAGCGTGAGCGCTGTGGCTTCTCCGTTGTCGGTCGTGGCGGTGGTTCGTCCGAGGAGGAAAAGCGACTCATCCTCCTTGACCGAGAGTCCAAGGAGTACCCGGCCCCCATTGACCTTCCTCTGTCCGTGCTTTTCGGAAAGACCCCTCGCATGACCCGAACTGTCGATTCACGCAAGCTGAAGCTGCCCTCTGTGGATTCTAGCCTCAGCAAGTATCTTCCCTCTCTCACTTCGAAGACGGAGATTGTTAGTGAGGCTGTCAACAGAGTGCTGTCTCTGCCTGCAGTTGGCTCTAAGTCTTTCTTGATCACCATCGGTGACCGCACTGTCGGTGGCCTAACAGCCCGTGACCAAATGGTTGGCAAGTGGCAGACGCCCGTATCGGATGTCTCGGTCACTGCCACTTCCTTGGCCCAGGGTATCAAGACCGGTGAAGCCTTTGCGATGGGTGAAAAGCCTACTTTGGCTCTCATTTCCTCGGCTTCGTCTGCTCGCATGGCTGTTGCTGAGTCGCTTATGAACCTGGCTGCTTCCGATCTTGTCGATCGTCTCAGCCAAGTGAAGCTTTCTGCCAACTGGATGTCTGCCGGTAGCCACCCTGGCGAGGGCGCTGCTATTTATGAAGCCGTGGAGGCTGTCGGTCTGGACCTGTGCCCTAAGCTCGGTATCAGCATTCCCGTCGGCAAGGACTCTATGTCCATGAAGATGAAGTGGAAGGATGAGGCCTCGAATGAGGCTAAGGAGGTCACTGCCCCCATGTCCTGTGTCATCTCTGCCTTTGCGCCGGTTGGCGATTTCACCAAGACCTGGACCCCTGCTCTTCGTAGCTTCGAAGAAGTTGGAGAGACCGTCCTCATGTTTGTGGACCTTGCAGCTGGTTACAAAACGCTTGGTGGATCGGCTCTTGCTCAGGTCTTCAACGAAGTCGGATCCGAGTGCCCTGACATTCGCGACGTTGATCTTTTCCGGGACTTCTTCGATGCTACACAGCAACTTCAGGAAGCCGGAATTGTTTTGGCTTACCACGATCGCTCTGATGGTGGTCTTCTGACTACTCTCGCTGAAATGATGTTCGCCGGTCGCTGCGGTGTTGAGATCATGCTCGATAACATCTGTGCCTCTTTCAATACCAAGGATCTCATCGAATGCCTTTTCAACGAGGAGCTTGGTGCCGTCTTCCAGGTCCGCAAGGAGCACGAGATCCAGTTCCGCTCGGCCTTCGCCACTTGCGGTCCTCCTCCAGGTCTGATCTACAAGATTGGACGTGTCTCTCAACAGCCCAAGCAGAACCTTACTATTTACCACAAGGCCTCTTTGATCTACCGCAACACCCGTTCCAGCCTCCAGCAGACCTGGGCCAAGACCTCTTACCACATGCAGAAGATCCGTGACAACGCAGACTGCGCGGAGCAGGAGTATGCCAACATCCTTGATGACGCCAACCCCGGTCTCTCTTGGAACCCTACCTTCGACCCTAAGGACAAGGGCTTGCCCATGATGACTAGTCTTTCCCAATACTCCCCCTTCGCCAACAAGCCGCGTGTTGCCATCCTTCGTGAGCAGGGTGTTAACAGTCAAGCTGAGATGGCCTTTGCCTTCAACACCGCCGGTTTCTCCGCCGTCGATGTCCACATGACCGACATTCTCTCCGGCCGTGTGTCTCTCTCCAGCTTCGCCGGTCTCGCCGCCTGCGGTGGTTTCTCATACGGTGACGTCTTGGGTGCCGGCCAGGGCTGGGCCAAGTCCGTTCTGCTGCATGAGAACACCCGCAAGGAGTTCCAGGACTTCTTCGAGCGCCCGGATACTTTCGCACTCGGTGTCTGCAACGGCTGCCAGTTCCTCTCTCGTATCAAGGACTTGATTCCTGGCGCGAGTTACTGGCCCAGCTTCGAGCGCAACACCAGCGAGCAGTACGAAGGCCGTGTCTGCATGGCCCGCATCTCCGATCCCGACCCATCCCGCCCCAGTGTCTTCTTCCACGGTATGGACGGCACTTCGCTCCCTATTGCTGTTGCTCACGGCGAGGGTCGTGCCTCCTTCGCCGGCTCCCAGGGCATCTCGGCTTCCGACTTCGTTCGCGAGGGTCTTGCCCCCGTCCGATTCGTCGATAATGCTTCCCTCAAGCCTACTATGAAGTACCCCTTCAACCCTAACGGAAGTCCCGAGGGTATTGCCGGTGTGCGCAGTCCCGATGGTCGTGTTCTTGCTATCATGCCTCACCCCGAGCGTACCGTCATGAACGGTATTGCCAGTTGGTTGCCTCCCAATGCCGCGTCCTGGGGCGATATTGGTCCTTGGGGACGTGTCTTCTACAGCGCCAGACGCTGGGTTGGTTAGAATGTTTAGTTCTTTTTTACGAATCTTTTTTTAACCCATTTTGTTTCGCCTATTTATCCCGAGGTCTTGTCCATATTATATTCTCTTCTTGATACTGGAGTTGGAAAAGAAATGTCAAAATGACCTCTCAAATCAGTATATACCAAAATTGATATTATTTCCATTTGAATTGAAATCCAGTCCACGGGTACCTTGGATTTGGTTATGTCTTGTAATCCTAAGCCTCCTTATAGTCAATATAGGGGCATCGGCAGATAAAGCTCTTCAGACATGTTTTTTCTTTATATTTTCTATCCAAACAATTTTATGATATCCGTGCTTTAAAACCCACTCCCGCCATGGCCAGGGAGTGGGTCAATCTATATGCTTAACGTGTGGACGTATACATTCTATGATTTCAACGACCTTTCCTGGGTACGTGCTATATACATACTGGAGGAGATTTTCAACTGCCTCCTCTCTCATTTTGTCAATCAAAATTCTCAATATAAAAAAAAACACACTAGATACTAGGACAACATCTAGCATTTGTAATTCCGATGCTGTGCTATTAGTATCAAGTACACGAGATTGTAAAGACATCAACGAGCATTTTAATATGGGGATAGGGGTAAAACCAGATAAGGAGTATCTTGTTAAACATTCCGAAACAACCCCAGAAAGCACATATTTCCACTAATTCTGGGGCAAGGTATGTACATCTGATTTGAATGCTTCTATCTTTGATATAGACAACACATACAAAAGATACTTCACCTCGCCTCATAGATACACGTTGGGTTAGACGTGATCCACCCATTGTAATTAGCAATGCTACTGGTGGACTGCAAATTCCAGGTCTGAGGCAAAGGATCTAGAACAAGATAGAAAATGATATGGCAAATCGAGACCCACCTGGTCCAAGGTTCCCAATAAGGAAATCCATCTTAACTTCCAAATCCGGTAATATGTCCCGAACTATACAGGATTGAAGTGGAATGCAAAAATGGATGTTGTATATGTTACATGTTGTACTTTGCAATGATATTGACCCACTACGGCCCACCATGTCACCTGAAACAGACCTTGTATACATCCACCTCGTGGTGACATTATAATCTCCCCTGAGCGGAGCTGGTCAATATTTTTCTGGGGTCATGAATTCCCCAGTAGACACAAGTATGGGTACATATACACACCTTTGATTTATTTAATCTAATCTAACCTACTCTGTACAATATTACTAGTTAAGATGACTCTCATCTCATAAGTCCAAGCCAAATTAGGCCTCCATATATTGCTATCTCCTTGATTGAGCTTCTCATGCGTGGTTGTCACAGCCAGACCCGCTTTTGGGTGATGCCAAGCTGGAACTCGGGAAAGTGCCTTGAACAAGATACGCAGGTATATACAAATCCATGTAAAAGATAAAAGCTCTTAGGTGATAGCGTATACTCAGCTGCTCTTGCTCCTCTTGCTCATTAATAATATTCTTGATCGACACATAAAATAGCGCATTTTCTATGAAAGTAGTACGTACTCTCCATAAGGAAAGACCAACCTTGGAGAGTCCCCTTACCGATGTCTTAAATGGGTAAAGCTACATACTTATTTAGGTCTAGTATCTTGCTAATGGAATAACATAGCACACAACCCTTTTTTTTTCCCCTCGAAATGAGGCATCAGAAATCAAGATGGCGATAAAAGCCAAGGCGCCATCGTAGCATATTGCCTAATAAGGCTAGCGCCACCATTCCATATCAGGCAATCTGGGTGCGGGCCGATATCAAAAGCTTCCCTCTTGTAGAAGAATGTATGAACATGTGGTTCTCGTTCCTTATTGCTTCTTCTTTTTCGTTATGACCCACTCTCGGTGCCGAATTTTATTGGGGATGACTTATAAAAGAATGGCCTTCCCCAGGGATCGAAACAGTTGTATGACCACACGTTGCCACAGCTGCACAGTACATCTATAACTATAACTGCAACTACAACACTTCATACTCTCATCTGGGTACAGCCCTACAGTACTCATCAGTCTGATATCTTTCAACATGGAGACTTCTCGATCAGATCAAACCCATACAAATGCGACTATGCCGACAGCCTCCGTTGGGCGTGGCGAACTAGGCTTAAGCCATGCGCAAACCCATGTACAACCCGATGATTACCTCGATCTCCCGATCCGCGAAGTCAACGATAGCGCCGATTTACGTGAATATCTCACCGAGACGAGGACAGGTGAAATCATCAAGCCGGTTAAGTCCAATGCTACTGGCAAAATCGAGGACTGGAAGATGGTGACCTTCACCATCGACGATCCCGAGAACCCCAAGAACTGGTCGAAGGCATACAAGTGGTACTGTACCATGGTGGTCGCCTTCACCTGCTTTGTCGTCGCATTCTGCAGTAGTGTCATCACAGCCGACGTTGAGGGACCCATGGAGGAATTCGGCGTCGGTCGTGAAGTCAGTTTGCTTGTTATCACGGTTTTCGTTATTGGATTTGGTCTTGGTAAGTAACCCACACATTGGATGTGCTTTTTATAGCTCTAACCTTATTTTAGGCCCCATGGTCTTTGCTCCAATGTCAGAGATCTTCGGACGTCGACCTGTCTACGCTTCGACCCTTGCACTCGCTGTTATCTTTGTCATCCCGTGTGCTGTTTCCAAGAACATTGGAACTCTCATCGTCTGCCGTTTGATCGACGGAATCGCCTTCAGTGCCCCCATGACTTTGGTTGGTGGTACTCTGGCCGATTTGTGGAAAAGCGAGGAGCGTGGTGTCCCAATGGCAGCATTCAGCGCTGCTCCCTTCATTGGTCCAGCCATCGGCCCACTTGCTGGTGGATTCCTGGCTGACAACTGTGGTTGGCGCTGGCTTTACTGGCTCCAGCTTATTCTCTCCTTTGTGGCCTGGATCATGATCAGCTTTACTGTCCCTGAGACCTACGCACCAATTTTGCTGAAGAAGCGAGCCCAGAAGCTTCGCAAGTCCGAGAACGACGACAAGTTTACCACCGAAACCGAGCTCGACCCTCGCCCCATGGGTGAGAAGTTGCGCATCTTCCTTTTCCGTCCCTTCCAGCTTCTGTTCCTCGAGCCCATTGTCTTGTTCATCTCTCTCTACATGTCGGTCATTTATGGCTTGCTGTACATGTTCTTCGTTGCGTAAGTTATCAACATCTTGTATCACATCTTGTATCAACACAGACCAGACACTAACTATATTTCTAGCTACCCAATTGTTTACCAGGGTGGTAAGGGATGGAGTGCGTCCAACACCGGCCTCATGTTTATTCCTCTGGCCATTGGTGTGGTTCTGAGCGCATGCTGTGCTCCTTTTGTCAACAAGCACTATCTCAAGATGTCTGCGGCATGCGGTGGCAAGCCCCCAGCCGAAAAGCGCCTGATTCCCATGATGTGGGCTTGCTGGTGTGTTCCCTCTGGTCTTTTCATCTTCGCTTGGACCTCATACCCCCATATCCACTGGATGGGACCGGCAATGGGAGGCTTCCTGATTGGATTCGGTATTATCTTGCTCTACAACTCTGCCAACAACTACCTTGGTATGTATAAAACCCCATTTTTGATTTGTGCCATTGCTAACTATTTCTCCAGTTGATACCTACCAGCACCAAGCAGCATCTGCTCTCGCAGCCAAGACCTTCATCCGCTCTATCTGGGGTGCCTGCACTGTTCTCTTCACAGAGCAAATGTACGAGCGTCTGGGCGACCAGTGGGCCAGCTCGCTTCTTGCATTCATCGGCTTGGCTTGCTGCGCCATTCCATACGTATTCTACTTCAAGGGAGCGTCCATTCGTCGTTTCTCGAGATTCGCCTTCCATGACGATGAGGAGAACGCTACCAAGCCTGTCAAGGCATAAATTGTTGCCGAGCTTGATCTTGGGAAACTTCATTAGAAAGAGGAGGTAATTTTTTTCAGCTTATGCAGCATTATGAAAATTTTTTTGCTGGTATGACTGATGTGAAAAAGTACATTCATGGATACATGACATTGGCACGGCGTCTTGTGATATCCATTGCATATTGCATATATAATCGAACTTGAAACATATTGATAGTTTTTAATACAAAAGTTATTCAAAGTTATTCTACGCACATTTTATTATGACAGTACGTACTTTTTTGAGCAGACAGAAGTCGCTTTGATCTAATGGGGTGGTTTATACATGAGAGACATTCCTACAAAGTAAGGTACGAGCAGGTTGGTAGTTGTCAATAGGAAACATGTAGTTAGTCTTGATAGATTGCATAACAGTACTGGGATTTATATTGTACAAACATCGGTTTGATCCGGCCATTTCTCTTGGATAAATAGAAGCATTGAAAATTATTGAAAATTAGAAGTACAGGGGCTAAGTAGGTGTCTATGTCTATGGCGCTGCACCTGTACAGCATGCTGACATAATCAACCTGATGCCGCGGGCTCATCAGGACCATCATATCAACTTGGGCCTCTTTGAATTTGCCTTTTTTTCGAGATCAAGGGTCAACACCAACTCCGACTCCGCTATTTAAAGACAAAATAAATCTACTCGGTCTTTTCAAGTCCTAATAATGGCCTCCGACGCCGCCTCTGTCTCGCCCGCCGAGCTCTACGACTCTGCCATGACCGTCCCCTCCGACTCAGAGAACTACTCCGCGAACCATGAGATGTCTTCCTCCGGGCAGTCAGCCGCAAGCTCACCCATGATACTTTACACGCCGCCAAGTATCTGGGGTCTTGTGCGTGGAGCGGCCATCAACCTCTTCCTCCCCTTTGTCAATGGCCTCATGCTAGGCTTTGGAGAGCTGTTCGCGCACGAAGCTGCTTTCCGACTTGGATGGTCCAACACTAAGGTATGGAATGCCAGATGAGCTCATATCGATCCTGATGACTGACTACCTACTCTCCAATATATAGATCTTCCCTAACTACCGCCGCTCACATGCAGTGGGCCCGGGTGTTGAAATGCGGGAGCTTCCTTCGGAGCGGAGACGTCCTGGACTGAGGGACAGTGCTTCTCTGGAATAAGCGATTGATGTTTCTTCTGCTGTTTGAGCCGTTCAATAATTACTGCATTTACGCGGGACACAAAACCAAAGCATGTGATTTGGGATCGATACCTGGCTTTCTGTGCACACTTGAATTTAGTGGTTGTACATAGACCTGTTGGCTCAGGGGGACGGCGTTTGGCGAATTAGGATTCACGTTTTGCAACCAGCTTTTGTTACAATATTAGAGTAGCCAAGTGAATCCATACATGCATTTTCACATTTCCATTTTCAAGTCTCCCGTACCTGACCCATAGCCGTGATCCGGGGGTATTTACCGCCCGGGCAGAAAAAGTCGCGCCGAAAGGCAGGGAAACAACTCTTCCGTATTGGTTATCCCCCCATCCCTAATTATCTCAAACCACAATGATGGGATCTGTTGGCCTGAAAGGGTCCGGCGCAGCCGCTGCATTCGCACGCCAGAGGATGACCGCCATGTCCCGGTCCTCTCGACCTGTTTGTTCTCCCGTTGACTCGAATCTCTAAAAACATCTAAATTGACTTGGCTTTGCAGATGTCCACCTTGCGGTCACAAAGTCTGCGGTTTCCTAGCCAGCGGGGCCAATTGAAGTCAGCACTATCCGGAAGTGCTCCCTGGCGCATGACACCAGTTGTTCTCGGCCCGGCTGCAGTCCGATTCAATTCCACCTCCTCCGACAGAGCACTCCCCGAATTTGCTTTAGATGGCACCCTGAAAAATGCAGTCAACATAAATGATATTACCACGATTCCGGAGTCCATGGGATACCTTAAGCAGCTCGGCCTAGACTTTGGCTGGGGCTTCACGTCAACAATGCAATGGCTTATCGAGCACACTCACATCTGGACCGGCTTGCCATGGTGGGCTAGTATTGTGGCTGTCGGTATTGTTACTCGTATAGCGATGCTGCGGCCAGTCATTAGCGCATCCGAGAATGCAGCAAGAATGACCAACGCGAAACCCAAGAGTGACCCCCTCCGGCAAAAAATGATCACTGCCACGAACGAAGGGAACCAGCAAGATGCCCAGATCGCAAGGGCCCAACTCAAGGAGATCAACGACGAGTTCGGCATTAAGGCATGGAAGAGTTTTGTTCCCATGTTGCAAATTCCACTTGGTTTCGGATGTTTCCGAGTCGTGCGAGCAATGACTTCGTTGCCGGTGCCGGCCCTGGCCGCGGAATCAGCGGGATGGATCAAGGATCTGACTGTTGCTGATCCCACTTACATTTTGCCCATGATGGCTGCGGGAACGCTGTGTCTATCTCTGAGGGTAAGTTGGTCTTGTGCGGTCTACTACAACTGTGATATTAACTAAAGACAACAGAAAGGTGGTGAATCCGGCGCAATGCCCTTGATGCAAAGCGAAGCAGGAAAGTATATCATTTATGGTTTCCCTGTCATGTCTTTTGCCTTCATGGCATTCATGCCGAGTGCCCTGCAGCTCTACTTTGTGGCAACCGGTCTTTTCGGTCTGGGTCAGACTTACCTGATCAACTCGGAGAGCTTCCGGAAGAGGCTGTCCCTGTCGATCGCTCAGAAGCCATCTACTGGACCTAAGTACTCCGCAGTCACCCAAAACACAACAAGCAAGGGGCTTCGCTCTCTGCTGGAACGACTTGAGCGGGAAAAAGCCGCGCAAGAGAAAGCACGCCTCGAGGGCACTGGAGCATATGCGCCGGAAGAAGGGAAAGTCAGCTTCATTGACCGCATTTACAAGAAATTCGGCACAGTCGGCTCCGGCGTCTCTAAATCGCTCTCAGAAACCCTCGGAACTGGAACAGTCGAGCAACGTCTTGCCAAGGACCGCAAGAAGCGCGCAGATGAATACGAGCAACAGCGAAAAGACGAGGATGACCTCATCCGGAGAGAGCGTAACGAAGCTCGCCGCAGGGAGCACATGCAAACCCTGGAGAACGAAAGGACCAAGGCGAGCAATTCTTTGAAGAATAGCCAGGCGGCTGGTCGCAAAACTAGCGGGCGGCGTGGCTCTCGCCGTGCTTGATCGGCGTGTGTTTATACAATCTGTAAAATATGGCGCAGTGGCATTTGCATTGTTTTTTTGTGATTAGAAGAGTAGAATTTAGTTCAACCACAATCTCCATTTGGCTATGTACAATTCTCGAATTGAAACTTGCATCATTCATCTTGCTATATCATAGGATAAAAACTCGAAGAGCTAGAAAATGGAGATTCCAGAACAAATTATATTTACACTCATGGCCATGGACCAGCCATGTCGAAAACGAAGCTCCCCTAGCCACACAACACCACAAACCTGGTTCAAACTAACACAATCTATAGTATTAACATGTAGCACGTAAATAAAATGACAGAAAATCAAGTCGTCTGCATAGGGATCGAAACGGCAGGCAAAGGTATCGGTGTCTTCTCATCTTCAACAAAAACAGCCCTCTCCAGCTTCTGGGTTATAGAAGCACAGAATGTATCCACATACGCCGTCCATAGCGCAGCAACGAGATACACAAGCCCAATCCAGACGGGGATACTAATAGCAACGACCCACGGCGAACGGATAGGCAACCAGACACGCGGGTCGTCAGTTGCTGCCTCAGGACCTTCCCATGGCTGACCGGTGATACCATATAGCATCCAGCAGAGTACAACGCGCAGCATGGTGCCGTGGATGAGGTAGACGGCGAAACTCTGCTTGCCGAGCCAGAGGAGAAGTCTGCTGGAGAGGAAGTTTTTCGTCGAAGGGGAGAAAAAGATCGCAAGGATGATCATGTCGACTGCGATTGCGGTGTAGCGTTTACCGACGTTGACGCCTGGCGGGAATATATATTGGCTTGCCTTGAGCATTACATTGGACCAGCCGGCCCATTCGGGATGTTCGCCGGGGTATGAAGCGAGGAATAATGCGCTAATGGTGAGTGGGATGGTGAGCATCTTCCTGCCTCGCGGGTTGTTTTCTATCCAGTCTTTGAGGGTTGTGTGGTAAGAGAAGTCACTGAGGAGCACGCCGAATATGGCTTGCATTTGGAAAGTTTCTGTAAAATTGGAATTAGCATTTTGTCCTGAAATGAATTGAAACTCGTATGTTGTTTCTTTTCCATGAGTAACACTCACCTGTGTCCCTGGCTGCATCCTGGTGGAAATAAAGTAACATGCCAAGGTAGATCGCAACTCTATACCTAAATTGGACGAACATAGTTGTAAAAAGCAAGAGATAAACCAACATAGACGACAAAAGCAGCGGCAGAAGCGCCCACTGATGATCATCGTATGCCATATATCCCGTCGTCCAAGTCGACAAGAAATTCATCGGCAAACGAATAAGTTCCTTCCAAAAGGAATCCTCAAGATCTGGTGCCGCATAACGACACCACTTGCAATCCGATCTATTTGCAACAATAAAGCCGCCGAATTGGGCGACGATCCAGGAAATAAGCAGAGCAATCGTCGCCGGGAAGATCAGTCGCGGCGGTCGACGAAAGGCGCTCTTTGATATTGTTTCGAATGCGCTTGTTGTATCACCTGCTCGCGACAGTTTGAGTGGTTTAAGCGCACATACGTAACCCGTTAAGAAGGCGAAGATGGTCACACCCAGACGACCTTGCCAGGGGATGCGGAGGACAGGCCACTGGAGGATTCTTGGGGTGGCACCCTCGCTGTCGCGCGGAAAGAATAGAGCATAGTCCCAGCCTCGGGAGAGATGGGTTAGGACTACTAGGAATGAAGCGATTCCTCGCAGGCCCTAGAAGGTAAATACGTTAGATGGTATCAGTATCATGCGGTGTCTTTTCAAAACATACATCAATCCATTTGACACTCTTTTTGGGATCTCCTTTCACTGGGTTTCCGGAGGACCAAGGCAAGACAGTGGGTAATGTATCTATTAACTGGGTGTATAGGTGGGAAGGTTGGAGGTATTGCATTATAAATAAACAAAGAAATGCAAGTATGCAATCTGAATGAGAACCGGGCTTTAAAATAGGCTGAGCATCGACCCCAGAGAAATGAAGGTCCGTATAAAAAGAACAATGAATCAAAGAAAAGCACAGACATGGAGAAACTGAGACAATCGTCCCCCTCGTTCACATCAACAAAGAGCCTGCCAAGGAAAATCCCGCCAAGAAAGGGTCGGCGCGGCAATGCAAGTGCCCTTCGATGTGGGATCGCTGCGAGCAGTCAACTAGTCCCACTTTGCAAGAATATTGCAGCATCAGCGATTGACTACTACGTATGTTGTACTCCGTACTTTGTCTCGAAGTACCTCAATAATGGAAAACGCTATTCGAATAGCAACCCTTGCTGTCCTGCACAGTGGCTTTCTGCAGGGTTGAATGATCCACCTCATTACTGTTTGCTGTTCCCGGCTTGACGTTTTGGGGAGTTAAAATTCGATTCTCTCGTTTGTTGGGATTTAGTCCATCTCGACTTCCTATTCCGGATAGATTGGTACGACATTGAAGCCCTAATTCCGAAGATGCTCCTCCGTATATGTCCAATTAGACCATCTACGTAGGCAGCAATATGGAAGTTTCGAAAAGGAGTGACCTGCAATAGCGTCATTGACATATTTGTTACACTAGACTTGGCTGGTTTGAAAACAATAGTGATTCGATACTCCGTGCATATGTAGAATAGAGACTATAGGAAGAGAATGGTGCATATTTATCCCCAGGCACAACCTTATCATACTAATTATACTTCATGTTTGCCGCACGGAGTACATATATACGTTGTAAATGACATAGGTATTCCTTACCCCTGCCAAGAGAGGGCCTCCTAGTTAGATATATCAGATCTAGTGAAATGTGCGATGGATCCGCCCGTGTTCCAAATCCAACACTAGGGTTTCATCTACAAGGATGACGGCGAATGGAGGCCCAATTGGGGTATCCCAAGTTCGTTGATGGTACTCTGTACGTAGTATGTCGCAGAAGGTGAATAATCATGATATCAAAGCCGAAACAGACCCAGTCTGCCGTAAGAACATTTGAATTTCCCTCCAAAAGCCCAGATCACCGACCCTTAGTGTACTAGACATGAAAACAAAGCAAAATGAAGCTCGCACGCCGATATGCAATAAAAGACTGTTGAATTATTATCGGAAGAGTCTTCTCCCACCTGCACTTCCCGAGTTCCACGTGAATGCGCCTCGAACTCCCAGGTTCTCCAGACTCAATCCCGAGTAACCGACTCCACCACCTTCGCCATCGCGCTTTGCCCGCCGTACCGCTTCACGCAGATGTGAGGGTAGAAGCTGGCCACGGTGTGGGTTTGGCGGAGGACGGAACTCGCGTTTGGGGCGAAGGGGAGTGGGAGTTGGGCGAGGAGAGGATGCTGCTGAGTTCTGATGGATAGGGATAGAGGGTGTAGGGGTACGGGTAGAGTCATGTGATTCTTTCTTAATTCCATTACTGTAAGAGGCTGACGCCGAACCGGGGACTGGTGTCCCTGCCGGGGTTGGCGTAGAGGGTTTTGAATTGGCGGTCACACCTGAGGCTTTCGCCTGGGCCGCAGCTTCGGCCGCGGCTTCTTCAGCCTCGAACGCATCGCGCGCAGCGAGATCGTGTGCTTCGGCCCATTGGGCCTGGACCGTTCGTGCCATTTCGATCACTTCACCGGCGAAGACCTTGGTGAAACCGTTGACGGTCGTCACCACGCTGGCTGGGACGGATTGTGAGAGGGCATGATTGACGATACGACGGAGGGTTTCTTTTCGCAGCTTCGCCCGCTTGAAGAGATCATATCTCTCTGATTGCATAGGATTAAAAGCATCAACCAGGATCCTGTCCAAGACCAATATCAGCTCCATCCGATATTACCAAAATGACAAGAAAATACGTACGCTAGGTTCTTCTTCTCAGCCTCTGTATCCGTAGCTCCTTCTTGCTGCCCAAATAGCTCTGCCTCATCATCATCATCATAATCATCCGCATCGTCACCACCCCCACCGCCACCTCCACCAGGACCACCTCTGATCGAACCCTCGTTATCGACTGATCCGAACCGTGTAGAATCTCCCGCCCTGGCGCTGAGAGCATCATCGCGCTCCCGTTCCCGCTCTTTCTCGGCTTTGCTCTTGCGTCCTCGTTTCTTTCCACGTGCAGCACCAGAGAAGATGCCGTCTGCGCTTGCTCCGCCCAGACTCCCTGTAAAACTGCCTGTCACGCTCCCTGCGTCGCTAGTACCACCGAAACTGCGGTCGCCAACATCGAGACCGGTTGGGAAGGAAGTCTGGCGGAGTGGGTGCATGCGCTGCTTCTTTCCAAGCGGCATTGAGGCGGTGGAGGAGATAGAGGGTCGTTTGAGAGGGTTGGATGATGATTGGTATGGTGGTGGTGATGACATTTTGAGAGGCTATAGTGGATCAACAGGGACGGGTTGTATTGCGCGTGTGATGGTGCAATAAATTCGTATTTGAAACAGTTGGCTGTAAGGATGCTCAATCTTCTCGATAGAGTATGAGCGCAAGTTGAAGCTCTTTCAATGGCCGAGGATTTCGCGCTGCGCCGCTGCGCCGGGCGAGGAATGTCGAGATCAAGCTTGGATTCAGACGGATGGTAATTTCGAGTGATACTAAGCTATCTATGAAAGAACGGTAGATAGCGATATTATTTTGCGGGGTTTCTGTGAAAGTAGGCAGCTGTTGCAATCGATTGGGAAGCAATTTGGATGAGACACGAGATAAGGACGCATCTCACCGCCTTCTATATTGGGTAAATATAGCTCTATCTACATTGGACACTGGATGCGTTTAAGAATCCTAGAATTTACACGGAAACTAAAAGTAATATGATACAAAAAATGATAATTGTAATTGTAATTCAAAATGCTTACATTGACTCCGCAGAGGAGTCCTCGAAAGCAGGCATGATGTATGATCCAAGGAGTGACACGACGACGAAAATCCGAGAAGAATCGAAGCTTGTGTACCATGATTCGATATTTCTCAATTGAACAACTGCAGCAAAATGAAGAAAGAATGAGTCGCTCAGCTTAATCATGCGATGCTGTGCACTATGTAATAAAACGAAATTGACACAAAAAAAAGAACGAAACAGAGAAAACTGCACAAATACTGAATGCCAATTTGAAAGAACCCTAAACAGATAGAAAGGTCGCACCCGCGAGGAGGAACAGTCCAATGGCGGATGGCTGAAGAACCAAGTCACCTTAGAAACTCTTCTCTCCAAGTCGCGGTGCCCCCCCTTTCCAGTCATTGCGTTCGTAGTAACGGAACACAAGATCATAACCGTTCAGGTCATGGACGATGCGATCGACACGGCGGTAGCCTTCGACGTGCTCCATCTTGTTGCTGCGGCGAAGAGCCTGGCGCTGAGCATGCGCGAGATCATGCTGCCCATTCGCCTCTTCGACCTCATCCAATACAGGCTTGGTCTCGAACAAGGTGATGCTGAAGCGACCAGGCTTGAAGATCGCAACAACCTGGTCAATGATGTCGGCAGTGGCCTTGCCGTTCTGAGAGTGCGGGACGTTGGTCTCAAAAGATGCGTACGAACACTGAGGCTCCGGTGTGACATGCACGGTGAAGTAGTGGGTCGGGGCGTTGCCATCAGGAGCCGGCACAACGCCATTGGCAGAGAAGCCACATGGAGTAAAAAGGTATGCATCAATGCGGGCATCCGGGAACTTGCTCTTGGCGTACACGTCAGACAGTCCGCATGACTCGGAGACGACAGTGCCCAGAGCATGGCCCTCGGTGGTGAGCTCCGGCGGCAGGATGCCACCAGTCTCCTCATCCATGTCGGAGGTGTTGCTGAAGACGTCGAGGTGATCAGTACCATCGTCTTTCTCTGAGTTACGGTGACGCTTCTCGGCCACAGCAGTGGCGTTTTCGAGATAGAACTGCTTCGCGTTTTGCTCGTCAAGATCGGTCATCAGAATCTCGAGGGTCTCATCGTGCTCATCACAGTCGGTGCGCGGTGCGGCATTAGGGAAGTTGAGGACCTTGGTTTCGGTCTCGTGAAATTCAACCTCCTCCTTGGGGCTCGCCGGTGGGGTGAGCATGGTGCCAGGCTCGGTAAGGTAGAGATACCAATGTTCTCCATTCATCTTCCCGATCATGTAGGCGCTGCCATTGACGAACAATCTGTCCATGGATCGCACTTCATCGCGCCAGCTGCGGTGAGGGCCACGCTGACGGTCAGGGAACAGGAAGTTCTTTCGGCTGTAGAAGACACGGTAGGGAGCAGCGGCCACTGTGATACCCCGGGATGGAGGAGCCGTGGCGCGTGGGAACCCTGCGAACAAGGCAGCGATTTCCAAAATGCGCGGGAGTCCCGAAAGCAAGGTGGTAGTTCCGCACGTCTTGAGAATCAACTTGTGTGGCCAGACAAACATGCTGGACTCCGACAGAAGGTAGGCGTCCATCTCATCAGAGGAGATAACGGACAGCACCTGGCAATTCACCAGGTCCAACATATCCTTCCAGATTTCCCCGGGCACTTTCTTAAGGCCTTCGGGGCCGGCAGCGCCTAGTTCGGCGGCGGATGGCGCAAACCATACCTCGAGAAGCTTCTCAGGACCTTCGAAAGCATTTGTCGAGTCGAGATCCTGAGTGGCCTCGTAGTTGATTGTGAGAGACGGCGTGCCCGCAAATGAGGACGGCGAGGTCGTGTAGTTCGTTGGAATGCCGACGTAAACCATGATGACTGATGTAACTTGAGCTGTTGTACTTGTGTGTGTTAAAACGAAGCAGAAACAGTGACGTCGGACCGCCCTATGTACTTCGATGGAGATAGGCTGTAGAAGCACTGTCTACTTACCCAGACGAACAAGGGGGCGATGCCCGTCTGAGAAGAGAAGGCCCTGAAATAAAGTTCTAACTGGTCAGACCAGGCAGATAGACTCTCCAAACAGACCGAAGGGCTGCTAAGGAGGACGGAAGGCAAAGGACAAGAAGTAGATCGTAAGAGAAATTGTGACTAGCAGTCGATACCCTCGTTCTGGAAGATACCGATACCGGTCAAAGTATCGGGTCTAGCAGACGAGAATTCTGCTCTGAAAAAAAGGGTATGGGGAAAACGTGGGAGCTGGTGACGACGGGAGTCGGGTTATCGAGGCCTAAAGCAGTATGATGGTTAGAAACAGTGTTATAAGAGAAGATAGACACAAGAAAATTCATTTCTTGTGTTGGAGTTCATGGCAATTAAGCACGATATTCCGAACCAGCTAGCATTGATAGCTTTTGGCAGGCCCTTCTCCACAGAGGGAAGATTCACACTTACTTCGCGGGCTTGGACAAGAATCGCAGAAGGTCAGTTGGGCTCATGGAAGGCGAAAACAAGTTCGACTTAGATCAGCACGAGGTAGCAGAGAGCTACAATCGTGAACATCGGCGGGGTGCTGTAGGACAGTCTCACCCAGAAGCCCAATGGGTACCCGAGATTAGAAATTACTCAGGGTTGGAGAGAAACAAGGAATTTCTCGCTAAAATATTGGCGATGGATGGAGTTTTATGGCCTTGGTGACCTCGAGGAGGGGAAGTGCAAAATGTTTGCTACCAGTTCGGTTGGTAATGAGTGATTTTCTGTGTGGGCCCGCGATAGGGCGGGGCAAAAAAAAACGGATCAAAATCTGTCTGACATCAGGGAACAAGATTGTTAGTTTCAATTGCAGGGGTAAAAAAATATCGGAGCCTTGTAGTGTTACACACGAATTAGGCAAGTTGAAGCTGCAATAATATGCAGATCGTCACGGACGATTTCGGCCTGTTAAGAGGGACATCACAGAAAAAAAAAAAAAGCCAAAGCGGGCGAGGCCTGCTCACATGAGCGGCGATGTCAGGCAGAATTTAACTTTGTTCCTGACGCTATTACGTAAGATCCACCTGACTCAGCATGGATCTAGCGGGGCCGGGGACCCATTGAGGTCCAAGCGTCTAGGGCAAGTATGCGAATGTACTATGTTAACCACTATGTGTTTATGATTGTACATAGTGTAGTATACATCTGTAGATACTGTATACATGTACCAACAAACCAAAATCCAGTGATAAAATTCGAACATAGGTAATACTATCAGAAAGCCCCCCACAAAGACAATACACTACGGAGTACGGAGTACATAAGCAGGATATCTATGGATGAAGTTACCATATGATACAGTGATCAAGGCTGTGTCATGTAATTATAAAAAACATATCCAGAGCCTGAATATATCTACCTAGGTATCCATAACCCCCGAACCAACGCCCGAGATAACGCCATGCCGCATGAACAAATCATCGCGACCTCATTTGCAAAAGAACCCGAGAGATATCATGCAGAAAACCCAGAAAGCCATTCATGATTCTAAAATGATATGTGCTAACTGCACCTCGCCAGCCTCCACAATCCTTGTTGCAATGATATCCCCGACCTTGTCAACTAGTTTGGAGCGGAGGTCGTCTGTGACAGTGTGACCATTGGTCAAAAACGGTTGGCTACCACGCAGCGAGGCCAACACGGCGACAAGAGCATTCAGAACTCGCTCGGCAGCTGGCCGACGGGCAGCATCATCCAAGCCATCGCTGAGAAGTTTGGTATATTCATGCAGATTGGGAATGACGAGCACTCGGATTACTTCAGAGCCCCCGACAGATTGCAGTCCAATGATGGCACCATAATGAGCACCGAATGGTTTTGAAGGGTCGAGGAAGGTCTTGAGACAGGAGCGCACAAGTCGAGGCTTGAGCATGTGAGACGAATGGGAGTACTTTTTGGCAATGAGACTGAGGAGAGAAGCGGCCATATCGCGCAGAGCGAATGATTCCACAAGATCCGCAGGTCCACCAAGTTGTCGACCAATGAGGCAAGTAAGAATGGATGGTACGAGAGATGCAATCTGATGGAGTTAGCAGTTAGCGTCTGAATATGCTTCTTCTAAGATAATAGAGTCCGCTCACATAAGGGTCCACGTAAAGTGACTGATTTTGGACCAGCGCCTCGGCCATGTGCATCACTTGAGTGAGAACGAAAACATTCTTAAGACTGTGCGTGACCTTCTCGGCGATGAACTGGACAAAGTATGGCACCAGCTGGTGCAGACCTGGGTCCTCACGAAGGCTGGAATACCCGGAGGTACGATAATCCTCGCTTGTTTCGTGCAGGAAGGCACTACAGACCTTTTCGAAGTAGAGTTGAAGTTCCCTTGACAGCACATGCTTGACCAGTGGCTTGACAGCCACATCACCTGTGCCACTAATCGCCGCCAGTGTGGAGTTGGCGTTTGGACCTTTCGAGACCAGTTCGAGATTGCGAGAATCGGCAGCGGTTGGGTTCTGAGGGATCGATGGTTGCACACCTTCGACAGCCAACCAGTGGGCTAGGTAGAACAGACGTTAGTGGCTGGACAACACGTCTGAGCAAGGAAGGATATTCACTCACCAGTGAAGGAGACTTCGCGGGGAACCTTTGGCAGAGGCGCATTGATCAGCTTCTCAAAGTCAACCTCCTCATCTTCAACGTAGAACAGCGGTTGGCCGGGTCCTAGAGAGGCTTCGCCGAACTTCAACGGACGGGTGGAGTCGTAGCCATACAATGGCTCCACGTCCAGGTTTCGCAAGGCCAGCGCAATGTCTTGAGTGGTAAGAACCGTGCGCTTACAGTGGCGCATACATTTCAGGGCTTCCTCAAGCACCTGCGCAACTCGATATTCGACGTCCCGGGCGAGATTCTCGGTCACATCGTTATTGAGGTTGAGAATACCGACGGATTCGGCAACATCACGGATGTTATCAGGGTTCCAGACAGACATGGTAGAAGGTCGTAGTCTGGAATGAAGCGATTTGTGAGGGGAAAATCGAGATAAATTTGGGTTCAGACAATAATGGTGCTATCGCAAAAGTCAGGTGAAGGGTGAGGGACAGTAGAGGCTTAGAAGGCGAGTCTCATTCTGGGGCCACCGCCAGCGGATCCACAGATTAGACAATAACAGCCCTTTCTATTGAACCAGTATTGTGTTAAAATGCGGAATGCAACGCGGCAAATTCAAGGATAGAAGGAATAAAGTGAACAAGCATCGCCTGGAAGATGAAAGCTTGTCGATAAGAGTTGCGCGAATGGTTATGCAGTTTCCCGTATAAGCTGCCCTACCTAGTATGTACATAGTAGTATGTACATAGGTATAGCCTATGTACTCCGCACATGAAGATACACTCCGTACTTTCGCTCACAAAACATGAATCAATCTTAACCAGAAATAGAGAATAATAAAATTAGATATGAATAACCATAGGGTACTAAGAATACAGTGCATCTTGAGAGAGCACACCAATAACCTGAAACCAGGTACACAAGAGCAGGGAGCGTTATTCACTACTCCTCCGGGTATCATAACAGGCAGAACCAGCCAAATATTGTTCTATTGGGATCCATCCTTCGCAGGTCCTTCCTTCAGAGACTCAACCTTGGGAACATCTGCTTTGGCTGGCTCCTGAGCAGTCTCCTCCTGTGGTTCCTTAACAGCCTCCACCTTGGGGGTTTCTTCTTTCGATGCCTCCTCCTTAACGGGCTCAGCAACAGTAGGCTCCTCGACAGACTTGCCCTTGTCCTTAGTCTCCTGTTCCTTGTCCTCAACCAACGGAATGAACCTAGCACTCTCCTTCAGCTCCGGACCCTTGCCACCATAAGCTTTGGGGATTTGTGCAGCAATCGAAGGAGAGAATTCCCGAGCCAGATTGGCACCGTTGGTGATCGGGTGGAACTTGCGCGTGGTGTTCCGGCTCAGGATAAACTTCATGGCGGTGAACATCCAGCCCATGATAGCAGGAACGTTGACGAAGAACTTCTCGCTCAGGAGCTCTGGGTATGCTGTAGCGAACACTTCGATGACTTTCTTTGTTGCGGCACGGACAGACGGGTCCATACGGAAGAATTTGACATTCATGTAATCATGCACTTGAACCATCTGGTAGGGATCCTCGCCGTCGTACTCGATTACCTCGGTGGCATCCTTCATCTTCAGGTCCTGTACGGCGAGTTCCATGAGAGCGGCACGCCATTGAACGAACCTATGACCAGTTAGAATTGATTTCAACCGCAAAGGAGTTTTCATGCTGGGTTCTTACTCATCAGTATTCGAGAATGTCGCAGTGATATCCTTCACCGCTCCATAGATATTCCAAGTGAACACCAAGGGCCGTCCGTTCTCCTCGTAGGTCGTCAGGTATCCCAAACCTCCAAATTTGGCTGCGCTGTATTTCGCAGACTCTGCCAGTGCCAGCGGGTTCACTTCCTTGCGCCACTGGAGTGCTGAGCTGAGCTGGGTCTCAGCGGCTTTGGCGTTGCCTTCATTTGCGCGCAGGAACTTGATCAACACATTGACAGTAGGAATGTCATCGCTATCCTTGAGGGGCACCCCCCACATCTCAGTGTGACCAGTATTTTCGAGGATAGTTGGCAGACGGCCGAACAACTCGCTCAACGCCGGGTTCTTGCTCAGGTAAGCTGGCTTCTCAACCTTGGGTTCTTCGGGCTTTGCTGCTTCGGACTCTGCAGTGGCAGTGGTGGCAGCGGCATCATCCGTTGCAGCTACTTCTTCAACTGGGGCACTGGTGGACTCGTCTTTAGCTACCGTCTGTTCGGTGCTTTCGGTAGTAGTCGCGGGAGTTTCCACGGGCTTATCGACTGCTTCCACGGTCTCACGCTTCTCAGTCACAACGGGCGCAACGAGCGCAACAGGCGCATTCTGATCAGCCGGCATGGTTGATGGGATTAGAATGGATGGTGTGTTGAGATTAGAGGAAATAGGGGGTTTTAAATTCACAGGGGGGGGGGGGGCAGTTGCCTTGTCAATAATCGGGCCACTTATCAATCCCCCCACCTGTCAGGCATGGCTTTTTTATTGTTTCATGATCGACCCGTGAACATGTCACATCCACACCTTCTATCTATTTTTAATTTTTGGGGCTTGATTTTGATTCGATTTTTCAAATGAATTTATATTTGGCATCATTTAGATGAAACACATAAAGTGTTAGGCTATAAGCTAGAAGTTTTCACTGTATGTGATACATCTACGGAGTATGAATATGTATCTTAGGAACATTGAAGATTTCTAGCCTATCATATTGCATGGCTCACATATGTAGCTTTTAATAGCTTCAATAATTGTCATAGATATGCATATGTTTTCAAAGTACTCCGTACTCCGTACTCCGTGGAGGTATCACAGCGGAGTGTTCTTCCTTCCCCTTAGTATACATACTAGCCCCAGACTCAATTACTCCTATCCCACATACAACATACCACTTTGTAGCACACCTTCGGTACCACTTTGAAAAGACTAATACGAGACTATCGATCCTAGTGGTCTTTGGTTTTCTATGTTCACATTAACTACGGAGTAGTTAAGAGTTACCCGGATTTGCTTACTACTTTAATTTTATAGAGTCCGGCCTAAATTCTTGCCCCTTTATCAAGTTCTAAGCCTCTATGGGAAATATGTTGATATAGTTAGTAGCAAAAGAGGGATCCTTATGATTCTTATATCCCAATTTATAAAGAGCTATATAGTTAGGTATATACTATTCTTTGATAAACCATCATCGAGATATAAAACGGACATTGTAGAGTAAGAAATATTCCTAGGTGAGTAAACACAGCGGCAACCCTAGAGCTAGGTATCAAGGTTGTCACACGAAAGCGATCGACCTTTCACTTGTGCAATCCTACAGAGTCAAACAGGTTTAGTTCATTTCTTTATGTAGAGTATCATACAGAAAATGCAGTACTAGTGGCTGTGAAGATGACGCTTGATTCATCCGACACGTCGGTGCTGCTATAAAACAATAACCACCATAATTACCGAGCACTTAGCGGGATCACTAGTATAATTTATACTGCATTCATTTTTAGACCTTAGAGGGTAAATATAGAATATAGGTACGGAGTAGTTATTTTAAATATCTTTAGGTGCATACCTATGTTATAGAGCTCTAAACGTCTAATAGACATATATAAGATGAAATTGCGTTGCAAGTTCTGTGTACGAACTGGAGTAGGGAGAAGAAACGGGAACGAAGAGAGAAAGAGAAATGGAAGTGGGAAGTAGGGGAAAAGAGGATACATACTATAACTTTTACCAGGGTGTCGAGGCTCTTGGGAGTCTAGTCTCTCTATGGGTGGATTTCCTCTCAGGCTTGTTGTAGCTTGGCCACTACATGTGGTATGCTTTCGTTATTCTTCATTTTATCATACGTACAACCAAGCGAATGCAACACAGGATTAACGAACGAAATGGATACAAACTAAGGTATTAAGGGTGCCACTGTCTACGGTTGACATGGCTGGCGAGTAGTCAGATTCGCCAGAATTGATTTGCTATCCCGACTCATTATATTTTCTTCCAAGGTTACTGTATTTGCTTTTTATCTCGATAAATATTTGCTTTCTTTGTACATTTACCCTCGAAGGAGCTATACCCAGAGTTAATATGGAGGAGTAGTGCTGGTTTCGATAACTTCGGTATACTCCGTGTATATATATCGTATATGAGTCAAGGAATTTGTCGACATAGAGTTTCTTGCAATAGGTGGCTGTAAATCTTTATAAAAGAAAGTTGTGTTCACTATCATAGATCACTTCCTTTTGGGGAGATAAGTAGTAACCCAAAAAAGCCACTCTTTAAAAGGTTGCTTTGGGAGACGATTATACCCAAACTACGGAGTAAATTCTATCCAAATAATGATACTGGTAAACATGTGGAGTACAAAACGTAGCAAATATCCATGCAGTCAGCTTCAGCCAAGCCACCTGTTCGAAAACAGACGCAGGCATATGTGACGAAAACCTTCAACCTGCATATGCGTAAGCACATTGACCAAAAGGCGGGATTGACTAGGTGCAGATGCCAACAATGTGGCGTCCAATTACTGGGAGCTGCGTTAGGTAGTGATATGTTTTTGACAGCTGTCAGGTCTTGTAAATGGGGTTTGATACACATTGAACGTGTTCGCCAAACAATCTGAATAAATATTATTGTTTCTAGAATCTTGTATTTTCTTGGACAATTAGCAGTTAAGGCTCATCAGTCCCAAAGTCACTATCACACTCTTCCTTTTGAGGACTGGCTGAACTGAGATTCAAGGCAGCGTTGACGCTAGCCAGCAAAGAAGTGACCGCTATATATCATTAGAATGGGACGAAAACTACCGCGATATATAACTTACCGAGTACACACTGCAGCTCAAGATACCCGAATCTCTCGACCATAAATCCAGCTAAGATGGGTCCCACCAGTAGACCAGACATCCAACTCATATTTGTGACTGCAACAGCACGCGAATATCCTCCATAGGGACCAAATATGCCAGGATATAAGTCCTCCAACTCATCAACGGTTCCTGTAAACAACACATCAGTACTCTGACTTCTACTAACAACATCCAAAACTTACTGGTTGCTTCCATCGTTCCAACCCCCATGAGAAAGCACATAAAACACCCAATCATAGTCGTGCAGACGCCATAGATGATCTTCCCTCTATTCCCCAAAGTAGCCCATGGAAAGCGCTCATCACCGGCGACTCCAAGAACCCACAGGAAAGGCGCAAGAGAGATAAATCCAATGGTAGTGGGAACCCTCGATCCCACACGGTCTTTCAACGACCCAACAAGAGGAGCAAGGATCATGCCCGGGCCCTGGATAGAAGCGAACAAAAGCCCGATCGGGAAGACACCCCAGTCAAAAGCGTACCTGACACGCATCGCGATAGTAGACTCGAAGCTGGCAATAAACAATGCAAAGACAAAATAGCAAACAATTCCCGCCATAAAGCGAGGCTGACGGAAAAGGCAGACGTAGAAGCGCCAACCGCCAATTTCCTCGGTAGCCGATGACATATCTCCACCAAGAAGCGGTTCCGTTTCAGATGAGTGCCTATTCTCTTCAGCGCACGGTGATCCATTTAAATCCCGACAAGCAGTGTCACGACGTTTCTGCTGTTTTTCAATCATGAGCAGACGCATAATTATATCCACGACGAGAAACAGCGCCGCACCAGCCCATGCTGTCCAGTACCCTCCAGTTCCAAAAAGAAACCCAGCAATGACAGGACCAGAGCATGTCCCAGCTGAAGTTAGGGTCGAGGTCAAGCCTGCAATCTTGCCCATGTGTTCTGACCCAATATTCTCGGCCATTGTGGCCATGCCGACGATAAATAATGCGTTGCTGACGATACATTGAAAGAAGCGACCGATGAAAAGCCAGGCCACTGGGAATGAGTTAGTACAATTGGGGGTAGTGCGATTTGGGGTATATTAAACTTACAGGATGTAGTGATTGATAGACATAATACGCTAATCAGAGTCAGTACCAGCAATACCAGTAGTAGAGTCTTCTTGGAGCTGGCTCTGTCCGCTATATTCCCGATGAATGGACTCGAGACGATAGATATCAATGCGCCTTCAACTAGAAATATGGATGTTAATCGCTGGGTGAGGGATGTGTCTAGCCCTAGGCGGTTCTCGAAGATGTAAGGGAGCAGTGGGACCATGAAAGCGAAGAGCATTTCATCTAGAGAAAGCAATTTCAGTAAGAAAGGATCTAATTTCTCCACTGCAATAGTTTGATGCACCAACCTGTAAACAATGCCATAGACATGCTACTGAGAATAAATGTATCGGACGAGCGCCAGCGATATCCCCATGTTCGCCATGAAACCTGTTTCTTAACATCCGGTAAAGGAAACATGTTGAATACCTGACTTATCGATTAGACAGCTGCGAGGGGTTGTTATTAATATAATATAACAAAACAAAAGAGAAAAGGTGGGGATTGAGCAAAAAATTTCAGGCGAAATATATGTATCCAAAGTAGAAGACATGGGAGGGACATCGCCTATATTTGTCCAAAATCAAGCAAGCAATGAGACAAGAGTACTCCGTACCGAACACCACGGCTGCATATCTAATTATGATTGCTTTTCCCTCTTCCGACCAATGTGAACCTCGTCTCTGACGTGCATTGATGCCCAGTAGCTCTAGTGAATACCGGCCGAATGCCAATTATGATCTGGGCCATTCTTGAATTACAATATTGGTTGGTAGTGTTATGTATAAAGACCATAGGGTTGTCTAGTAGCACAATGAATATACTTATTTTCATCTTTATATCAATGTTGGACAAGACTAAAGACGATATTCAGATCATCGAACCTTATTTGGACAATAAATGAGAGCGCCGCGATTCTATGGTACTACAATCCTATATATAAGGTCCAGTAACGTAAATCATGGATTCATTTCCCGCGGGTCGAAGTGCCACAAGTGGATAGAGCTCTGAAGCGAAGAGATCCTTTGCCAAGTGGAAACCCAGACTAGGAAACGAGCAGTAATAAAAGATAGCGCTGGGGGAATATACACAGAAGAAGAGGAGACAGAATAGAAAACAGGAGAGACTGTTGTGGGGCAATCTGAAATCAACAAGGACCGCCATCGGGGGAAGAACTAGACCCAAGGATACAAAGTCACAGAAAAAGACCAGGAAAGACCAAAAAGCCAGCGTGTCTCTATTGTCCGTTATTGCGGAACCGCTCAGGCATATGAGGCATCGACGACGGGGGACCAGGCTCTGATCCGTCATTGTCTTCCATTTCCTCATCCAAATCCTCAGGGTGGCTAGACATATGAAGTTAGCTTACGAAATCAAAGTATTAGGGATGAAATAGGATCCACATACGCAAGTAGCTCCTTGATATTCCTCATCTCATAGTGCCTCTTGCGCTGCTGCTCGAAATGAGCGTGCTTCGCGCGGGCCTCTTCAGTCGTCAAGAGAGGATCATGAGCAGGCGCATGGGCACCATTTGCATCCTCCGTACCGACATGAACATGCTTCTCGCTCTTGTGCGAGTCCGTGCTCATGCTACGTTCACGGAAAACACGAGCATCGTTGAAAGGAATGTCCTGCAGGGATTCCTCGGGTTCACCGAGCTCCAAATCAGGAATTTCATCCTCTGACACAGCCTTCCGATGGTGAGTGGATTTAGCCGAGTCCAGTTCATCGACGACAATGCCCTGCGCATCGATTAGGGCTTCACTTGCATCGTCGAGGCGCATCTGTTCATCGTCTTCGCTGGGGTCGTAGTGCGGGGCGTAAGGAGTCTTGGGCTCGTCAATTTTCATCTTCGCCGTCTTCTCCTGCTCGGTAAGGTACAGGTTTGCTTCATCCCACTTGAGGCGGGGTTCGTTTTCGTCATGGGCGCTGGCTAACGACTGTCGACGCGAATTAGTGGCTGCGCGATTGGTGGATGAGGATCGCCGACGGCCTGCATTCTGCAGGGTATTTTGGATAGTGAGTTCCTTGGTCTCCTCTGGTTCAAAGATGGCTGGAATGGAGAGCGGGGAGGCGGCTGTCATCGGAGCGGGGACGCCTTGGAAGGAGCTGGAGTTCTTGAGGATGCCTGTTTAGTGCAAAAGCGTACTCGTCAGATCCCATCGTTGCTTTTGGTCGCCTTTTCGTGCTGACATAGTTAGGACTCACCTTTTGGTCGATGGTGCACATCATCGGAGCTGTGCGCCTTGGCCGGCATGTGTGGTGCAGTAGTCATGGTGGGATGATTGATAGGAAAGACCGAGTTCGCCCGATTTGCAAGTGGACGATGTAATAAGAAGTCTGATTTCCGAGGGGGGAATCAGAGAAATGAAAAGGATGGCCTGTCTTATTTTTATTATATCATAGGCCTCGAGCTTTCCTCAGCTGCAATCCGTGCGAAAAAAAAAAAAGAGGCTGAGTACCGCCTGATGTGGTTGGTAGGGCGGGTGGAAACGGATAAACCAACCGAATATCAGCCTGACTCAGATAGATAAAGTCAGCTCACGGTAGTCACGAGAAGCAAAGAAAAGAAGAAATATATGGTCAAGTGGAGGGGGTCTTGTTGATGACGTCGGCCCGATCATCTACCCGACACAAAATCCAGCTTAGGTAAACGTTTATCAGATGGATCTATCCATGGATGGATTCCCGCATATCTGGGCAGGGAGGTTGGACGTCATATTATAGGGTTGATACTGTAGTCCGCGGGTCTTGGAAATGACATGAACTGTCAATGCATGACGCTTGTGTCCCTGATCTTCAAAAGAGGCAATACATTTGAACTCTAAATGGAGGAATAAGAGCATTACTTGTAAATGAACAAGGACATATAAGATTAAACTGAGATCAAGACGGCAAAATGCCCAGTCTTTCAATGTATTCAAGAACGCCAGTCATGTTCCAGAGTCAAGCCCAGACAGAAACCCGAGGCAAGAGTCCCAAAGTCCACGAATGCCTTAAAAACACCCAACTAGATCGCCCGAACGGGGGTATATGGATATATATGCGACGAGGTAATAATCACGATGTAGAAAATAAGCAAAAGAATGTCAAAGTGAAAGAAGAAGAGGAAAGGAAAAAAAAATCGAGCCAGCGAAGAAAAGAATGATAAAAGAAAAAAAAAGAAATCCCTAGCAAGACTAGAAAAGCAGACAAGCCAAAAAAGTCTCTCATGCAATGGAGTCAAACTCCTCACGCTCACGAAGTCTGTTACGAGCAAGAGTATCACCACCACTTGCCGACAGCTGCATCCAGTGCAGTGCCAGACACATACTCTGCGGGTCCGATTTCGAGTCCTTATCTCGTCGGTACATCATCTCTGCCTTGAAGGTATCCCGCGGGAGGGTCAGAGGGAGAGTGACGCGTGGGAGAAGCTCAGGGTGCGTCAGATAAAGGATTGCAAGTTCGCGCTGTGCGACTGGGTTGCCCTCTTTAGCAGTGATGATCCACATCCCGGCTGCATCTTGGATAGCATGGCCGGGGCGGGATTGGAAGTCTGAAGCGAAGGGGGGATGGCGATGGGAGAGCTCCTGGAAGACGATCCGGTCGGCGATCTCGACCATGCTGTGGCAAATCTCTTCTTTGAGGCTTAGCGCAGCCAAACCGAATTGGAGGAATGCTGTCCCACGGTCCGTCTTGTTTAGCTGATCTCCTGGGACGAATGCTGAGATAAACTGCAAGTCCCTAAAAAGTGTCTTCGGCTTCACTTCTAGAATAAGATCGCGCAAGGCTGCTACGATTTGGGCTTCCGATGGAGTGGAGTAGTCAGACCGTCGGGAGCCACATGTGACTGACTCGGGAGGGGAAGAAGAAGGTAGCACTTGGTCCATCTGTGGTAGGTTGTTGGGCCGCACCTCTGAGAAACTGTGGCGACTAGCCCGATGGAATTGAGGACTGCTCCGCATCCCTTCTCCAGGAGAAGAGCTAAGAGTAGTAGGGGAATTGGCATCTTGTGGCGAAATGAGCGACGCAATTACCAACGAGCGCAGGTCCCGTAGCGCGTTGAGCTTAACAAATGGATTTCCATGACGCGAGAACACTTCGATCAGTCGATGGAAGACTGCCTTGTATGAAAAGGCCGACTGCTCATCCGATTCCAAACATGCTTGCGGTATTTCCGACGAGGTCTCCACATGAGGAGCTTTGTGTTGAGATACACGGAGGTTGCCGAGAGACCTGCTCCGGCGACCTTTCAATGAACCACGTTGCTGACCAAGATGCTTGGAGCGCTCTTCATAATCGACGTAGAATTTCTGAACAGCAGCTCGACGACGCATTTCCACCTGAATGCGTTTCTGGTTCAGTGCATTGGTGAACCAGGCGTCGGTTTCGCTACCACAACTCCATACTGGAGAGCCCAAATCACTCAAAAGCAGACTAGTCAAAGTCTGTCTCAAGCCGTCAATGAACACCGTCTTTCCCTGTGTTTTGCGTTCAACACGACGGGGTTGGTGGGTTGCCGTCTCACTGAACATAGATGGTGGTCGCGAGTACACGCTTGACGCACTTGCGGCATACATAGGGTGCCGCTGGGGCGCAGACCAGAATGTACTGTAGGTGTCACCAGTAGACGTTGAAGCAGCACGACCAGGCGAGCCTCCGAGAGAGGACATGTCAATTGAAGGCAAGTCACGCTGAGGTCTCCATTTATCAGAGATTATGCTTTGGATGGAGGGCCTGCGACCCAATGATGGGGTATCTTGAGAAAGACGGGACATAGGGTCCGGTATAGGCATATTGGCGCCATAGAATTGGGAAGCAGAATTTGTCTCCTCGCTTGTAGTCGTTGAGGGTCGAGGAGTGCTAGGCATGGACATCCCTGGGAAGGTGCGAGAGCCATAACTTTCAAACTTCGAGCGTTCCCTCTGGAACAGCTCACTTGCCCACAATACCGGTGTCTCGGCCATTGTTTCACCCACTAGTTTGTTGATGCTCATTCGGACCTCATAACAGAATCGATGGATTCTTTCTTCTCCCTTGCAGAAATTGTCGATTCCATTGTGCGACAGCCATTTCCGAGTCAGCTCAACTTGCTCGTCAGACAGCTTATTAGGTCCACCCTGACTACTGGGTGCCTTCATCATGTTCATAACTTGAACTTCGGGCTTCTGGAACAAGGAGCTACCCAAGGATTTTGCACCATAACGAGAACGTTGTTCTTCGGGGAACTGATTGAAGAGTCGGGCTGAGTAGATCATCGTTTTCAAAGCCATAGCCACATGTTTAGCCTCCTCATATCTTATGGAGTTCTTGACATCGTTCATGTACCACATCTTGTCTCGGATCTTACAAAATGTGGCCGTCATGTCTTTGACTTGAGTTTGGAGTCGACGGAGACTGTGATCGAGAGTCACAAAGTCACTCTCGCAACGCTCAATGACAGTTCGTGATTGGGTCAATGAGCGACTGTAATTCTCATACATGGGGCTCAAGATCCATGAATCGTCTGTGGTCTTCGATGAGCTGGGAGTTCCCCGCTGCCCGAGCTGCTGTGAAGCATTCCACCAGTAGTGTGCACCAACAAAATCAGAATCATGATGGCAGCAGAACATCGCTTCGTTGAACCGCTGCTTCAAGGACATGGCAGCTCGCTGCGTAGTATTCTGGGAAAGGAACTCATAGTCATCCGCTTCTTGAATGCAGTTCTCCTTGACAAGTCGAACGATCGCTGTCTGTAATGCTTCATGATTTTCCTCCAGTCCCAACGCCATGGAGTGCGTGTCATGCGCGTCATCCTCACTTTCAATTATCGGGCTTTTGGATGTTTCATATCTACTATCAGGGAGGATGCTCCAAGTTAAGCCATGGCCGTCTGCTGCAACTGAGAAGATAGTCCAATGCTCGTCTGAGGGGTGCTCTAAGCTCAGCCGCTCATTAGGATGATCTAAATCAGTTAGCTCGAATCGAATGCGAGCAGCCTTTTCAGAAAGGTTATTTTCCGGTGTTAAAATGGAATTTGTTTCCACTGAGAATATGGAACCATTATTGGATGTAGGATTTGAACTTGTGTCATGCTTGAAACGAGCGAATCCAGAATCTGCAAGTGAGTCTGGCCGAAGGTTGACAGAGGGTGGCGGACTGGATGGCCAAGATCGAACTCCTGCAGAAGCGGGTGAGGAATGCGAACAAGAAAAAAGAGCGTCTAGGAGTGTGAGAACATCCAAAGTTGACATCATCAGGAAGGTTGAAGTAGACTTTCGTTGATGAGGAAGTGGTGCCTGTGAAGATGGAATAGAGGGGTCAACCGATACCTCAGGCGGCGTCATGGTATGGAACCGAGAAAGCATGTTGTCGACACGGCTCTTGATCATCGGACGAGGGATTGAGAAATGATGCCTTCAAGAGATCAGCAACAATGTCGAAATTTGCAGATAGTTCAAGCTGGGATGACGTACATTGAACGCAAAACAGCGAAGACTTGAGCGTAGGCACGGTGCCCAACCTGGTTCAACAATTTCTCGCGGGCATCTTTTCTGATATGGAAGTCTAGGAGCAGACCGTGGGTCTATCACATCAATAGCAGATCAGCGTCAGCTTCGCAAGTTCACCAAGGGTTAGAGGCTTATATACCTCAGGATAGGTCAAAGCGCGGTGAAGGAACTTCGGGAAGAACCATTGTAGGAACAAGAATTCCAAGAAGCGACTGCGGGATTCGGGGTTATCCAGCTTCCGCAAAACGGCCTTTGCAAACTGTAGAACGGCATGAGGAAAGCCGGCATCCGGGTCATCGAGTACACGGAACAAGTCATCCACGGCAGAAGCAAAGAATTCCTCTGCAACATCGGTTCGCATGGGGTCTAGGGAATCCATGGCAAAATCCAGTCCGGGTGGAGTGGCTATAGGCTCTAGGAGAAAAGCACCGGTTTGTAAAATGTCCATCAGGTAAAGTTCGAATTTGGGACGGGCTTTCCAAGTGCTGCCGGTGGTCCAAGAAGAAAGGATCTGGCCGATAAGAGGATTGTATCTACTACTTCCGTCGGAGATTAGTTGAGCGCAGACGGAGGACCATACTTCCGTACGCAAGCGGGATTCAGGTGACTCAGGGTCCAAGGGAGCGGCAAAAACGTTAAAAAGAAGGATAGATAGTGGGTCAGTCCTCTCAAAGGCATATGCGTTGTCCTTGAAGGCCGCGGATTGAGCCTGGCTCCTGTTTATGAAAGTCTGGGCTCGAGCCCGGGAAGTAGAAGGGAACGCAGAATCATTGGTATCCAAAGCAGTGGCAGAAGAAGTAAAAGCAGCCAATTGGGAGGCAGACAGGCTTTGTAACCGGTCGACCAAAAACTGGGGATCAGAGCGGACCAGCCGCAAAATTTCCAAAAAGTCTGTCCGAGACTGAGGGCTCAGCTGATGAAGGAAATCCGGGAAACGGCCAATGTCAGTTCCCAAGGATGGCTCCCCATCTACGGAGTCCGTCTGGCCATCGTTCGGAGCAGGCGAAGAGCATGATTCCTGGAGATCTTGAAGTGTATGGTAGAGGGCAACGAAACTGGCCTTGTCATCATGGCGGAGAGCTTCGACGAGACCTCGCTGTGCAGTCAGTCCGACACGAACCATGCGTGCAGAAACGCCAATGGATACCTTGGTAGCACGCAGGCGCTTCTCGAGTCGTTTCCTTTGGGCCTGCTTGCGCTGGTTCTGGTGATAACGAGTGGCAAAATCCTCGAATGAAACTTGAGGTACATTTTCCACTGGCACAGGTATAGAAGTTGCCGTGGGCCCCGGATTTTGTCCATTGGAAGGAGTGGCTTCTACCGCGGGACTGGTACGGCCCGAGCCACCCAACTCACCTAGCCCCACGTTCGGATCTTCAAGTGCAGGCGACATGGCTGGCGATCCCGGGATGGAAGCAGGCAAAGGCACAGATGCGGGATCTTGCGCCCGATGCGATAAGTCACATGGTGTATTAACATTGGGGAAAGCAGATATTATTTGCTCGGCTGAGGCTGGTCAGATTGGGCTGCAATCATGAGGGACTTCTGGTGTATAACGGAGATAGGACCACCCCTCTTCCACTGTGCCAGCCCATATAGGAAAGGGAAAAAAGCGCAAAAGAAATATAAATGACGTACTTGTTGCAGAAGGCAAAGAGGGCGAATAATGATCCTCGTGTTCTAGCATCTTGCCATTAGCGACAGACAGTCGCAAACCCCCCCTAACCGACGAATTCCTATCGCATTCTGAAGAGAAAAGGTTGTTAGAGTGACGATGCACTCGGTGGGATGAATAGTTGGTTTCCAGGATGAATGTGTGCCCAGGTGGGAAGAAAAGGCGGGAAGAGAGGAGAGGAAAGGGGAAAAATGAGAGAGGGGAGTTGGGGGTTATAAAATCAAAGTAAAAATAACTAATGAAACCCGGAGTATAAAACGAGAGGAAAAAAAAAGATTATTAAGGAATAGAGCAAAAGGAATCCAAAGACTCGAAACGGACAGTTGCAGACTACAAAAGTGCTAAACGCCAAGTAGAGAAGACTTATGAGTGGCTTGTTTTTAAAGGGCTATGAACAAGTACCGAGTACAACGAGACGATGCGTTGGCAGTGCAGGAATGAGGTGTCCATGCGCCCCTCATGCGCCCCTCAGATTCTATAGACGTGTACTCCCTCTTTACGTATCGTGTCATACTATTATACACATATGTAAGACATATCTACATTATGGATCCTATTAAATCATTTTCAAAGGCATAAGATCTGAATATCTAGCTGTCATGGACAGTGGCAACATTCTCACATGCAAGGATATTACATGGCTATACATCCGTCCTACGACACGCGCACAACTGGCATTTATTTCATGCAGCTAACCCGGGATACCCCGACTTCTAAATAAGAAAAAATGTAAATATGTTTGATCACAATTAAGTGAATCGTTCATAATGGCATTACAAATGCATAGGTACACCCAAAACTCCGTTCATAGGTACTCATATGGGGGAACTCCATCTTAATATCACCGACAGACCCATTTCTTATCAACTTCTTTTTGTCCAACCCGAGCAGCAACCTGATCAAGGGTGGCTTTGAGTGTATCCTTGGACACCTTGGGGAATCTGGATACCTCTGGATCAGCAGATGCTTCGGTAGAAGCGGACATTGCGGGAACCAACCTTTTCTTTAAGATCTCGACTAATCCAATCTTACTCAGATCACTACCTTCAACTGCTTCCTTGAATTCTGCGAGTTGGTCCGGTGGGAACGGCCGTTTCGCTTGTTTGGCTTTCGACGTGGGAGGTAAAGCCACTGTTCCAGGGACTGCAGGAACAAGGAAGCCATCTAAGGCCGTCACAGGTCGCGCTTTCGCAGGTACTTCCATAGGCTTAACCACAGGCTTAGGTTTCTCCCAATATGCAGTTGAGAAGGGGTCGATAGGGAACTTGACCGCATCGGATATAGTTTCCATCCGATATACTTCCATTTCACGCTCAACTCCATTGGCAGCCCACTTAATCCCAGTAGAGACAGGCTCTAAATCGCCAACAATAAGACGACGTTTGCCCTCGGCAAGGGCATCGTCTTCGTCATCCAGGAAACCTTCCAAATCATCTTCGCCCTCATCGCTGCCTTCATCTTCTTCTTCAGAGTCCAGCTCTTCGCCTTCTTCGGGTTCTTCCCACTCCGCCTCGGAATCATAATCGTAGTCAGTATCTGGCAACCCTCGGTGATAGGGATTTCGTGCAAGTCTTCTGGCGGATAACTCGGACACGCAACGAGTATAGGTTCCCTGATAGGGAGGGCGGATGTCCTCGCCAAACTTGAGAGACTTCATCGTAACCTTGCGTAGAAGTTCTTCTGGCCTCGGAGGTCGTATTCCGCTCTGGCTTTGAGTAGGCTGAGCTGAATCGTCAGATCTTTGTTGTTGGAATAGTATGTCCCTGACAGAGGTCGTTGGCTGGCGCCCACGATGGAAGGGGATTATCTGGAAGACTTCTGATGGGCGGAAGGGATGTGTTTGGACGGGGTCTTCGTTGCGTAGACATGTATCGATCGTTTCGCGTACGTGCTTGAGGGCTTCGGGGTCACGCTCAAACCGATGGGGAGGTGCCACAATTGTATGAGATTGTAAAAAGAAAGCTGGAAACTCTCGCTCATAGTCTGACTGCACACTGCGGGTTTCGTGAGAGAGATCGACTGTAGCAGATGGCTTTTTAGGCGACGGAGCGGTGATAACCTGTCCCGATGAAGCGGAAGGTACCTGTGGTTTGGCAAAGAAGGAGTTTAATTTCAGTTGTGACTGAATCGGTCAGTATATCAGGCATCCATCTTCCTGTTAGGACGATTGTGGATACCACTTACTCGGGTCTTCTTCTCCTTCTCCTCGTCCTTTTTGCGTTTCTCTTCTTCCTTGGCGGCCTTTTCATCTTCCTTTGCTTTCTTCTTTTCGTCACGCTGCTTGCGTTCCTCTTCACGTTGAGCATCCTTCTTCCGCTTTTCTTCCTCTCTCTGCCGTTTCTCCTCGTCGCGCTCGGCGTCGCGCTTCTTTTTCTCTTCTGCCTTGAGGCGCCTCTCTTCTTCTCTCTTGGCTTTGTCCTCCTCTCTCTTCACTTTCTCCTCCTCCCTCTTCGCCTTCTCCTCGGCCCTCTGGCGCTCTTTGGCTTCTTTTTCTTGTTGCTTGGAATCTGTGCCAGCAGAGACTACCTTGCGTTTCTTGGAGGCCGGGGTATCAGGCTCAGTATTAGAAGCTGCATTGGTGCCTGGGAACTTTAATAGCCCAGCACCAGGGCAATCTTCGTCTTGTTTACGTGTCTTTCTCATCACGATTTCGACCGAGGGGGAGGTGGAAGATTACGCTTGAAGTGAACTGATGGGAAAGTAGTGTCGTTGGACTGGCAGTGGAGAGATGTATCGTGATTTTCCTGATTTTCATCGGCGAATAGGGTCAATGGTCGCTTCGCACTTGGCGAGGGCGTGTGTGCATCATCGACCTCATGTATTGAGCGTTTTCGTGGACCGGATGAGGGTGATGCAGGAAAGGACGGGGTCGACTGCATTGGCGATAGAGATGTGGTGGTGACCATTGACTCCAGTGAGGTTGGAAAGAGCTAATTAAGAGCCTCAAGTCTCAAGAGTGTAGGTGGGTGAGGGAAGGGGCAACGGGTATACGCTGTCGTGTGATGGATCGCGACTTCCGTTCATAGGTGGTTTAGGTCGTGTCAATCAAGGGAAGGTGCGACCTAGAGAGGCAAATAGTAGACGTCACTCAAATTATATAGGTGGTCTTGTATCACAGACCATCGAGTTCAATGTTTAATGAACGTACAGAGTAGAACAGTGACAGTGGGCCAACACCGGGACGCGTTAATTGTTTCGCGCCTCGCGACCGATAACAAGCACGTGTGTGCTTATGTAACAACTATATGTGCCGACTCCGGAGGTTGTACAATTTATGGCCTCATTGGACTTCTAGGGTCAATAGAAATGAGCATGATGTTTTGTACTTGAAATTTGCAGGTTGCCCATGTCTGTTATTACTGTACTTGGATTCAATTACCTTGCACTACCCTATACAACGCCAACAAGACTACAACAAGAAGCCGTATACTACTCCACGGAAGTTATCCTAGAAAGCAAGAGGAATTGAGATAATGATAGGGTTGAAATTACTATCTCTGTATTAAGAGAAGCTAAGACAAATAAGCAACGCCAAAATGGCCCCGTATGCAGCCACAGAAAGATGCAGACAACCCAGAGAGCCAATCTATGGAGACCAGCAGCCATCGAGGATATACAGCAAGAAAGAAGGAAGCCCGGAGAAAGTGAGACATGCGGCGCTTTAAATAAAAAGGGGCAAATAAGACAGCAAACGTGCAAAGATATAGACAAAGTAGGAGAACACATTGGTCTAAACCATCAAGATTCGCCGAATGGAGCGCCAGGCGTGGAGTTGCAGCGAGATAGGTATTATGTGCAATTGATGAGGCGGTAAGAGAGATCATGTAGAAATCATAAAAGATAGAAGAAGGGGGGGGGGGGGGGGGGGGGGGTATGAGGAAGAAAATGAAGGAGATAAGAGGTGGCAGATGCTGTATGAAAACGAGGGCCTCAATCGCTGTCCGAATCAGGATTTGCGACGAAAAGTCGCACATTGGTCATGGTAGTAGTTCGTTCATCTACACTGCCTCTTCGTCGCAACTCGGCTGCCTTTTTGGCCTTCTCGGCTGCGGTAGTGGCGGCGCTCGGAGCCTGCATTTCACCAACTAAGTCTTCTTGCTCTTGCTCGCTGCTGTGTGTGGTCACGAAATCATCTTTTTGGAGAGATGACAGTCGGCTCTTTTCTTCTTCCCGAATCTCCGCAGGTGTATTTTCACACACTTCTGGAAGGTCGGTTTTCTCGTTCGGAGGCGTGCTGTTGCTGCCCATCGTTCCTTGAGTCCGCGAGTATCCACTTGGATAACGGTGGGTGCTTCCCAGAGAGCTGCGCCCGCTACCGGTCCGTCTGTGAATCTGGCCACCATCACTGCTGCGATCATCATCCACATCGCAGACCTCGTTCGCACTCAATCGCACAGGGACCTTGGCGCCCACTAGGTTTGAGGGCGAGAACTCGGAAGCTCCCTTAGGACCATGTCGGATCTTGCCACTACCCAAGGTTCCTGCTCGGCCAGAGCCTGAGCCATGAACTTCAAGGTACGCTCTCTTCTTGTCCCGCAGGGCTTGTTCGCGCGCTCTGGCGTCTTCAGGCTGTGCCCGGTCACACCACACGGTAGCCTTTTGCCGCCGCATGAGGGCCACATATCCAAGCTGAGAGTTGGCAGAGCGAGACGAGGCAGTTCGCCGAATGTCAGAAACACCTTGCCCCGCGTGTGGCGCGGGGTGGTGGCCAGTAGATGAGGTCGAGGTAGTGGTACTAGACATGCGTCGAGAGGGTGGGTGATGAGGAAGAGTCATAGTTTGGGGGATAGGAGGAGGTGGAGGAGCGCCGTGGTAGTGTTGAGAACCGCCTGAATAGGGCAACACGTTGGATGATGTGGTTCGAGTCCGACTGTGCGTGGTCTGGGGGCTCGCTAGGTGGGACGCAATTTGGGGCCGCGGAGAATCGTAGGGCTGATATCCACCATACCCATGCTGGGCACCAGAGAGGGGCTTCCGGGCAGGAGGCCCTTGGTGGAGGGGCATTCGAAAGTCGGTCATCTTGGGTGGAATGGTATGTCGGGCTTAAAATCCCAATGTGCGGGGCCGTTGTTCTGGGAGGTCGGTTTGCTCGTGAGTGCGCTGGGGTTTATTACAGAATGTCAAATCCTGCTTCGTGATAATGACTTTGAATGCTGCGTTTCTGATGCGCGCGGCTGACGGATAGGAAGATAATGCGGCCTCAGCGCCCGCTGCAGTATGCAGCCGCCACAATCCGCTTTGGGGGTTCTTAAGCGGAAGGCTGAGAGGGGAGGCCTTAAAATATGAAGTGAGATTAGGGCGTTGTCGACGTGCAATGGGCTGATCCTCGGGCTGATCCTCGGGGTAGTGTTGAGGCGAGGGTGATGGGGGTAGGAGCGCACACACGAAGTCCTGCAACTCAATGGGTAGGCTCTCTTCGTGACTGTGGTGAGAATGAGAGATTACAAAGACACAAAGCAACGGCCCTGAAGTCTAATAAATGTCGAATGAGGAGGAAGGGTTGGGATGGGCAGGTCTTAAGGGGAGGCAGGGCAGATCGGGGGAAACTTGAGGACTTTGACCGGCCGTTCCTTGGTTGAGCAAATTTGATTGGACGATACGGAACCCAGCGGAGGAAGTACTTTCCCACACAATTTAGCGGGTGGGGTACTTAACTCAGCCACAGCTGAGGCTGGGTGAAACTTACTCGTACGGTGTACGGTTACATTTCAAGGTTCAGAGTTCAAATATGTTTCAAATTGTTGTCTCTCTCCAGCTCTCATGTTCAAATGTCATTGTTCTTCTTTTCATAATTGGCTGTCAGTTAGCTTTCTCTTGTGGATCAATGCAACATCGATATACCAATCCTACAGATTCGCCTCCCGCTGAGCACGTGAATTCTTGAAAGCGACACGGTTATATTCGCGCAGAATGCTTGGTTATTCTCACCGAAGATAACGGCTCGTCTGGGAAAACGTATGGTATGATGATCCGAGTCGTGGACCTCCACACTCTTCTAACAGACGTACACTTCGGAAAAGGGGCTGCAGCCAACAATTAGCTCCACCATCCAGTCGCTCGTAAGCCCAATGCACACACAGATACGCTACCAACAATGCCAATCCACAGTGCCTACGTCTCTTCCCATGCCAAGGGCCTGAAGTCAGGTATCTCAACGTCCACGTTAGCTTCCGAGTTAGGTGAGAATTCGGTAATAATGCATTGCAGCCAGCATCCGAGACTCCGAGCGACTTCAAGTTGGCGGTAATTTATTGAAACTGGCGCGAGAAGTGCATAATGCAGGTGCAGATTCGATACGGCCCAATGCAATATCTATATCGTTAGATTCACTTAACTGATATGAAGATGCACTTGGCTCTCCTTGGTTGAGGGATATATTGATTTTCAAGCCCTCTTTGGTAAGCACAAGGATCATCTGAGTGGGGACTGCCACGTGTGCCATATTCTTGCTCAAATGCTTGCTTGGACACTTGATCATACACGCTAACTAGAATATACAGAGTATGTGCTATGAAGACATACGCGCCGAATATAACGGCAATATCTCGCACATATGAGATGTTTTAGCTTCTATATGCATGTTCACAAGCCCTAGATTCAATTATCAGGCATATAATCCTCCGTAGGAGCCGGGGACCTGACAGCAGGCTGATCATTGGCCTTTGTTGACCTATGCACAATGCGGGGTATACTTGGGTATGTAGGTACATCCCTGCGAGAGAGAGGATTTGCCCTCAGAATAGCCGGGAATAGTATAGATTCCCATTCTGAGTACGAATACGGTGTACTCGTCAGGCACTAGCTCTGATTCTCCTAGAGCCGTATACGGTATTGGTGCATGATTGGACTGACACTTGGAAGGCATAAGATCACGGTTAAAAACGGCGTTGAAAGCGCTACGTCAATACATATGTATTTCCATATACAAAGTTCAATACAATAAATTTCAAAAAGATAACTGCGCCACATAAGTGGGCTGTATTAGCTCATTGGTGGACCTCGGAGCCTTGGACATTACAGGAAAAAAAATATATATAATCGTGACGTCAAAATGTTTCAGTGTATCCGTGTTTGTATAAAAGAACCAAAGGAACATATTGTGCCTGATATAATATTTGAGCCGAAGACGGAAATCTTTACAGGGGAAAGGGGGAAAAGGAAAACAAGTTTTGATATACACTAGTATAAGCTAGTATTCTTTATAGACACAAAATCTACTCCATCTGCATGTCACATTTCATAGTCTGAGACTAGTGGATATAGCGGATATCCAGTTCATATCTTCGCTTTCCAACGTTTCTATTTGCAGTCACAATTTCACATGAAGTTGTATCCTTATATGCGTCCAAGCGCAAGTTCCCCGCCGCTCCACCCACACTAGTCTACTTTGGTCTGGAGTATAAAATGGATCTATCGTACAATCACCTCGCTAAGCTGTAGCGTGTTCATGACCCGCTTGATACCTAATTCATCGAAGCAAAAGCATCAGTGTTTATATTGTATGTATGTATGTTATGATAATAGGAATATCTAAGAGACAGTGGTTATGAATAGATAATTCAATTGGCATATATCACTAGCGTAACTCAATTCTATCGCAAAGATACTATATGCAGACATAGAATTTAGATCCAGAGCGATGTGCGAAAAACAAGAGTGTAAGCTGATAGAGAGAATCGCACAAGTCGCCACCAAGGTTGAAGATTACTTCATTGTCTTAGGGTATTGGCTGAATTTCTTCTTCTGTTGGGGAGATGCTCCCATCATCCGTGGCCTTGCCCCAAGCCTCTTCGAAGGCCGAATCGGCCAAAGCCTCAGGCTCAGTGAAGGGCGGTCCCTCGAGTAAGACAGATTCTTCGGGTAAGGCACTGCTTGACTGTGGCTCAATGATCTCCTCCTTCTTCAAATCAGCTTCAACTTCCTTCTCAACCACCACTTGGGAGAAAGATGATGAAGCAGGTTCGGTATCGACCAGATCTGTCTCCCTGGTCGGTAGTTCTTTGTTCTTGGCACCAAGAAGCTCGAGGTCAAAGTTCGAGCTATAGACTACGGCAGAGAATGCCTCGAGCTCACGCACGTTCTGGTCCATAGCGACCAGATACTCATTTGGTGGGTGGGCACCATTGCCAATCACGTGTGCTTGGCGAGTCATGACAGCTAGAAGATTGGCAAGCTTTGTCTTGCGCTCAGAGTTGGCAGCCAGGGGCACAACAGTGGCAATTGAATCGAAGGACTGCAGAGCAGTCTCCGGTGCGGAGGTGGGCGCCTTGAAGGCATCGGCGGCACATCTTTGATCGATAAGAGTTGAGAATCCCTCGTTGTTAAGAAGTGTAAGGACGAGGGAGAAAGAGGGCGAGTCGATCAAATCAGCTGTCTCATCCAAGAGATGCCGCAGCTTCGACGCTGTCTCAGACGAGGTCGGGTCAGCTACACCTTCCACGCCTGACTCGCGTAAGACATGTTCCTCTTCCTCGGCTGGGGGAAGCAAGCAAGAAAGCCATTTTTGAGATCGTCGCTCTTCCTCGGTGCTGCCTTCCACCTTCTTTCGGATCTGCAAGGTCAACTCAGAGAGCTTGGCCAAACTGATATCCTCACGTGGATTCAAAGGTCCAAACACTTCCTCTACGGCAGTTTGTACTCTCCCCATCAGGTCTTTCCACCCGCGATGAAGCAGCCACCAACTGAAGGCGAGGTAGCGTCGGTTGGTCTCGAAGTCATCGCCCAATGTTTGTGTGAGTTCATCATCATGGTCTTCCAGACTAATCGTCGAGGCGTTGGCAGGTGGTGTGGCAAGAGAGATCACGCTAGATAGGTAGTTACGACGGCCGAGCAGGTTGAGTTGGATGTGAGTGAAGATAGTGAGCAAGGAGAGGGTGTAGACCATAGTAAAAGACCGAGTGACAGCTGGGAAGCATTAGTTTCTGACAGATAGGGTTCCATGATGGGCCGAGATAAAGACTCACAGGTAATCTTCACCTCGTTCCACAGCTGTGTCTTGTTCCGTTTGGGCCGAGGTTGTCCGTCCGAGTTCAGTGAAGAGTCCCCCACCTGGCTTGCGTGCACATATCCCTCACTCTGGAAACTGGAGAGGCTCCTCCGATCATCGTCCGGCAGACTTGGGGATACCGAGCTCAGATCTGACCCAGTCGCCTCCCCTGCATTCAGCCGAGCCAACCTCTCCGCTCGCTTCTGCTGCAGCTCCTTGGTCAACTCCTCAACTGGAAGAGCATCAATAATATTTTCGGCGGCAGTCGGTAGCAAGGCAAGGACGGTATATGTGCAATCGGTCTGATTTTGTTCGAATCGTCGGCGCAGGCTATTGTCACCGGTCAGCAATTCCGGTTCGGGGTATTCTGGTCGGGGTTGCACGCGCTACAAGCCCGCGTGCTTGCCAGCAGAGAGATATCAGTCATTAAAAACAAGGGAAACTGACTTTTCGCGAGCAATCCGATCGCTGCTCATGCGTTCCCGCGCCTCGGAGATCTTGGATAGCACATATTGTCCGGCTAAGTAGCCAGCTCCTATCACCCCAGCCCCGATTGCAAGACCTTTGCGATTGCGCTGGAACCAGCGCCTTGTCGCACCGATCATAATTGTGCTTGGTGCTTCTCTAGGAAGAAGTCAAAAATGGAAGACAAATTCAAATCATGATAGATCCAGGAGATGGATGGTTCAGTATGGAGTAGATGGAGAAGAGAGGCTTCGGGCGCTGATCGCCAGTTTCAGGCCTCGGCTAGAGCTCACCATCATGCAACATGAGGGAACCGAACCTATAAAGCACCACAGCGGATGTAAGTACCTTAAACACCTTAGCTACATGCTCTAGACATTTTAGAATCTTATCATCTCTATAAATCAGCAAACCATTATTCCCACTGCAGCTTTCCCCAGGATTCGGCGTGGTCATCCCGCAACAACCCGCTGATCCCTGTCTTCTTCTTTTCTTGTTCTCTCTTATTACTTTTCGTATACTCCGCATTCTCCGTTTACATTACTCCGTAAACTCCGTACTTCCTCGGCATCAATGTTCCCTTTCAAACTGGTTTCCCCCCAGTTCGATGATAAGCGATAAGCTTCAGTCGGCTACGTCCGATACAGGCCCGCCCCTTGTCATATCAGTCTTGGAGTCATTACTCCACCTTACACCCCCTCTATGCAACAGCAAACTTGCTTATTGATTGTCCCTTTATTCTGTATTTACGATAATTCTTCCCCTTTCACCAAAATAACCATCCGAGATTGCACCAACACCTAACCCGCTTGGTTGCGAGCTGCGTCATGGCGGGGATGGAGCCCCGCAAAACCCCTCCGGAGTACTTCCTGGAGATCTTCGCCGACACTAACCATGTGCGAGATGTACTGAAGGGTCAGTCGTGAAATGGAGACATTACGAACCTATGATTAGTACTAATGCTTGTTGCCAGGTGTCCTGAACCTCATCTTCTTCCACCGTTACTTCCCTTCAATCCGACCGGTTACCTTTGACGTGCTCGACTTCACACTTCCCGCTATAAACGATGCCGATCTAGAGACGCTGATTGAATCGCGCATAGCGGCTCTAGTCCGGCAACATCTGTCCTCCGCAGCCGGCGGGCAGGATGGCCAAGGTGTCGGCGGGGGCGGGGGTGTGCGAGGGCGGATTGCAGTCGAGTTCTATGAAAAGAAACGGCGGCGTTCCGGTCACTGGTTTGGCGGACTGACAGGGAAAGGCGATGAAGAGGTGTGCTGGGAGATTTGGACACTTGATGTGACGATCGCGACACCGCGCACTGAGTCCGGTATGTACATTCTGCTGGTCCCCTTTTTCCAGAGCTAATTTGGCCACAGAACGAGCCAAGGTGCGCAAAGCAATGGGAAATATGCTGCAAAAGGCAGCTTTGAAAATCTTGAGTGTGGTCAATCGAGATAAAGACCATATCCCGCCCATTACCACTAGCGATTCCAATCCGTTCCCCTATCGGATTGTTGTCAACCCTCGCGCTGACGGCTGGGGAAATCGCATTGGGCTCTATTGAGCTACGCAGTTTGACTAAAAGCTTGGACGATACACCTCGGAATTGTCAAGTCTGATACGTTCCCACTCCGATTATTGTTCAACCAACCGGACACGTTGCTTTTATTTCCTCCTGTGGAAGTAAAACATGGCCGCGGGCGATCGACCCCGATATGATTTACGAAATCTGTCAGATATTATAAAAAGGGCTATTACTATGAGCATACGAAAACCCTTATGTGCCGTGCTTGAACTTTCAAGAGATGGCCATACGGAGTTCACTGCTTAGGTGTTTATTGTTTGGGATTTTTGAAAGGGCTGGGCTGGCTCTTTTTATAATGCGGCGTAAGTACATACGGATCTTTTCTCTACTCAGTTACGAATATCAATACGAATATCCTATCTCGGGTCATCTAACGAGCCATAACGAGGCAGCATAGACCAGAAAGATGTGTAATCTCGGTGTACATTGTCTCTTCAACCAGACCATCATGGTACTTGTTTTGAAGTATTTCTTAAAACACAGTTCTATGCAAGCTTCCCCTGCATAAAAGCCTGCACGTTGTAAGCGACATGATATCACTGGGCCAATAATATACCGTCGGCTCTCCCAACACCCAATATTTAGTTGCAAATACAACTGCCCCTCCATGGAGAGTGCCAACACCTCAATGCAAAATCAAAGGTGCATCACATTGCTCCAAGCAGAAGCCGACGATGACAACGAAAGTTATTTCCGACTCCTGATCAATGGATCAGTCAGGTATATCACCATTGCCCACGGTATCTGGAGCACAGATGATATGTGCTTCGGCCCATCTCTAGCCTCAATTCTCCCCGATCTCCCCACAGGCAATTGGAATGATGGACTGGTGACCAAACACCCAGAAACCGCCAAGCCATACTTTTCGCGCGCCACTCGAACCTCGTTCCCTGGTGTTAAGAATACATGGCATAACACCTTCGTTGATTATATGGATCTCGGAGAGAGTAGGAGACTCCACACGGGCATTTACGAAGTCAAATGTCCTCAATTTGAGGATCTTGTTGTCGTCAAGTTTGCTCGCTTTGATTGGGAAATTGGATACATGGAGGGCGAGACTGCTGCCTACCAGTTGATTGAAGGTTATAACATTGGTCCCCGGTTCTTGGGGCATCTCACTGAAAATGGTCGTGTTATTGGTTTCGTGATTGAGCGTATCACCAATGCCCGACATGCTGGACCTCAGGATCTTGACATTTGCCAGCAGAGTCTTACTCGATTACATGCTTTGGGGATTAAGCATGGCGATGTGAATCGGTTTAATTTCTTGATTCGTGGCTCAAACGCTATTTTGATGGATTTTGAGAAGGCCTGCAAGTGCGATGATTCTGACTCACTCGCTGAAGAGCTTCGCGACTTGCAAGATACGTTGGAATCTTCGTCGACGAAGGGTGGCAGGGGGTATCTTTGTTAGTAATAGTTAACTGTTCTTGTCGGTATAACTATCAGTATGGAGTTTACAATATGACTCCAGCCGGGGATGTTGACTGTGTTGAGTTATCAAGTTCTTGTGGCAGTTCTCTCTGTCAGGAGGAATGCTGGTTCTCCGTCACACAGCTTCTTGAGACTGATCTGTCTGCGCTCGGCTTTTAATCTCAGAGCAGGCTGTTAAACGGCAATTAATCTGTACGCCCCGAATATTTTCTGAGAAAGCTTGATCTGCATGTGAAGAATAGTTGTAGGACATATTGAGAAGAATTAGTCTATGTGTGAGCATTATTAGAGGAGGTATTTGCGGAGACGGTTGTGCACGGTGTTTTTGGGAGGTCAGGGAATCATATGTAGAGTGTCTAGGTGATCCTAATGATATACAATTTATGAGAAGTAAAACCACACCGGTTGATGTGTGGTTTTGGGACAAGATGCAAACGTGATATTCAGTTGTTGATCTTTTGAGGGTAAAATCTATACATGTTGGATAGCAACTATTGACGTGATTACGGTCTTCCTAAGGCCCCCAGTTTATAGAGTAGCCAACACAACTAGTAGGCCGTCCAGTTATACTCCCAAGCCTACGCGTAGCTTGGCACAAGCACCCTTACTCATGCAGCTTCCGTGGAGACATAGCTCGACGGCGCATAGTGCATCACCCTGAAGATACAGATAGATGACATAGATCTCGAACATCTGAAAATAATTGCATCCACATTCGGAATGTACGATTTAAACAACTAATCCACACGAGTGGGACAGGAGGGCAAGAATCAAGATAAAACATTCTCATATTCAGCAAATATCCAAATCCGGCCTCGGACCCGTCGCAACATTTCGCGGGTCCTCTCTATTTCATGATCAAGTTACCGCACTGCTCCTATTTAATCATAGCAACGAAGCTCTGAGCCAACCACTTCACTTCGTGCCTAGTGCCCCGCCAGGCACAGAGAATCGGGTCCGCGACCCGCGCCTAAGCAGGTTCCACGAAGCTTTTATTGTCGATGCGATTCTCGATTGGGGGGTGAGACTACACCCATTTAGGTGGAGTGGGGCTTGCTCGCAGCCTCGGCCTGAGCGCGGAGGTTGGAGGAGGTACCGCTGGAGGAGAAGAAGCGGCCAAGCACGGGCTGGAGGAAGGAGTGGAAGACAATTTGGGCACCACTGCAAAAGAGGTCAGCTACCAGTCTCAGATTGATCATGGGGTGATAGTAACATACCCGGTCTGGGGAAGGGCCATCCACATGATCAAGCAGAACTTGAAGATGTAGTAGAAGGCTGCAATCAGTTAGCAAAATAGTGGAAAGATTCGCAACTTGCGGACACATACGGAACCAGTAAGCAGCGCTGATGGCGCTCTCAACAACAGTCAGGAAAGCGAATACAACCCAGTACTATCAAGTCATTTGTCAGAATCACTGGTCGCATGCGAGCAAAAAAGATGTCACGTGTATGGTATATGATAACCCCGAATCTGCGGTGATCTCATATGTCCGCACGATTGCGACAACAAGGTGTAGAATCATATCAACATACCGTGAGCCACTGTGGGAGCGAAGAAAAACAAAGTCAGCGATTTGCGCACGGAAAGGGGAAAGTTTCTAAAAAAAAAATCTTACCTGGGTGTCGTCCTTGGTGCTTGAGGTGAAAAGCGCCTGGAGGGAGTAGTAACCGGGGACGAGGAAACCGGCAAAGTTGACGAGGAACTCGCCAGCAATGTTGAAGAAGACTAGGAAGAAGTAGACTCCAACAAGGCCGAGGATGACATAGACCTTGGGGACATTGGTCTGACGCTCAAGGTTGGCAAGGACAGGGTACTTGGAGAGCTACAAAATGACGGATGTCAGCTCAAAACCACAGCAATAGAGAGCATAGTGATGTGGATATCAAAGTATGCGATCGCAATCACTCCTGCAGTGGTCGCTGGCGCCTAGGAGCATTGCAGCCACCAGGCGAGGGCTAGACCTGAGGCGCTAGCAAAACACACACACAACAGCTGGAAACGTACCTCCTTGTCGAGCTGAGCAATAGTGTGCTGGGCACGCTCCTGGAAAGAGGCCATTTTTGTTTTATAAAGGGTATCGTTTGTGGGAAAACAAGTCAAAGAACTATTAGGATGACAATGAAGCGAGGGATGGTGAGAATGCAACCGGTTGAGCTGGCGGCAAGAAGCCAGAGGCTAGCTTGTGTGTATCACGTGATACACATGACGTATTCGTCTACTGCAGGTGCCATGTGAAGCTGTATAAGAGTAGATTAAGAGTAGATTGTTATTGGTTTGATATCTCCCAGTTATCACTGGGTGACTTGTGTGACAGAAGATCTAGCCCTAAAGACTATGCACATATGATCACTCGTATCTCTACAAATACTGCCTGCTGGAGTGCCTAACTGAGGGGTTAAGGCAAAGATCTGACCTTAGAATGTAGCGAGTTTCAGGCTTCAGTTGTGCTAGCCCTAGAAAATAAATATTACCTTGAAACACATCTCAAATGCAACATTTGAAGTTGAATGTAATCAGAGTCACCCAGTCCACTTTCCTCTCCACAGATCTCCCGAGATAGTCATCCCGAGGTCCTACACAACATGACGTACGCGGCTTTCCGCAAAACTATCGAGTCCTGTTTGCTCTATACCAGGTAAATATGTATATTGTACCTATCCTGTTTGTGTTTCAAAATTTTGATTTCGATTTTTTTTCCACTGTCTGTCATGAAACCGGGGAGAGTTCCTCTGTGGGCCTCCCCTGCAGTAGTTAGCCCGTCCGGATCTTTGTGATGCATCCTTCTCCCGAGGTCCCGCCTATAAACACTGGACCAATTATGGAATATGACATTCTCTCACGCATACACGAGATATGTCAATTTGGAATTACAAACAGTTTCTGAATATCTTTGAACACAAGGTAACTTCGGTGATCTCGGTGATCTCGGGATTGTGTTTCAACATCCTGAGACATACACGTGATAGTCACGTGATCCATGTTTATAACCGGAGGAGGTGCAATTGAAAAAGGTAAAGGAAAGATTAAAAAGTGCCAAAAAGGACCGAAAAGGCAAAGGAAGGATTAAACATTGCCGAGAGGACAGAATACACTTACAGTTAGTGCCTGACCGCCAGAGACGATCTCGGAATATGATGTGATTGGGTCTGAGGGCTAAAAAAAAGAGGGAGAGAGAGTTCAGGAACCAAGCCCTGGCACTTAGGCTAACACCCGTTATCAGACCTTCTCCCCTTTCCTTAGAAAAAAAATTCGTGCAGAAACGTTTCAATACCTTCACTTTGCTTTTTTATATGTGTTGAACATCTTCAGTGGACCCTCGAATCTCCATATATCCGTGCACGAAAAGGCGGGCCATGTAACCGCATCCTCCGCGTACCGCCCTTCTAAGCTCTTCCATCCCCAAGGGAGCTACACAATACAATTGAAAGCATTTGACGTGGTTTATGGGCCAATTTATTTCAGTCAATTCAGCTTGAGATCGTCATCTATACCACGTGGGACGACCCACTCTTAACAACTTACGGTCCTCGAGAGCTATTTCGGTTTCCCCATTCCCCAAATCACTAAATAATATTCATACACACTTTTCTCAATGCGACCACAGTGAGTTCATGAATACTACCTGAATACGCCTCCCCCCATATTCAATTCTAATTGTCCGGTTGCACTTGGTTAGACGCGAATACCATATTGTTGTTTTGGGTGCTGGTAGGAACCTTTCGTCTCGAGATATTCCCATAGGTCACAGGCTGACCACAGGCATTCCCATGCGACCCGATAACAGGAGGTGTCGGAAAAAGTTGCTTAACGGGTTCGTTCCTTATGTTACATACTGTGCCCTGAATCCCCAAGCTGATCAACAATCGCCTTCCAGCCCAATTTGTTCAAAATGTCTGGATCGAAAGCTACGACCCAACGATCGAGGATTCATACAGGAAACAGATTGAAGTAGATGTAAGTTGCCTGCTATGCGCTGGAAGCTGCTCAGTAGTTAATCAAGCTTGACAGGGTCGACAATGTATACTGGAGATGTGAGTAATTCGGTGGTTTGGGTATGGCATGATGCTAAAATTTCGAAGTCTTGACACCGCAGGAACAGAACAGTTCAGTAAGTTACCCACAAATCAGCACATATAGCCATGAAGTCGAAGCTAACAACCTACAAGCGGCAATGAGGTAAATCTAGGCAATCTACCACCACGATCGATCCCGCGGACCGACCTCGAGAAAAGCACACCATACTAACAACGCTCTCCACAGAGAGCTCTACATGAAGCAAGGCCAGGGCTTCCTCCTCGTCTTCTCCATCACCAGCATGTCCTCCCTAAACGAACTCTCCGAGCTGCGCGAACAAATCATCCGAATCAAAGACGACGAAAACGTCCCAATCGTGATCGTGGGCAACAAATCCGACCTGGAAGAAGACCGCGCCGTACCACGTGCTCGCGCATTCGGTCTATCCCAGAAATGGGACAACGCCCCATACTACGAGACCTCTGCCCGCCGTCGCGCAAACGTCAACGAAGTCTTCGTCGATCTGTGCCGCCAGATCATCCGCAAAGACTCAGAAGGCTCAAGGAGCAGCAGCGATCCCAACCGCAAGCGCGAAGGCCCGAACCGCCATGATCGCAAGAGAGAAAATCGTCGGCCGAAAAATCGCCGCAGCCCGTGTATCATCCTTTGATTCAACAAGTTGAGGGGCGCACTCTCTCTGACTGAGCGCCCTTGTCTTGTTTTATTTTCATGCGATACGACCCTCTGCGAACCTATGCCCCGCCGACGCTGCTATGCATCTTGACATGTCATGTATGACTGATGTTCTCTCTATATGTTGCCGATATGTCTATGCCTTCTCCCTATAGAACCATGCTTTGCTGCTACAGATTTGTATCTTGTTTTGGGCTGTACACAATCGGTGTCATCCTTTTTTTATATTCGACATATTTGAAGTTTGGTTGATCTGGACACTAAAAAGATAACTTTCACAAGATGCAGGAAAAAGTGCTTTCTTTTTATCTTTTGGTCATGTTGCTATCATCGTTTGGTTGATGGACTTGCACTAGATCCCTTCAATGTTGGGCATGAGGTTGAATCCTTTCCCTTCAGAAAGGCGAGGAATTATAGTACCGGATAGCATACACGATCCAAACCCTTTGCTCTGATGAGCTCCTTGAATCGCGCTGTACAGTTCAAAGGCTCCACTAGACTAAAGAACGATAGGCCGGAGAGGCCTGTAAGCTACAGAATTTGATACAAAGTGAGCATTCCAAAATGTCATATATAGTCAATGGTATGAACATGCATTTTCCATCCTATGTATTTTCGGATTTATCGTGGATGAAAATTTGCATACCTCAATCCAACCCGTCTGCTCTCTACATACGGAACACACCAAATCTGGTTTGCACATCGGGCTCGGCCTTACCGCTGAGGGCAGCTGCCAGACCCAAACCTAGCATTTTTCTCGTCTGAGACGGTGGGATGATACCATCATCCCACAAACGCGCCGACGAGAAGGTTGCTTCGGATTCACGGTCAATGCGTTCTTTCAAAGCCGGATCAGCGGTTCGTCCGACGGCCTCCATAACGGCAGAGAGTTGCTCAGAGCCCATAACGCCGATCTTCGCATTGGGCCACATGAAAAGAAGACGAGGCGAGTACGCACGACCACTAAAGCAGTCTGTCAGGAAAGAACCAGAGATACCCTAAGAAGAAACTTACCACATCCCGTAATTACCAGCACCAGCACTGGACCCAAATACAACAGTGAACTTGGGGACATCGGCACATGCAACAGCAGTAACAAGCTTAGCACCATTCTTCGCAATACCGCCCTTCTCAGCATCAGCGCCAACCATGAAACCTGAGATATTCTGCAAGAAGACAAGGGGGATCCGCCGCTGAGCGCAAAGCTCAATGAAGTGCGCTCCCTTGAGCGAGGACTCAGAGAACAAGATTCCATTGTTAGCAACGATACCGACACGATGGCCGTGGATGCGCGCAAAGCCCGTTACCAGGGTCGAGCCATAGTCACGCTTGAATTCTGCAAATTCACTCCCATCGACAATCCGCGCGATGACCTCATGCACGGGGATCTGGCGGCGTAGATTTGTGCCAACGATCCCATTTAGTTCATTGGGGTCATACAACGGTTCCTTCACAACAAGCGAATCTCCATTACCGTTTTCCAGCTGGAGCGGAGTTTTCGTGGTAGGGTAGTTGAGATTTGCAACAGAGCGGCGAGCAAGGACAAGAGCGTGCGCGTCATCGACAGCCAGGTAATCCGTTACACCGGAAATGCTCGAATGTAGTTGACCGCCACCCAGGTCCTCGGCGGAAACCTCCTCGCCCGTCGCGGCCTTGACGAGAGGCGGGCCTGCCAGGAAGATAGTGCCCTGGTTCTCAACGATTATAGTCTCGTCGCTCATAGCAGGCACATATGCGCCACCCGCTGTGCAGGGACCCATGACAACGGAGAGTTGTGGGATACCGAGGGAGCTCATGCGGGCCTGGTTGAAGAAGATCCGTCCGAAGTGATCGCGATCCGGGAACACATCTGCCTGATGAGGCAGGTTTGCGCCACCAGAGTCAACGAGATATATACAAGGGAGACGGTTCTCTTGTGCAATCGCATGTGCGCGGAGGTGCTTCTTCACTGTGATGGGGTAGTAAGTGCCGCCCTTGACGGTGCTGTCGTTGGCAACAATCATGCAGTTGACGCCCTCGACCATTCCAATACCGGTAATTATCCCGCCGGCTGGAACATCCTCGCCTTCGTAGACCCCGTGTCCGGCTAGTGCTGATAGCTCAAGGAAGGAGGTGCCTGGGTCGACTAGGGCGGAGATCCTATCTCTTGGGAGCATTTTGCCGCGGGCGATGTGCTTCTCGCGCGCTTTATCGTTCCCCCCACGTGCGATTTTTGTGTGCAGGCTATTCATCTGGTCTAGGAGTTCTTGCATTTGTTCGCTGTTTTGGCGGTACTCCTGTGAGGAGGTATCCACTGTCGTGGGGAGGACGGAGAGGGCTGAGGCATGGTGAGGATGTGTATAGCTTGCTACTGTTCTATATGTTGGTCGTGTAATCTTCGTTAATTGATTCAATGAGTTTGGTAGAAATTTGCGTGGTCCGAGTCGTGAGCCCCAGCTCCGAAGGGCGAGCGGGGACGGGGGGCGCATGGTGGGGAAAAGGGTGGAGTATGTAGCTGGTTCCTGAACAGAGGATGGCAGAGCTCAACTCAAGTCAAAATGGATAGAAACGGGTATATGATGAGTTTCCCGAGGTATTTAAACTTATACAAATAGTGGCAGAAGAGAAGCGAGGCACAAAGCCGGGGTATCTCCAAATGCGGAGGTGCGAAGATTGCCGCATCTACCCGAGGTACGTCGTCATCCCCATGAGAATGCTAGACAAGACTGGATGTTAGACAATCGTTGAAGAGAGTGAATAGGATAGACGAATCAATTGGCCTGTAGATAGATCATATATAGATTAGAAACTCAGAAATGCTAAAGACTTGCGCGTTGTAGGGTGGGAAACTAATGCGACTCGTAGTATAACAAGTTCTGGATTGCGCGCCGAGGACTACCGACCTCCCCGTGCGCACATATTTAAATAATGAAAAGGTCCACTTCTGCAGACAATTCCCCGGAATTTTGCATACTGCATCGATTCTCTCATATAACCATGGCCTCCCTAGCCCTCCCTTCTCTCCTTCGCACATCAACGCGCGCGGTGCGGCGAACCCGCATCCCCGCACTCACCCCGTGTTTCCGCTCTATCTCAACAAAACACCCCAAGGGCTTCGTACCTCCGTCTGAGGATGATCTTCTAGAACTGCGAGAGCGGGTGCAAGATTTTACAAGTATAATACCCATGCTCTTTTCTAAGCCGCATCTCTAATGTTGTTGTAGGGCGAGAGATCCCAGCCGATGTTGCTGCACGGACAGATGAACAGAATGAGTTCCCAGCGGAAATGTGGAAGAAGATGGGCGAGGCTGGGTATATGCTCTCTCAAGTGGTTTAATCTCTTCTTCAAGAAGGGGCGTTGTTACAGTGCGCATTCTAACACATATAAAGGTTTCTCGGTGTCACAGCCAACGAGGAGTATGGTGGCTTGGGGATGGGCTACCAGGCACATTGTGTAGTGATGGAAGAGATCAGCCGAGCATCCGGTGAGTCTTCCAGTATATGACTATGTGAAAATTCTATCTGACCGAGATTCTGGATAAAAAGGAAGCATCGGTCTCTCTTATTCCGCACATTCCCAGCTCTGCGTGAACCAGCTCTCCCTCAATGGCTCCACGGAACAAAAAGAACGCATTCTTCCAGGTCTCATATCAGGCGAGAAGGTTGGCGCTCTTGCAATGTCGGAGCATTCAGCTGGCTCCGATGTAGTCAGTATGAAGACCACAGCGAAGGAAGTTGATGGGGGCTGGCTCTTGAACGGAACCAAGATGTGGATTACCAATGTAAGTTGTTCTTGTGATATAGATAGGATTGGAAGCTTGGACATTATTACTCACACTTTCTTACAGGGCCCCGATGCCGACTATATTGTCGTGTACGCCAAGACAGAACCTGAACTAGGCTCTAAAGGTATCACAGCGTTCCTGGTTGAGAAATCGTTCAAGGGCTTCTCGTGCGCACGTAAGCTAGACAAGTTGGGTATGCGTGGCTCTAACACAGGCGAGCTCATCTTTGAGGATGTTTTCGTTCCCCGGGCGAACCTCTTGGGCGAGTTGAACCGTGGTGTTCGCGTATTGATGGAGGGTCTGGACTTAGAGCGACTCGTCCTGAGTGCAGGACCACTAGGGTGAGCCATCCTATACCACAGCACACCTCTCACATGCTAACACTCCCCTAGGATCATGCAAGCTGCACTTGACCTTGTCCTTCCTTACACACACGTGCGCAAGCAATTTGGTACACCGATCGCCCATAACCAGCTGATCCAAGGCAAGCTTGCGGACATGTACACTAAGCTGGCCGCCTCACGTGCGTACACCTATGCCACGGCTCGACAGGTAGACAACGCCGCCGTAGAGCCTGGGGCGATGGCCGTCCGCACCCAAGACTGCGCCGGCGCAATTCTCTACGCCGCTGAGCGCGCGACTGAATGCACGCTTGATGCCATCCAGCTCATGGGAGGAAGCGGGTACATCAACGAGATCCCTGCTGGGCGCCTTCTCCGAGATGCAAAGCTGTATGAGATTGGTGCCGGTACAAGTGAGATCCGCAGGATGGTCATCGGCCGCGCATTCAACAAGGAGTATGCCTAAACAAGATAATCTTACATAAATGTATTTCATTTGGGAGGACCCTATCTCTTTGGAGAGTATATGCAAATTCATTTTAGTCGTTGTACATGTCATAAATAGCCCTATATCTAATATTACCAGCACAACCATCCTACTTCTTCTGCCTAGTCGACCTGCGCACCAGCGGGGTCTTAGCACGCGTTGTAGGCCCTTCACCGCCGCCGTTTCGCAACGCAACCCTCTTCGGGCGAGGTGGCGTTGTGTGCTCGTCAGCGTCGTCTTTCTGTGCTACTGTCTTCCGCTTCTGCCCTCTCTTCAACGGAATCACGACCTGCGGCGGCGAATCCAGCTTCAGCGAGCGGAAAGAGTCCGGATCCGGATCAGGAGTTGTGTTGGAAGCATCCCCAGCATCCCCAGCATCAACGCTCGAAGTATTCGAGGAGATGACATCAGACATCTCGTCCGAGCTATCGAGCTCGTCGTCGGTACCATCACCAGCGAATATTTCATCGTTAGCCGACGGATCGACAGGCTTGGATTCAACCATAGGTCGCCGCTTCAGCCGAGACCTATCTAGGGCTGGCTGGGCAAATTTGAAGACCTCCCGCCAGTTCTCTAGAAGCGCGACTTTCTCGCCTGTGTCCGGCTCATACAAAACGGCAACGTCCTGGTCACGGTCCAGCGCGGGTGTTTTCCACACCACACCCTGAAAGGAGGTGATATCCGGCATTAGGGGGATTTAGCTGGCGGGACTCTGGCGGTGACACGTTTTGTGCGGGAAGATGCCTTTGTTTGTCGTGGTGCTGTCTCTGCGATCTCGGTTCTTTTTTTTCTCTCTGCGCTTTGTTCGACGGTTGCGTCATCGTCGTGGTAATCGTCCGAATAATAGTCCCAGTCGCTAAAATATTCTTCGACATCAATCGATGGGTCTTCATATAGGGCGGCTTCGTAGTATGAGGAAGCAGCGAGATCGTCCTGGACAAGCAAAGTTTTGGTTAGTGTCCGATTCCTAATTGATGCTGGTTTCTCATGCAAAGCCGATGGCGCGAGGGGGTCTAGACTTCGCCTTGAGGATTTAACTTACTACCATGTCTGGGACTAAATCCTCGTACATATATTCATCCTCGAACTCATAGTACTCATCATCGTCGGACATCTCGAAGTGGATACGAAGGGAAAAAAAAAGTTCAAAGAGATTAAGTGGCGAGGGTTCCGAGGATGCGTTTGCTAAACGAATGACGAGACTTGAAAGTAAGTCAAGTATATATACGTATAACACAAGCAAAATAGGGATGCACGGCTGACGTGACGGAGTGAAGATCGGACTGATCGTGCATTGAAGAAGATGGCAATCCTGCTAACATAAGCCTTGGCGTTTCTCCGGATCTACATTGCATTTAGTTAGGATATGCGCTCATTTTGTGCTCTGTCTTCGAGAGTATTGATCAGAGAAGACGGCGAAGAACACAAAAAATGGTCTTCTATTCAATGATCATCGCTGCATCTAGGGTATGGATATAGACCCTGCTATTCAAGAACGAGGGGTTGGTGCCTGAGGGAATAGGCGCTAATGCAGCTTTTCACAAGTTCGACAGAGACATACATGGATTTGATGTTTCGCTTTATGGTCTTATTTCACCCCCAACTTCTTTTTTCTAAGTTTACTTTAAGTTTTTCTGCATGGGATGGCTGTTAGGTCTTGTGGCCTGCATACACTTTTGACCTTGCCTTCCGTTCTGTATACAGCACCGGCCTATGTAGAAGTCGGACATCCAATAACATCGGTTATTTTATACTTATGATATCACAAGTGCGCAGGTGATATCTTTAAATGTACTAGTTCATTCGGGATTCGAAGTACTATGCCTTCTACAGTACACATTCTCTCTATTGGCGACCGGACATGTAAAGTATACAACCTATTGACACCATGGAACATACGTCAATGGAGTGAATAGATGTCGGAAAGTATTGAGGTCTGCCTAAGTTATAAATACCCCCCTTCTCCTCCTCCTCTCTTCTTTTTTTTTCTTTCCTCTACAACCATCCCAGACCAGATGTACTTCAGACGCCCCTCCATGTTTCGTCCCTCCTGGGACTCTCACCTGTTGAAAAGGATTGAATTTAACAAGCCCATCAAAGTATTGTGGAAGAAAGTACCTGTATGCTTTGAATTTTGAATTTGAAACCCTCATCACCTCAGTGCTTGGGTAGGGGCTAGGGCCCTAGCCTTTATTCTAAGTGCTGAGCATCCATCATTTGCAACATCTGGGTTTGATGTCCTCAATAGAGGCTGCAACACCTGCGGTCTTTGCTGGTGGCTGATTGCTTGGATTCTCTCTCTTTCTCATTCTTCGCCAGTATTTGGGAAGAGATACAGGGCCCGGGTCTCTATTCCAATACCGAGCATCCGCATTCCTGTACCTGGGTTTGAAGTACTGGGTGGAGGCTGCGGCGCCTGTGGTCTTCATTTGGGACTGATAATTCAGGTTCCAAAATACGCTGCCCAATACCTACTTCCATTTTTCGAGACTTGCATGTTTGGAAGAAAATTCCTACGGCTGAAGTGCACATGTTATGGGACGGGTTCACTTTCATTTGTCTGCGGAGGTCTCCCTCATCCCCATCCAGACCTGCAGGTTTTCCCACAGGGTTTCCTGCCGCCTGGACGTTCAACTATGTTGAGCATCTCTTGGTGAACCAATTCACATTCAACCGGGAGCCTTTCCCACGTGGTTTTCTCCCGGTTGGACATTCACCATGGTGTCATTGATACCAAGAGGTTACTACAATACACAACCACTCGAGGCACTCTTTCCGGCCTGGGAGGTTTTCCCCCATGGGTTTCCCTTCTGGCCGGTTTTAACGAGGCCTCAATTTCACAACAACTCGAAACGATCTCTTGAAAACATGGACGGCTGGGCACTGCTGTCTGAAAGTGGGAAAATTCTGTTGGAAATCAAGCTAGTTAGAGCTGAAGAAAAAGACGGGAATGGCAATCTATGCCACCTGGTGCCCATCGGACGGATCATGAAGAAGAAAATGTGGCCACGAGGAAGTAAAGAAGAAAACAGGCACGGCAACTTATGCCACCCGTGAGGCCCGAAAGAACTAGAAACGGAGCGCCCATTGAAGAAGAAAATGGCAGCCCGTGCCACACGAGTCCCGAAGAAGCAACATATTGAAGAAGACGAGGCCTGGCAGCCCGTGCCACCAGAGTCCCGAAGAAACAACACCAATCGCACATTGAAGAAGACGAATGGGCATGGCAACCTGTGCCACACGAGTCCCGAAGAAACAACCCCAATCGCCCATTGAAGAAGAAAAATGGGCATGGCAACCCATGCCACTAAATGAGTCCCGGAGAAACAAAACAGCAGGCGTTTCTTTGGGACTCAAGTGCCTACCAAACCGAGCCGAAGAAGAAGATAGGCTTGGGTTGCCATGCCCCCCCCAACAACAACTCTTTGTTTCTTCGGGACTCGATTTTGCCTAACAGCACGACTATAGGCACAGGTTGCTATGCCCCCCAACAACACCAGCTCTTTGTTTCTTCGGGACTCGACTTTGCCTAACAGCACGAATATAGGCACGGGTTGCCATGCTACCTAACCAACAGCTCTCTTGTTGTTTCTTCGGGACTCAAATGCCCATCGAACCGACCTGGAAGAAAATATCAAATCGTCAAGGAAAAAAAAGAAAAACACCACTCAATTGGACAATTCAAACTTTACCAATATCAATACCCAAAACCAAAGAAAGAAAGAAAAATCAAAAGACAACGGCACAATCGACAAAACCACCAATATCAATATCAATACATCTCCAACCCCCCAAAAAAAACCGAACAAGACAACCGGCACAATCGAGAAAACCACAAAAAAAATTCCAAAAACCACAAAAGCGGCAACACAGGAATGGAGGAAATGGAAAGGAGAACAAAAAGGAATTGGGTTTAATCTATGTACGAGGTACTCTTTCCAGCTGGTCGTATTTATCCCACAGGGTTTTCTTCCGGCGGGTTTTAACGAGGCCTCGAAGTTTTATTTGATTTGTACTTAGAATTCAATGTATGAAATGTGTTGCTGGACAGTTCAAGGGAGGGCATGGCACCTCTCTTTTGGGCTGGCCAGTGACTAACTCGGGACGTATATAGTTCGTTGCAAGATGGTTTGGGGGAGGGCATGGCACCTCTCTTCCAGATTGTCTAGTAACCTAAAACAATCAATTTTATTACAACTATCGCGTTCTGTTCTTTATATATCGTAGATATCGGGCTATGTGTATAGACAGACAGTCATCATATAGCCGATTGGTTTGATGTTTGATGGGGGATGTGTTGGAAATATATATGTGCAATACCAGAGATAGTCGCAGTCATTGCAGTCGTAAATCATGGTGATAGTTGACTCAATTCTCTTCCAATCACATGCTGCAGTAAATTTCCCAGATACCCGAGTATCCCAACCAATCCAAGAACATCTCATTGAGTCCCTGTCGCAGAAGTTCATCTCCCATGTAGTAATTCCCCGTCTTCTCCCGCACAGCAGTCCCAAGAGTACTTTGAAGAGGTTTTCCCAACCGAATTGTTTCAGTGGACCTCAGGAGGTCTGTCCAATATATACTTCCCGGCTGCCAATGTCGTTGCTCATCTGCGGCTGATGCAAGTCTCTCGAATTCAGGTAGTGATTGAACAGTCTCCCAAATTCTAGGTGCATCATAGTATGCTGGCCTGCCATACTTCCTCAGGATGCGCTGAGTATACTCAGGGTCAACCATCTGTCGAGAGGTTCGTCGCAAATAATCAATCTGCTGATCTATAAGATTTTGTATGCCCTCTCTTTCTTGGGCGGGGTCTTCTTCCTCCGTCTTGTCGAGATAATGAGTAAGTTCATCTCTCAATTTTCGCAAACGGTATTGTGTCCATTCAGGATAGAGAGAGTTTGTATCCGCATAAGGCCGGACATTGGTAATATAGCTGGAGTCATACACATTTGGCACTGTAGAACGGTATGAAGTGATGGTCGATATCCGCTCCTTCACACCTTTCGCCCGGGCAGCCAGATGACAGACTTCACCTCCTTGGAGCATGACAGCATGACCAAGTTGAGGGCCCTCAACCTTCATAGTGCTTGGTTAGTGGGGGCATTTCCGTTCCAGTCAGATGGACTTTTTTTACACACCTTCTGTGCCTCCCCGTCTCCCTTTTTAATATATGTCTCACCTCCGATCATACCCTCAGTATTGCTCAGCATTAGTACACAAACATAAGGGTATGAGTCGTAGCTTTGGTCCAATTAGTACTGCCAGTATTACAAGCCAGGTAGCTAGAGCATTAACTTACTGCCATGGAATGATAGCACTGGCATCCTTCAAAGGGTTATAAGTTCGGTCTTCGGGACTCAACTCGAGCCTTTCTACCATCGGCTCAACTTTGAGTTTACTGGCCATTTCTGCGATGGTAGCGCCTCCGACTTGAATGTTAGTGTGTCCTATTTCCGTTGGCATCACCACCTCCAGAGGTACACCGACTGCTTCAGACACAATCCTCATTGTTTCGGGATGCGTCCAGAAGTCATTGACAAACTTTGACTGTTTCACAGCATTACGAAGGACCAAAGTCCCCGGGAATGGCGAGCTGGAGCATTTGTCTATGACTTCTTTTTGAAATAGGGCCCTTCGGTAGGCTTTGACACCTTCAGCCGACAACAATGGAAATGGCACTGTTGCTGCAATGGGCGATGCGGTTGGACTTTGTTTTAGAAGCAAGTCTTGCATTGTAAATTTCCTTGAAGGTGGAGTGTAGTTGAGGTGTACCTGTTGGATGAAATCTTGGAGGCGAAGTTTGGGTTAAACGGGGGAATTTGCCTTCATTCGCGTACTCTTGGATCGAATACCTCTTCCTTGATCGCTTTGTGGGAAGAGTCCCAGATATATTGTTTCAGAAGACTGCAAAGATTCATGATGAGCATAATATTTAGCCCCAACGTAACAAAGTAATTGCTGTGGGGTTTTGAATTTTAAAACAAGTTTTGGGATAGGTGTAAGAAAACGTAGACGAAGCTCTCATATGTTGTATTTAATAGTTGGTGTAACCAAATCTATAGTTACAAAGTACTCGGCTTGGGTTAACTCACCTGGGCAGTGCGCTACCTACAGCCCAGATAAGCCATTCCTATCCAGGAAGGTCTGTCCGGGGCATATCATCAGTATTAAATTTGTAGGATCGCATGCCCAATTTTGAATCCTTGCTGTTCGTATTAAGGTGTGAGATGGCAGTCAAAATTTCTCTTGCGAGCTGCAAGTTTACTATCATTCCATAACCCTGTAGGACAAGAGATAGATCTACCATTCTTTGTATCTCCTGAAATGTGCCTATGTAGGCAGCCTCCTGGATCAAAGACTTGTCGCTGTCTCCTCGCTTGATCTTATCAAGACACTGGCTCGATAAGCTGGAAGCCTTAGACTGGTCAGTTGTATATCACGAGTAGAGATGGAAGTTCGCAACATAAAATTACTGTTCGCGGGACCACCAATATCTGTTAATTTAACAAGATCGAAGCGTGATATTGAGACTACAAGGTAAGATAGATAACAGAGGTGTGAAGTTACATCTTTTCCAATATATCCAGCATATAATCCCAAAGGGCTGTTTTTGAAAGAATGGGTGGGTGCCCAAGTAATCCACTCTAGAAATCAAAACCTCCTAGTTTCCCTATGGAATTTGCAATAATGGGTACGGTACTACCTATAATCACTCTTTTACTTGGCAGTCAGCTACCATGTCTTTTACCCACTCGACCAGCTATGGAGTATTTTGGCAGACATCGACTGGGTCGAAGGCCTCGTGAGTCGTGACCCTACTTTGTACATTTCCCCGAAAGCGGCGGATTATGTCATACCCCTCGGCTTTCCCCGCATCTCGCTTTGCGTCGGCTCAACAAATGCTTCTCCAAACCCTTGGGCTTTTCCCATTCTTTATTTTATCCCTTCGAAATACCTCGATCATGCTTACTTACCCTGTGATCTAAATCACTACATGTATCTTTAAAGACCTCATCGAAGCTGAAAAGGCTGTTCTCCCACCGTCATGACCCTCTCATCCCTTCTCCGCATTACTCCCCGCTTAACCCCGACCGCGGCCCGCAGAACGTCCCGAGCTGTATCATCGGCCACTAACACATCAAATACAACCAAGTCATTGGATTCGATTCTCATAGCCAATCGAGGAGAAATCGCTTTGTATGTTTGGCACTATATTAAGTGGAATTGGTGGCGCTAACCTAGATATGCTAGACGAGTTGGACGCACTGCCGCAGAGCGTGGGATCCGAGTAACAACACTCTACACTGACCCAGATAGCCGATCACAACATGCCTTGAGCTCCCCCTTCGCCTTTAATTTGGGCTCGGTGTCGGCATACCTCGATGGCGATAGAATTATTGAGATTGCAAAGAAAGAAGGGTGCCAAGCAATACACCCTGGTTACGGCTTTGTAAGTTGGGTGTGAATATCAAGGTTCTAGATGGGATGCTAACTAAAAGCTCGATGTGCAGTTGAGTGAGAACTCTGCATTTGCGCAAAAATGTACCGAGGCCGGGCTGGTCTTCATTGGCCCGCCATATAAGGCCATTGAGGATATGGGTGATAAGAGGTACGTTCATTGCACTATTTGAATGCTCACTATGCTCACTAGATGTGCCCTAATAGCCGTTCCAAAGAAATCATGACAGCTGCCGGTGTGCCATGTGTTCCAGGCTACCACGGACAAAATCAAGACCCTGCCTTCCTCGAAGAGCAGGCGGACGAGATCACATACCCGGTGCTTATCAAAGCCGTCAAAGGAGGTGGTGGAAAGGGCATGCGTATTGCCAGTTCCAAGGCAGAATTTCAAGCTCAGCTTGAGTCGGCCAAGTCAGAGGCCATGAACTCATTCGGAGATGACAATGTGCTAGTGGAGAAATATATCACCACGCCGCGGCACATCGAAGTCCAGGTATTTGCAGACAAGCATGGTAACTCCGTCGCCCTAGGAGAGAGAGACTGCAGTATCCAACGGAGACACCAGAAGGTGCTTGAGGAATCTCCGGCGCCCCATCTCCCTGATGCAACTAGAAAGGATCTCTGGGCAAAGGCACGGGCGGCTGCTGAAGCTGTCGGCTACGAAGGTGCCGGTACAGTGGAGTTCATTTTCGATAATGATTCCGGGAACTTCTACTTTATGGAGATGAATACCCGTCTTCAGGTTGAACATCCCGTAACTGAAATGGTCACAGGACAGGATCTTGTCCATTGGCAGATTCTGGTGGCCGAGGGAGCAAAGCTACCCCTTACACAAGAGGAAGTGGAAGAGCGTATCGCCCAGAGTGGCCATGGAATTGAGGCCCGAATCTATGCTGAAAACCCAGACAAGGGATTTATCCCTGACTCAGGCCGTCTACTCCACGTGCGAACGCCGGCTACGTCGGAGGAAATCCGCATTGATGCAGGATTTGTGGAAGGAGACGACGTCTCAGCCCACTATGATCCCATGATCGCCAAGCTTATCGTGCGCGGTGCAAATCGCGAGGAGGCTCTCCGCAAGCTGGCCGCTGCTTTGGAAGAGTATGAAATCGCAGGACCTGTGACTAATATAGAGTTCCTGAAAGCCGTCTGTAAGAGCCCGGATTTCATCGCTGGTGAAGTCGAGACTGGCTACATCGAGAAGCACCGTGAAGAGCTCTTCCCCCCAAAGATTATTGAGGAAGAGGTGTTGGCGCAGGTCGCGATGGCCTGTATGCATCGTGACAGCGTCTCTGGAGTGCGATTCTCAGCAGGGGTTGCAGGCTCAACGGTCGGGTTCACTCCTAGTTACCAAGAGCGACAGTTGTTATTTACTGAGACTACTGGCCCGGTGTCTAGCGACGGGTCCACGTTCAGTGTACGAGTGCAGCAGACAGCAGATGATACATTCAATGTGGAAGTCGGCGGGCGGGTCTTCGAGCAGGTAGTGAGCCGTATGGATCCGACGTCGCACATTGTCACATCCTTTTTCGCACACACCCGGTTAGATACAACAGTGGTCCGAGATGAGGACACTATTATTGCATTCCAGCGAGGGACCCAGTACCGGCTCACGGTGCCCCGGGCTAAGTGGATGGAGAAGGCATTGGGACTAAAAGATGTGAAAAACAGCGTTTTGGCTCCTATGCCGTGTAAAGTCCTGCGAGTGGAGGTGCAGGCGGGAGACGTGGTGGAGAAAGACCAGCCGTTGGTTGTTATCGAAAGTATGAAGATGGAGACAGTGATTCGCAGTCCACAACAGGGAACCATTGCCCGAGTCGTGCATAAAGAAGGAGTAAGTCACGCGCATTTCCCCCTGCATGTGCTCTAGAATTCCCTGGCCCTCCCGTGACTTTTTTTTGTCTTTTGTTTGAGTGTTTGTTTTAATTGCGCGTCCCCCTGGTTATATGTCTGTGCCCTTTTAAATTTTTTTTCTCCCCACGACCCTGGCAAGATGAGATTCGAGTACAGCTGACCAACATGCGCCTTGCAGGATCAATGCAAAAGCGGAACACCGCTGGTGGAATTTACCGAGTCCGAATAGAGTGGGATTTTGTTATTAAGTACAAATTTTACAGTTATCTCCATAGCCAGACATACCTTCGATACCTTTCGAGGTTAAGACACAAATGGTGGCGGTCACACTACCGATTTTGACCTCGCCTTGCAATTACAGTATGCTTTATCTTATCCTGGGCTTTATGTAGTAGTATCTTGGTTTGGAATTACACAGAGCTGTCATGTCGGATACATGGCTGTATTCCACAGTGTATGTATTGAATTTGATTATGATTCCGGGGTGTCAAAATGGAATAGAGTGATCAAAGAAGTTGCAGTCTTGAAGTGCGGTACGCTGGAGTGCTGGATAGATTGGGCCATTGTTAGATGTATTGCTTCGGCCCGTAGCAACTTGACGAAATGACTACCCACCTTTAGATAATTAATATGCTGCCATTGTAGATATTGTAATCATCGTCGTCGTCTTCGTCGTAGTAATCGTCAGAGTGGTCACCGTCAAAATACTAATCATAAACATCCTCATCATCTTCAGAACCATACGACCATATCTCCGCCACCACAATGAGTATCCACCCATGACTCTCCATCTCCTTTCTGAGATCTAAATTGGGATCTCCCTCATAGACCTCCACGACGATCTCTTGGAGAGATGAAATTTCTCTGAAACGGGCATCAGCTAGCGCAATGGCATTGGCATAGTTCTTAGGGCTGTCAAGTGAATCAATTTTCCATGAGATTTATGGTTTCTGGTGTTGTGATAACCTTTTTCAAATTGGAGCAGTGGTGCTGGACTTTTTCCAGGATACAAAGGCTGTCTTCCTCCAGGCTGACCGTATCTTCGTGCTCGCGAGGTGTGGGGAAATCGATGCGAACACATTGAATATGAGATGCGTTGATAGGGCCAATAGTATCAAGAAACTCGGGTATACGCTCAGACTTCGACGCGCGGAGTTCAAAGCAGTTCTCGGCATACAGTATTGACCTGGCCTCGTGTAGGATTTTTGTGTTGGTGCAGAGGATATTGGGCTCTAGCCCATGACATCTATACCAGGGATCAATAGGCTGTCTGTAGACTAGGAGATACTTGTATATCTCATTCCGCAGTTCAGCAGGAAGACTCAGGAAGCGGAAACTGGCTGACATCTCGCTGATTGGTATCCTACAATATTCGATAGTATGTGGGAATGAATATTGATGGATATAGCTGAAGAGTATCATGAATGATGTTGACAAAGTACATGCAATAAAGTCACCTGCTAGGTATGTTTGATGTTTGCCTACCAAATACTTTGTCATCGACATAATACCTCTTTCTGTTTTTGATTCTGTATACACCATTTAATGATGGTGATTCCGTGAAAGGAAAGAACGAAGAAAGAAATAAAGCATATAGGGTCTTATTTGAAATGTCAGCAGTATATGGAAAGAATAGTAAGACATTGTAAAAATAGCCACTCAATAGCAACAAATAAGTCAAGATAACCTCCAGCCTCTCCCCTTAGAAAGAAATGGGGCTAACGGGAGTCCCCACATAAACCCAAATAGTCTATGTCCACTATGTTACCCCATATTCGGACGTACTTTATAGCATTAGAGAGGCAACTTGTTATTTGACTGTCTTTTTCCTGCACCCTACCTTGTATTCTATTTATTCACCGAGTAATGCAACAGAGTACTCGGTGGCAAATTGTAGAACTGCATGACACAAAAATGACCACAGAGGTAAATCAGGGCTCGCAATTGGCCTGCAGCAATGCGGCCGTGTTGTCCCCGAAATGCAGAAAGTGACTGGTCCTTTTAGCAAATGTAAAAGACATGAAACAAGCAAATATACGTATAGCTACGGAGTATGTATTTCAATGTTATCAAGTCTAAAATTAAAGATTTGAATGAGAAAGATTACCCTTGGATAGCGTACGTCAATTAGATATATAATATAAACTATATATATTTCATTGGAAAAAAGTACATATGCACGGAGTACTCTATACATAAGTACCTTGTAAAGCCACGCTGATCGATCTGACATCACTTTCGGTTCTAGGTTCCTGTATTTGGACCTCGGGGACCTCTATGATTTAAAAGTAAATAAAAGAAAACCTCCTTAAGACCAAAATAGGGCAAATTAAGCTCCTTCAATTAATTGCCCCACGTCTTCTATCCATTGGCCTGTTTTCACCGCAATTGTCGCATTCCCCAGCTCCTTCGGCCCTGAGAATAAAATTTAAAAAATTTAAAAAATTTAAAAAAGAGGTGAGGTCCGATGACCTGCTTCGTTTAACTCTCACCCTGCCTATGTAACTAGATCCTTCCTTCTTACAAATACCCATTCTCTCCAATTTCAATCTCACGTACATACATCGCATCCTTTCCAGCCTTGTACCTCCACAGCGCCAGCCTGACGCTCTGTCTTCCACAATGTTCAAGCCCACAGTCACACGCAATGCCATCAAGACCCTGAACACCGCCCGCCCTATAGTTGCGGTTACTCGCCCCGCTACCAGCTTCACCCGCCCCCTCTCATACACTGCTTCACTCAGAAAAAAGAAGAGCAATGACCCTACAAAGGACCCGATCCTCTCTGCTACAACCAAGGCTCCCGAGGGCGCTTCTAGTGTGAATGAGGGTCAATTTGCTCGTACTGATCAGAGCGTTCACATTGAATACCCTCCCGATAGTGAGATGCCCCCTCAGCCTGTGGCGCAGGGACGTGGTGGAATGCATTTCAAGCGTACTCTAGCCCAGTTCTCACTTGAGAAGAAAGTCAGCGTGGTTACTGGTGGTGCTCGTGGCTTGGGTCTGGTCATGGGCCAAGGACTTGTCGAGTCTGGCTCGGACTTGGCTATCATTGATCTGAACAGTACGTTCTACAATCACTATGTATAACCGGACCAAAATATTGATCCTAACATCTACCCCAGAGGCCGAAGCAGAGACCGCAGCTGCCTCGTTGATCGAGCAGTTCCGTGTGGAAAATCCTGGTATCGAAGAGTGAGTGCCATTGCCATACCATTTCAGCTTAGCGCAGTGGCTAATTTAAAACAGCATGCCCAATGTCACTGCCCATTATGCGGACGTCTCCAACCCCGACTCCGTGCAGAATGCCATGGCTGAAGTCCTGGCCAAGCACGGCCAGATTGATAACCTAGTCACATCGGCGGGCTTCACCGAGAACTTCGAGGCCATTAACTACCCCTTCGACCGTATGCAAAAGCTTTGGGGCGTGAATGTCGACGGCACATACCTCTTTGCCATTAATGTTGCCAAACATCTAATGGAGCGCAAGGCACCCGGTAGCATCGTCATGATTGGTTCTATGTCAGGCTCCATCGTTAATGTTCCCCAACCCCAGGCTCCATACAACGCCGCGAAGGCTGCAGTGCGCCACCTTGCTGCTTCGCTCGCTGTGGAGTGGGCTGGCCATAATATCCGTGTTAACTGCATTAGCCCTGGCTATATGCTTACCGCTCTGTGAGTATCCCATGCATGGACGAGATGCATTCGGGTAGATAAACCTCAGAAAGAAATTGTTGCTAATCCTGTCTTCGACATTTAGAACTCGCAAGATCCTCGATGAGAACCCTCAACTTCGCGACCAGTGGACCTCTCTCATCCCTGTTGGCAAGATGGGTACACCGGAGGACTTGATGGGTGCCGTGACCTTCTTGCTCAGTGATGCCTCTAGGTATATCACTGGGGCGGATCTCCGTGTTGATGGCGGCTACACCGTAACCTAAACAATTTCTTTTTGCCTGGATTTAATCTCCCTACATGATATTAGCTTTTATTCCATATTTTACGTCATGAGCTACACGATTTGGCCATTCACTTTGGTTTTTGCATTTTTGAAGCCACGATTCTCGAATGATACTCTTATCTAAGAGTGACTTGGTTTAAAAAGTCCATTGAAATTTTTTTCTTGCTTTCAATAATAGTACAGCTTGAATCATGTAAAGTGGGGGAACCCACGACGGTCAATATGCACTCCGTACATACATAGCTCTCCACAAACAAGAGCTATGATACGATGGTGGTCTAGACTCTATCTAGAACTTTAGGCCCCTGCGTCCTATGCAAAACAAGGGAATCTGAAACATGGACTCCCTATTTAGCTTTATAATTATGTCCCCGTGTATCCAAGAACCTCCTTGCGGAATGCAAAACTTCAACGTACCTAAGTACCAATAGATCTAATCTGACTCACCTGCATTCCGGGATGCACCTCGGATGACCTGGAACTGGGAATTCCGGCAGGATAGGTTCCGATATCTCCGTTACTATTTATTGTACATACTGCCGGTAGTCCGGAGTTAAAAATGACATCCATCGGGACTTGGAGTTCCCATGGTTGTGTTTGTATGGACCCTGGACCCAACCTCCTTCGAAAGCCTCCAACCAGGTGCAACTTGCCGTTATTTTCTGACTATAGACACCGAGCCTAGAGTCAACGAGACTGGTTTAGCCACTGTGACAGCTCCCCGGGATTTATTATTGACTACACTATTTTCTTCTATCAGATGTGCAGCTCCTTACCTCAACGACCATACCCGGAAGATATGTACCCCGTGATTCGGTTCTGCTCAAAGATGTTTGAACCATATTAGAAAGTCACTATCATTGCGATTCGAGGAGCAATGGAGCAGATGTTTGAATCGATCAATCCATTGACTTATCTGAAGTTCCTTCTTTTCTAGCGACTTCAAGAAGATTCTTATGCGTCACGATCCAGCATTAGAAGGGCTAGTACTTTTTCCCGACCCCGACTATCCTGACTTATGGACTCCGATGATACCGGAAGGAGGTGGGGCTAACCAGGTGTTGTGATACGCTGAGCTCTGTCCTTGTCTAAGGAACTTGCATATTGAACCTCGGGGCACAGCCAGAGATGGGGATGAAGAACGGTTTTATCAAGTGTACGATCAATTTGCTTCCCTAGAAAACCTCACCCTGTATATGGAATGTTGTCTCGCCCCTGAGGTATCAAATGATCCGAAAAGAGCTGCGGTTCCTACGGTGGCTATTAGAGCATTCAAGATAACACTTGATCCAACTCTACGACTCGCAATAACGGGATACAATTGCATCAGCCCAGAAATCTGATCGGCTGCAAAATCGGAAGCTTTATCCTGACTCACACCGCCTCGACAACTTTCGCGAGGATAGCGAAGTACTCGGTATTTTGCGCAAGTTGAAAAAGATTGTACCTTGTGCAGGGAGGGACTTTTGAAGGAACCTCCTACTGTCTTCGAAATCGAAAAGGCAGCTTAACTCCCTGAAGAGAGCTCCTAGTCTTCTGTGGGTGGAAACCTTACGCAGAGTTAACTTCACATTTGGACATGCCAGATCGTGTATACCCATTATATCCAAATTGGCGGGACCAATGGGTGACGTTTCCACTACAAAGACGTGCTTCTGATGTTTTGGCAAACGGGAACAAGAGGACCCGTGAGGCTAGAGATGAGCGTGAGACGAAGCTACCTCGCACAATTGCGCAGTGATGTAAATTTGTATATGATGCAATGCTAGAAAGAAGATATGTTTGAACTTTGCGAAACATAGCGTACATAACTATTCCATACATTCCATCCACCGAATATCTTCACCTCATTAACCTGGAACGTATTTTTCCACAGTCTCGGTACAGATTTCCTGTTAAAGCCTCAAATTCTCAATTTCCCGTCTTGGCCAACTTAGCTCTTACGTCGATCTCTTTTTATCTCCGACTCGTACCACTGCCAGGCCCCGTGCCGAACCCACTTAACTCGGGGCTGAAGAAAGTCCCTCTATTCCCACATTGTAAATAAAGAGTAAACCCCTCTTTGCCAAATTCTCATTCCTCTCAACCATCGCCCCCAAACTACTCCTACCATGCGTTTCAATTCCACTTTAAGCCTGGCCATGCTGGCCAGTGCCACAGCTGCTCAATTGACAACCCAACTATTCAACTTCACCAGCTCAATCAATATTGAGAACAGTCAGCTGCGTCCTAACGGCCACCTCCTCCTCACAACCTTCTACCAAGCCCAACTCTACACAATCAACCCACAGGCCCGCAATCCCAAAGCCGAGCTAGTCGCCTCGCTTCCCGGCGCCACAGCACTAACCGGAATTGCACCCGTCGGTCACGACAAATATGCCGTTGTAGGCGGGGTACGGGGCTCATACCACTACGACAACGAAACCATCTACACAGTCGACTTTAGCAAAAATTCCACAAACCCCACCATCAAGATCGTCGCCTACGTTCCCGATGCCGATATGCTAAACGGCATGGCTTCAATGCCGTCCCAGCCGCATATCCTCCTAATCGCAGATGCACGATTGGGATCTATTTTCCGCGTCGATACAACCACCGGTGCCTCGAAGGTTGTGTTGAAGGACGATGCTCTTGCAGCGCCTGCGAACGCATCTATTCCCATTGGCATCAATGGCTTGCAGGTTGTTGGAAATAATGTGTACTTCACCAACAGTGCGCTCAATATCTTCGCCCGCGTGCCTGTCAGCAAGGATGGACAGACATTCGGTAGTATTGAGGTCATTGCGAGCCTTGAGCGCGAGGCTGATGATACGCTGTCGGATTGGGATGATTTTGCTATTGATGCCAATGGCGATGTGTATCTTGCGCTGCCGCCCAATTCCATTAGCAAGATCGCGCCAGATGGGACGCAGAGTGTTGTTGCTGGCGGTGGTGATAGCTTGGCTTTTATTGGACCTACCTCTGTGCAGATTGCCCAGGGCGGGAAAGTGGCTTATGTTACTACTCGAGGAGGTAGTGAGAGCGGTGTCGCCTATGGTGGACAAGTTGTTGCTCTGAAGCTTCGTGAGTAGATAGTGCAGGACCTGAGCTTTGTACATGTGTATATGTACTTAATTTTGGTTTTATATCTAGACGCTCTATTTATAACATCTTTGCCAGATCTGAGGTATTTTCAAGGTTCTATCCCCAATGTCAAGAAGGAATGCGGGACGGTGCAATCATTGCTAGGTTCATGCCAAAGATTGCTTAGAGTAGATGGCAGTCAAAAGCAACAAATCAAATGTTAATGCTACTGTTATATACTAGTGCAAGTTTAGCGATGTTGTCTTTGCCAAGTCCGAAAAGCTAGCCCCGGTTATAGCCGCTTGATATCTGCAGGAGTCGACTGGGGAGAAGATCTCCGAGAGTACTTTTTTAATATGGATCTTCTAGATCGTTTGCAGTGGATTTACAGTGGAGAAACCTGGAGAAAGTACACCACACCCAATAATAAGGCCCCCCGGGTTTTCTCCGCATACCGCATACTTAGAAGATGCTTGCCTATTGGATGTACCGGATCAAGGGGAAGACGGATGTGAATGCCACCTCGGCATAACTCCTTGATTTGGTCTGCAGGGTTTTCCCCAGGTCACATTGGGGGTGTTCAGTGTCACATTTAGCAAGTCGGCCGCTGATAGGGCTGTATCTGCCACATCCCTGCTTGCAAAAGGACGCGCAATTTGGAATGTAAGCTTTGGAGACTTTTTTCGGCCCATCTTTTGACAGTTTGGTTGGTTTTTAATTACAGTGTTTTAGTCTTATTTGTAGCAGTTTTGAGTAGCAGTCTCTTCTTTTTCCTGAAGTATAATATATAATTGACTTCTGTAGGGTGAAGCCCCTTGATAATCCCGCCAAGTTCAAGAATTAAGAGATAAAGATACAGGTATATCTAGAGAGATCTAGAAAGATCCAAGGAGATCTCAGTAGGCTAAGGGATTTAAGGAAGATCTGGTCCGGTTTTGAATCTCAGGGATTTTCCCCCACCTTGACCGCTACAGGCAGGGGCGAACCCTGGGGTACTACTCCGTGCACATTTCTCAAATTCTTTGTCCCAACTTCGTTCTACTTTTCTTTTTCTTTTTCTTCCTTTTTGTGGAGTACGGAGTGCATAAAGCCTTTACCATGATCTTCATACCTAAAAGTAAGAGCATGTTCAAAGGCTCTAATTGATGTGGTCCCTGCTTCAAGCTCACATCCTTTGAATATATTGGAGCTTCCAAGTTTCGACTTGCCACTTCCAGGTAGTACGGGACCCAGAAGAATAGCACGAGGAAACTTTTCTCTCAAAAGGTCCCGTGTCAACATTTTTCACTTGTTGTTGGTCGAAAGTGTGCCGTTTGTGCTGAATACAAAAGGATGATAGCAAGCCTTGACTTTACATCAGCATAACTGGTCCACACGTCAGACAGCAGGATCACTTGATTCGACCCCTCCCCATCTTGCCATTCTCACGTCATTCGTTTCGTACTTCTCTCCGTGCAAAGTCAGCATCCCGGCGTCATCTTAAGCTCGACCAAACCGAACGCACAGGATGGAGCCAAAGCTTCCCCAAGGTCTTGTGGTCATGTCAAGTGTGTCTCCTAGTGAAATTCCGGAACAAGACACATTGAGTACTAGTGTCTACAAGAGCCTTTGGCAAGGTACCACCCCTTACTCCTGGTCTCGTGGTGAAGAGGTTAACTGACAACAAACAGCCTACTCGACCTCCCATCTAGCTAGCAAAGACGAGACTGAACGTCGCCTAGAGCACCTCTTCTGGAGAATATGGGGTGTTAAACGGCTCTCCGGCTGCATCAATACCAAGACCCTAGATCGTCTTATCCTACGCATCAAGGCACCGGCAGCATTTCCCGTCGGACAAAGGGTGACTGTTCCACCGTTGCCTGGGACCGGCGACAAAGAAGAAGAAAGGGTAAACACCAGTCTGTTTCACACCGCACCATATCAACCCCATATCGACGATTCACGCAAGCCAATCAATAAAAGTCAGTCAGGCTGCGCAGCCGGAGCCTGTTCTCCTCATTTAAAATCGAAAAAGCCGGAGCCTTCACAGGTTGAAACACATATAAAAACTCGCTTGCTCCTTGACACTCCTCTCGGCACAAAAATAACACTCGACCCCTCCAACTCTCCTACCGGAAGCATGGCTCCTGAGACCACCCCCAATCGGGGTAACATGGGCCATCCTCGTCGCAAGAAGAATTCAACTGATTCCGAGTCGACTCTCATGCCCGAGAAGTTTGGCAACCAGGGTCTTAAGAAGACATCCATTATTCCTGGGCCTACCGTTATTACAGAAATCGTGGGTCATCAAGTTCCCAAGAAGACTTACTTTACTGCGATACGCAACGGACGAGGCCCACGCCGTCGCCCAGTTTTCAACCGCCGTAAGTCCTCGCAGACATCTATCCCGAAGACCGCACCTCCTGCTCGCCGACGCTCCGAGCCCGCCACTAAAGCAGATGGAGCCGACACCTTCTACGAAGACAGCTACGTAGAGCTGGGTCTACTGCAGCACCTCAGCTTCCGCGATGAAGAAGACGAAATCGCGCGTGACCTGGGACATGAAATTGCACCTGAGCCAAAGCCTGCTAAGCCTTCTGTTCCACTATTTGACGACGAATTTATCGATGAGCCCTCTATTATAGAGGCCTCGAAAGAAGCACCAAAGACAGATCCTGTTCCTTTTCCGCGAGCCTCTTCCCTCCGACACCCGATGCTGAGCCCTGATGTTCTCGACAAGATTACGCCGTCGTTTACTATGGACAGTCTCCTCGATTTGCCTGGTGGACCTCAGCTCGCTGACGCTGAAGATGTTGAGGGGGACTGGACGGATATCGATGCTATTGATTCGACACTCCCTGTCTTGCAGCCTTTTAAGAACTTGGTCTCGCATCATGAGACTGTTGACCAAGAACTCCCCGCTGTGCAGCCCGCTGTTGTTCCCGTTGTCAGGGAGACTTCGCTGCTGACATCTGCGATGAAGGGTGTGAAATTGTGAGCGCTCATCACTGAGAGACAGAATCTTGACTTGGAGGACAACGTTCCTCTAGGTAAGACACATTGGTTTCTGCTCTGACTTCGCCGACTTTCAACATACTGTACATTACCATGCTTCAGGGCATGCTGACATGAAGATCTCAGAAGCACTGGACGCTTGAAGAGGATAGCATCACAGCAGATGCGGGTTATTATGGAAGATAAGGGGGTGGAATTCGTTCATTGTATCGAGGCTGATAGCCAGAGAATCGAATACAAGAAACATTCATATTAATAATATCTAAGTGCCCCCTTCGTGCTTATTGTTATTATGTGTATCCTATTTCGACATTGGTGCAGTAAACGACAGAAACAAATCAACATCCACCAGTGAGACTACATTCAGAGCTATGCCTACCGAGTTGTATCTCAAACAGAAGACTTGAATGATTTGTATTGGGAGAACGCCATCCATAAAAGCAGGCAAAAGCCAAACACCACGACTCCGAAGCCCAAGTGCCCGATACAAATGAACAAATGAACAAATGAACAAATGAACAAATGAATGCAAATGAATGCAAATGAATGCAAATGAATGCAAATGAATGCAAATGAATGCAAATGAATGCAAATGAATGCAAATGAATGCAAATGAATGCAAATGAATGCAAATGAATGCAAATGAATGCAAATGCTATCCACATCCCATTTTCTATCCGATGCCATTAAGGCATCTATCTATCCAGGACAGATCTCACCCCGCAAACCCGCTATCAAAGCGAGCATGCACCCCCAAAAGATCCACCTAAATCTGACCCTCCTTCTCAGCATCAAACTCAGCCTTAGAAGGAGCCGACCTGCGACTCTTCAACCAGCGCATCAAAACCCAAGCACCAGTCATAACCCAGAAAAGCAAGTTAATAAGATCAATCCAAACAGCATGGCGCATACGATTAATCTTTGACGCATCACCAAGCGCCGAAGTAGTCGAATCCACCTTCGCATCTGCCTTCGCACTCGAATTCTCCACGGGATAAACACCAATATACATCTTCCCAAAGAGTCCAAAGAGCGCCAACCACAAAACAGTAAGGACAAACTCCCATGCGAACTGCGGCAGTAGCAGGGCAGGGTTAGCGCCAGGGCCAGTGCCAGGCTTGGCCTTGCGCATTACGAACGGCAGGATGAGATGGATGGCTGCGGTCACGGTTGCAAGGAACGCTGTGACGAGCGCATACACCCATTCCGAACGCCAGGCGTGGTTCTCTGAGTGGTCGTGGTGGACGTCTCTTCCGTACAGGCCTATGACGGTGAGACCGAAGACGAATTGCATGAAACGGAGAGTTGAGAAGAACATGAAGATTAGTTTTTCTTGTTGGGTTTGTTCTGGTGGGGGCGACTCGAAGTGTAGGGTTGTGCCGGGCGCGGCGCCGGCTGGGTAGCCGCTCATTGGGTGTTGCTCTGGGTAGTTTGGCGGGTAGACGCCGGCGGTTTGGTATTTTTGGAGATCTTTCTTGGCTTTGTGCTTTTTGGCTTGGGAGAGGCCGAGTTTGAGGAGGGGAACGGCGAGGAAAGACATTTTATGAGATTGGATTTGTGGTGGTGGTGGTAGTTATAGTGTGTGGTAGGTGGTTGCTGGAAGGTGCGAATGAGAGCAAGGTCAATGCTTTGAGGATATGGCGCACAGCGCAGAGATTGTGTTGAAAAGTAGAGAAATAGGAATTCGAATGAGAGAAGACGAATGCTCTAAGATTCGGCAGACCAGATGTCAAATAAGAGGAACGAAGCTATTGTCGAGATTGTATAGCTGGATTTGGGAACAAAGAGAAAGTTGTCCAGCGTATTCGAAAGATATAATATGAATAGAAGAGATCTAAAGAAAGAAAGAAGAATGAGAATAGAATGATACTGGAATGAAAGGCAAGTCTGGTTTAATCAATGGTACAGCCCATGCTGTTCTTTATAGACATGCCCTATTCTTGTTCCCTAGTGCATATTCATTAGAACTTGAAGACAACAAAGCGCAATGTTTCTATTTTCTTACATCTGCAGTCCAGTATGAAACGCATCTTCTTTGAGCGCGCGGTTCTGAGGTTTCTCCACTATGTATCCTTGTCTTTCATCCAAAGACATTCAGTCAGATATGAGAAGGTGAAACGGATAGATCAAAATAGAACTAAAATAGACTGCCGAGCACCCCTGGAAACAAAAGCAAACACCAAGCTAGACCAGGCTAGGTCCTGCAGAAGTCAGTGGGGTAACTTCAGTTCGCGCGCGCCAACTCGGGTTTGAGATGGTTTCAAGTGTAGTTGCTCAAGGCCCAATCAAAATACACTACTCTATTTTTGGGGATTTACTATGCAGTCTAAGAAAAGAATACATGCTACAAGAACGGACATTGGATCATTTCACATCTGATTCAGAACATGCGTATCATGGACATTACAATTACAAAGAATAACCAGAAACTCCAACAAGGAAAATTGTCCGATGAGTTGCTCGCCATACCAACATGCTGAGAGGGGATTTCCGTCCATGCAAAACCCCGAGAACGCTACTCAAAAATACCCAGACACCCAGACACCCCTCACCCCATTCCGGAAAAAAACAAATGCAATGATGAAGTATGAAAAGAGAAAGAAAAAGCTATGGGAACGCGGTAGGTCGGCTATGCCGGTCGACTTGCTCCGGAATCCGCAGAACCCTTAATACCTGAAACAGAAGCCGCAATCTTTGGATTATTTCCAGTGGGCGATAGTGGAGGTTTGAGATCGGTGGGGGATGCAGGGGCCGAAGGTGGGACTGGCGAGTTCTCATGATCATCGTACTCATGTCCTTGGTATTCATCATCAGGAAGACCCGACCCACCGGCGGAGGAGTGGTCCGCCGAAGCGCGGTCGTATCCCTGTTGGTGAGGTAGCTGTGAGCCATTCTTTGAGTTCTTCGTCGCCTTCTTGTTCTTGCGACCCTTCATCTTAGCCTTCTCCAAAAGTCGCTTCTTCTCCGCCAGTCGCTTGCGCTCTTTGCGGTCTTTCATCTCATATTGTCGGATTAGAGCTTCGGGCGGACTCCCAAAGATGCTCTCATATTCACAGAATTCACAAATCCAGATGTCCCGAAGACTTGGGGGATGGTGAAGGTTCGTGTATTGTTGCTCGATCTTGCGTTGACGTGCAGACAGTGCGTATATGCTACTTGGAGACCGTTTCTTCTTGGGGCCCACGGGAGTTGGCTCCCCACCTTGAGCGGGTGGTGCTTGCGTACTGGGTGGGGCCTGGGGGTTCATGGGGCTAGGCTGTGTCCCTTGTGTGGATAACGCTTTCTGTTTCTGACTTGCCGGACCGAGTGGTGAAGTGGGAGATCGATAAGGGATCGAATAATTTCGCTGCATCGCCATGCCCTTGGACGAGTCCGACTCACATGTGAAGGTGAACTGCGTCTTGGTCGGAGTGGTATTTTCTTTTTCTTTTTCCAATAGGCTGACGTTGCTGGGACCCCGAGATGGGGAGGAGTGCGTTGCGGCGTTGGCGATCGCGGTGGAGATAATTCCCTGGTCAGAAGAAGATTCACCTAGTGCACAAGTTAGAACAATGTACTGGGAAACATGGAGGAAAATTCATACCAGAAGGGCCGGGGGATGACATCAACCCATCCCGCCGACTGGGCGTCCGGGCATGCATCCATCCATTCTGAGCATTTGGTGATAACGGGTTCCTGCTGCTGCTACGGACAGTAGGACGTCCCAATCGACCTCTTCCTGAACCAGATATTCCACTCCCTAAAGGCGAAGCAGGGTTTCCACTCCCATAATATGTGCCAGTGGCATCAGTCGGGGTAGGAACCCGCGCGGGGGTTGAGCTTGCCAACCCCATGCTAGCGAACTCCGGAGACAACGCAGAATGGTGTCCTCCTAGGTTTCCAGGTGTAGGTATCTTTCGCTTTTTCTTGTTATTTGTATTCTCAAACGCGTCGTAACCGTCCCCGGTTGAAGATTTTGTCTGTGGGGTGTCGTGAGGGAAGCTGTGTGTATTGCTAGACGCGGGAGGTGACAACGACGATCTCCGGATAACACCACTCCTCCGAACAACTATCGGACCGCCTTCATCACCGCTCTCCAATTCTACCGACGTCTCAAAGTCATGTGTATCAGCCTCTGGTGACAATTCATTCTCCACAGTTTGTTGCACATAAACTTTGGATTCATTCACCGCTTCTTCGGAATCCCCAGAGACGCCATAAAATATTTGAGACGCCGGCGGCGTTGGAGGATAGAATAATGTGTCGGCAGCATCGGAAGAAAGGCGTGAACGGAGGGTCCGTTTAGGTAGAGGACGGATCAAGCGATCAGGATAAATAGTGGATGGTGTGTCAGGAGACGAATTGAACACCCCATCTACATGGCATCGTCAGTATTCAGTCAACTAGTTGATCGTTATCCTGAATTGGGGAATTCCCGATCATCCGGACCAGATGTCCCTGAGACATACTCAATGTGGCTGCCATCATGCAAGATATCCACGCTCGCCATCAATCGCCGGCGATGCTAAAAGGATGATATTCCAGCTCTTTGGCTCTGTCCTTTTATCCCCCACCACCGTATTTGCCTTGGAAGGGGCCAATAATCCAAAAGTCGGGGGTGCTGCTGAGGGTTGAATTGAGGGAGTAATGTTTTTAATGTCTGTGTTCCGCGGTCATAAGCTTTGTTCCTTTCGATATCAACCTCCCGAGAATTGCACAGGCGGTGAGGCCAACATGTAACTGGGATTCAATCCAATCCCCGCGTTCCTCTGCTGTCCACAATCTCGGGGACACGAATATCGACCTACCCAAAATAGTGCTATTACTCAGCAACTTGATAATTCCAAGATCGGTGGGATGGGATCCAAAATTGTAAGTGAAGCAAACCCGAATCCAGATTCAGTGTTAGAGTCAAGGCAAAGGGACAACTAGAACAGCTACTAAGAGGGGTTGAGGGATATGAAGAGAAAGAGACAAGTCACGGGAATTTAAAAATCACGCTAATCTGCTTTTGGTAATCCACCCAAAGACTTCGGCGAGAACTGGCATTATTCTCCAGGTACATGACTCTGAAGAACTTGTTCTACGGACCAGAAACCTGGAGAGGACATGTTTGGTGAATCTTCTAGGTACCATCATGTACTGCACATTTGGTCATTTGTCTATATAACAATATTGCACTGACGGATTCTCTACTTGGAGGTGGAGATTCACCGTTTCTGGTAATCTTCCAGATAGGTACGCCCGATGCCTGCATTCATAGGGAAATAATCATCTAGGAGCTGGTGTCAGGGACTGCTTGGCTGTTGACCATGAACTTGTTGATCGCACCGCGAAGAATAGCCCTAATAGGTGCCACGAACCTCGACTGGATGATTAGACCTGTTGGACCCCTCCGGAAGACTTGGCTTAAAGCCTCATGTCGCCTCTCCTACCATCAACCCACCTCGGAGCACATTTCGGAACAACAACTACATCATCTAGATATTGGAAAGAATACATGCCACAAGTTTCGACTCGCAGCTCGACCAGAGTTTTCTTGCCGACACTGAAAACGGGATCGGCTCGGAATGCGAGGCACGGTACAAAGTGCGGCCCAGACATACAAAAATTCCAAGGTTAGGACAAAAGGAATCATGAGATCGGTTGTTCCTATAGTATATGAAGATCTAAAGTCGGGTTTTTTTCGGCTTAAGCCTTGCATGGACATTAAACCGTGGTAGACACTTTTTTGGCCTCTTTCTGTAGTGCTCTTTATGATATTTCCACTGAAACACCTGCCGGTATCGCATCTGACTATAGAGCAAAATGCCCAGAGCACTGTCTATTATTGCAAACTAGGCCTTGTTCCCTAGTCAGCTCTCTCTAGCTTGCAAGCTCTCTCATTGTTTTATCCTGGTGTGCTAGTAAAAAAAAAAAGCAACACCCAATAGCGGGCTACAAAGCCATTGTACACTGTAAATATGTGGTTGAAAGAAGGGCAAAATGGATATAAAAACAGCATTAAAGTGCCCTCTAGGCAATGGGGGGGGGGAAAGAAGTGAAACACGAACAGTATGAGTGGTGAAAGATTCGCGCGTCGAGAGGCGTCGAGAGCGGGGAAACCGGCGATTGGATCTTTTGGAGTCCCGTTCCGGTGCCTTTTCTCCTTCACTTCTTCCTCCCCGCCATTACAAGGAATCATTTCTCGGACTATGTAGTCATCGGGCTCTTCATCGAGCCTTGTGACGACTTCATACAGATCTGCGATTCCCAATTGTCCTGCTCCTTTTGACTTTACTCTGCACCCTCCCCAAGAGCTCTCAATCGCGCGCGGGAGCTCCCTCGCAAACGGCTTTTCTCAAGTTGGTACTGGAACAACACCAGCCAACGTCTCGAAAACTTGTTTATTTTTCTTAATCTGGTCCTCAGAGCTCTTTTATACTCTCTTACAATCCTCAGCCCTCCCCCTCCCCACCATGACTCCTCGTCGTTCCTCTCGGGCTCGCACTTCCCAGCCCTCTCCTGCCCTCCTACAACACACCAACTCTTCCTCCAGTTCCTCGAATTCTCTTACTCGAGAGAGAAGCACTCGATCGAATCACAAAAATCCTTCTCCTCGCGAATCGACCGGGAACCGCTCTCAGTCCACCGATGATGCTGAGGGTGGCTCGAAAGAACTTCCACATACACGGCAGCGCCAGCGCCCTCACGACGATGACGATGATCCACCCCGGGAAGAAGACGAAGATGACTTAGACGATGAGGAGGAGGAAGTAACTCGATGTCTCTGCGGTCAGCAAGAATATCCGGGATTGCCTCCTTCTCGTCGCGAGGCCCTCGGTCGCGGCACCATCAAGCTGGAGTCTGGACAAGTTCCCACTGATCCATCTGATCCGATGTCAGATGAGATTGGGAGCATGTTCATCCAGTGTGACTTGTGTAAAGTCTGGCAACACGGTGGTTGTGTTGGAATCATGGACGAGGCAACGAGTCCTGACGAATATTTCTGCGAGGAGTGCCGGAAAGATTTGCACAAGATCAAGGACGAACCTCAAGGGTGAGTAAAACTCCGCTATTCTTTGAATTTACTCGGCGCTACATACTCCTGGATTTTTCATCAATCTATATCTCGGTGGTTATGCTTTGCTCTTGCTGCTTGGAGGGGCTGTTTTTCTGACGCAATTTCGCGCACCATTACACTTCCCCCCAAGCAGCTATAAGATGCAAATGACCTAATCTATGTTACTCTATCGAAAATTTTGAAGGTGTATACTGACAATTCCACAGACAACGCTCCTCTACCTACCTTCCTGTTGCACCAGAACCAGTGCCGCCGCCTCCTCCACCTCCACCACCACCACCACCCCCAGCGCCAGTGCCAGCCCTGGCCCCGGCCCCGGTGGTGCCCGAGTTACCTGATGTACCTGAGGCGCCAGTGATGCCAGCGGCCCCAGTCGTTCCAGCCGTAGCCCCGTCCCCCGCCCCATCCTCTCGTGCCTCCTCGAGAGATATCTCACGGCGTTCCAAGGATCCCAAGTCCAGGAGCAGCGAGAGCGCCGCAGCCCACGCCAAGCGGCGATCAACAATGAACAGCCGGGATGCTGCTTACGACGAAGAAGAATTATTCCGGCGCGCAATTGAGGAAAGCAAGGCCGAGACCAAAAGTAATGCAGATGAGACGGACACACATCTGGGCAAGCGAAGTCGAAGCGACAGCGCGACGTGCGTATTTCCAGGCTGACCGTCATTGGCTCTGATAATTTGGCTGACCAGTCACCCAGGAACAGAGAACGAGCGAAACGTCCGCGAACTACTTCACCATCACCTAGCGCCGCCTCAAAGCATAGCAATATAGCATCTCACCCGCCTTCTGATGATGAGACGAAACAAAAACCTGCAGTCAACGGGACTCGCAAACAGAGAGCTACTTCTCGAGGCCAGATCGAGAAAGAGCCTGGGAACGACCCCGATGAGGGCGAGACAGAGGCTCCTGAAGCGGCGACTCGTCGGAAAGAACGCTCAAACCGGCGCAAAGGCGATGGTAAGTGATTCAGCTCCAGTACACAATCGCTCATCTTCTCACACGGCTACAACAGAATCCGAGCACGAAATTGGTTCCCCAACCAAGACAGCACCACCAGAGCCTGAACCATCCCAAGCAAGCCCTAATACCCCTACTCCTCAAGAGCCCGCACCTGTCCGTCCATCAACCCGTAAGTCCGGTCGGCCTCCCGCTCGTCGCGGTCGTGTTGGACGAAACCAATATACAAAAGACCGTGACACCAACGGGAATGGAGATTCCGGCTTTATGGCAAACTCGCCGCGCCGCGGCCAGTCCCACGAAATCGGCGGAGACTCCCCTCGAGTTGGCTACAGTGGTGTTAACGGAGCACACATGAATGGCGGGGAGTCAGGGCGGCCAAGCAAGCCGCGTCACATGCACCCACAGCGAACAACGATGAATGAGATGAAGCGCCGAGTCGCAGCCATCCTAGAGTTCATCTCGCGCATGCAAGTGGAGATGGCTGTTGCTGGCGAGAACTCATCCACACCTACAAGCAACGGTGACCGGGCCCAGGGTCTGCTCTTGAAGAGCATGGTCGATCAGATCGACAGTGCCATGCCATCCACTCGCAGCGACGGCGGTGAGTCCGGCCCCGCAACCACAGACGGCGGCTACGGCGAGTCATCGACCAACCACGAAAGGGATTTCAAGGAGCTCAGCAGCGTCGAGATGATGGACGTGCTCACTCGCCATCTGCTCAAATGGCAGCAGGAATACGGCAAGTTTGGAGAACGGTAGTCTCGGCCACTACCACACAGCTAGTTTTCCTCTTCTCGCTTCATTCTCATATTTTGAGCTTGTCAGCTGCTTCGCGCCACGATACCCATCTTAATTTGCTTTTCTCGTCCTATTGATGTACACTAGACCTGATCTCACTTGCCTTTTCTTTCCTCTTCACATTTGTCTTCTCCGTGTCATTCCATACTGGTCCGGCGTCACGATCATACTGGAAAACAAGGATCCTATCTACCCAGTAGGCGGCACATCGTCTTGCTTGGTTCCTAGCCTTCATTGCCTATGTTATTTTTCTATCTGTTTATTTGGGATACATGCTTTGCTATGACTATTATGTCTTGCTGTTCGGTATTGTGATTCTTTTAAGAAGTCCTCCTGTCTGGCTTTTATTTGTGTCTTTTGCTGTTTTGGTGCCCGGGTTCCATTTTTGGTGTTTTGGGGAAAAGTCAGGGCCTATATATGGCTATTTGTCTCTTTGTAAGAACTTTTTTCTCTAGTGGGAATAGTATCACTACTCTTTTGTCCATCGCAGATATTCAAGGTGTTAGGGACGGAAGGTTGTCCCTCACCAAGTATCCAAGTATGGGGCTCATTGTACATAGATGATTTACGGGAGAAGACACTGGTTCATAGCCGAGGAGCACAAGCGAGTTAACTTATTAACCAAGCCAATGGCACTCTGGAACTCTCGTTCCTGGGCCTCGTGCTTGACCCTGTTGATAGGCTGCACCAGATAACGTTGCACTTTGAACCAAATACAAGACCGAACCGCCGACTATATTTAGAGTCAAAATGCAGTTCGATTACCTTCCCAATGCCTTGCATATTACACTACTCCGTATAACCCCGGGATTAGGTATTATTTATGTATCGTAAGAGTCTATTTCGGTTTTTGTAATTGGCGAACTGGTATCTGACGTCTCGAGTTGAGCCACGACAACCTATCAAGCTAAAGCCGCTAAGGCAGGCTAGCTCTAGATAAATTGGCAAGTCATTCCTAATCTAGCAAAACTTCAAGCCTGGGATGCTTTCCAGCTCCATGTTTCTTGTCTATGAGCTGAAGGTATATGAACACTCTCGTACTTAAAAGTGAATTTATACCAATAAAAGGTGCATCCATAAATTGCAAACTACTTCATACGGAAGCTGAGATAATCCAGTCTACCCAATTCAAACACTGCTCTTGTTTCCTAGTGCCCAGGTTCTTTCAAGATTGCGCGAGCATCCAGAACACCTTGATAATAGCAGAAACAGACAGCACATGTGACAGTGTCCTTGTCGGCGCAACCCCGACGACATATGAAGGGTAAAACACACCCACCTTCAGCAACACATGAAGACCCAGAAGATTCAATATATGCTGATCACCAGGAGCCAATACTTGAGCAAGACATGCCCCAGCCGCAAATAATGGGAAATTTTCGAGCAACGAATGATGGGCCGACATGAGACGCAGTGGGAGGCCTTCCATGTTGACGCGGTGTTTCCGAGGGTGATCGTTATCGAGACCTTCTGATTTGGACATGGCTTGTCCGGCAACGGACAAAGAGCTGCTGCCAGCAAAAGTCCAAAATGCATATATGACAACAAGCGCAGGGGCCATACGAGCAGCCGCTACATCGCCAATCGTGAAGTCGACAACAGTCTCAATGAGCTTTTGAACTGTGCTTTCGGGCTTGGTAATTGCTGCTGCTACAGGAGTAAGTGCCTTTTCTTGTTAGTACATAACCATATACAAACTGTGTGGGGCACTGACTAGGTATACCGGTCCAATCGCGGCGATGAAGATACCGGAAGGGTTGTTTCTTCATGCCCAGAATCAGGGTCTACGTTAGAATATGCATCTCATAGATGATTGGGGCGGCGGGGAGGGGGAATATCAAGACTCACATGCCGTTGGACATGATGTCGTGAAGAATGATATAGAGCACGGAGCGATGTGAGATGGATAAATTGAACAATGAATGAATGTCGTCGACGGCAGATGTGGCGGGGTTTATATATGTCCCAATAGATGAATGATCGTCCGTCATGTTCATGCTGAGGGGTTGTGGCATAGGCACTTCTAATGCGGGGTCCATGGATCAAGCCGAAAGTTAGAATCCTTGATACCGACTTGACTATCGAAAGATCATAAAAGCTGTAGTTACTCAATAGAGGGGATATATTTGGATACTAATTTGGCTCAGACCGTCCAGTACTGTTGTGAAGTAATTTGATATATTATTAGCAAGGTAAATATACTCTCGGGCATATTTTTGTACATACAGCCTAACGTCAAAGAATGCGCAAGGGATAGAATTTGACACATAACGTCAGAGCTCTGCCATGACATCGGATAAGATTTCCCAAGTCAGTGCGGTCTAGTCTCATAGAGGTACAACATACAAGATAGTATCTGAGAGCCATTCCGGTGAAGCGGAAACATCCCGGCGGCAAATTCTCGAAGAATGTAGTTTTAGCTGCACAAGGGGATTGTTACTCACGTCGTTGATTCAATACTACCTCAGTCGATAGTGTATATCAGAAAGAAGTCCCTCTAGCATGGTTATATTGTGAAAACTACATGTAGAGACTATATCGCCAAACTCAACACAATACTTTTCCAATATCAAAACCTGTATTTTCACACTGCGCAGGATAGGAAATACTCCAAAGGCAAACGTGATGAAGCTCCGCAAATAGGCCCTTGGTAAATTGAGCGTTTAGGGATTTTTGATTAGCTACAGTGTTGATCACTTCACCTCGAATCTTTTCTATGCCCCATGTTCCCTCTCATCATCTATTATCCCCGAAGGAGCTGTCCGACCAGGTTGGAGAGAGGACGCTGGCAATATTGTACAAGTCCCCATATCGAGGCTAACAGCCCGGAAACTTGGTGGGCTTGGTCTCTTGGTACAGTGTATCGGATCACAGAAATCGCAAAGCGATCGACCGCTTCAACTCGCCTCATGGCAACTGGATAAATAAATACATCGGGGACTTATCGCATGTCAATGATGTCATGACATTATACGCTTTGCGTCTTTGCGGTAGTGCAACATCGGATCCTCGTTACACTAGGCTAATCAGGTCTTGAAGAACAAAAACGCAGCACATTATCCTTCTTACAGAGAATATCAACATTATTTCTCATAGAAGGACAGAAGCCTTTATGTTTATTCCTCGGAAATTGGAAGGAGATTAAACATGTCATATATGTAGAGGAGCAACTTCGCGTGTCCCAGGAGCCCAGGAGTCTCTACTTCGTATATACCAACAATATACACTCGAAGCCTTAGATATTCACCCATTTAAAGAACGCACCAATTGTTTGAGTATCTTTCTTCCCTAATATCGCCTATGAAAATTCAAAAAAGCCGAAGAAATTTCTAGATATCCTTCATATTATAAATTAGTAGAAGAAGATATACGATAAACGAGGGTGCTAGTAGAGGTCTGTAGTGGCCTACTTCGTAAGTCGCTTTCTTAACCACGTCTCTTATTACGCCCAGATCATCCAACTAGCATTGCTAATAGTAAGAGGACATCATGAATTGACATTCTACTTAGTCACCGGTGTATTCTATCTCATCTTTTAGAGTGAATGGGTATGTCCTAATATACTTCAAGTCATGTATGCATGTACCTGGGAAGGTTACACATTACTCAGCAAGTGTGGCCGAGTGGTTAAGGCGTGACGTTTAGGTTATCATTGATAATCCGTCATCTTCATGGGCGTGAGTTCGAATCTCATCGCTTGCATAGGACTTATCTTTTTGCCAGTGATTTTGTATTTGGCATGGAAAAAAAATATATATGCTACGGAGTACTCCGTGTGGCACTCCATAATAAGCTGTGATCAAGCACATGGCTGGGTTTGGAAGTCCACTTATATTACTCCGTAGTTCCCGCCAATGAATTATACGTACCATGGTTACGGAGTACCCCGTGAAAAGGGGTATACTACTAGGTATACTACTACTTCGTACATACAAAAGTATCCCAACCATTTCTTATTATTGGAGGAAATAGTACAATGTGTGTTTAAACACGCGCCTGGTCAAACTCAGTTGTTTCATCAAAGTACTCCATGCGAGAATTTCCGTTATTTGAGAGACATTTCCCAGCCTCTTCTGCGGTAAGAGGGTCTAGACATGAACTGTGCATACGCTGGCTGGCGCCTCGCAGTAGTTGGGCTGGGGCTGGGAACCCAAAGGGTCTAAGATCTTGATGAATCACTTTCCAGTGGAGAAATGCATTGAGTGGTATTGGTATTGGTATCAATTTCCCGTATCATGTAACGCGATGTGTTGTCAATAGTGTCAGATTATGGGCCAATGGCTGTCTAACAAACGCCAAGTGGCAGAATCAAAAGCACACTTCTTAAGCCGAGGGAATCACCATGAATGTGTCTCCGCAACTCCAATGCAATTGTGCCGATGTGATGGAGCCAGACACGATCGGCGCCAAGGGGATCCAGATGTCCGATTCGACCCGGAGGTTGCCATGGTGATAGTGTCGGTGGCGCAGTGATGATACGCGCAGGCTGGCCAGCCCCCCATGTGAAAGGGCCCGATGTGTATTGAAGCTCGGGGGATCCATATCAATGGAGATATGCATTTCGTGGGGGGGTTTAGAGCGATTGATTAGAGGAAGAAAGAAGTGAATTGAATTGTCAGACACATTGTACAACCCTAATAGGTCAATTCAAATACCATAGAGAGACAGTAAGGAGGAGAGTGAACCTCGGTGATCAGCGGAGAACCCAAACCGGCAAGGCGGCGTAAACAAATGGGCTGGCATAAATAATCGTGATGCTCGCCGACTGCGCTGTCCAATTTCCTCTTCTTCTTCCATTCTTACGATCTAACATTCCTCGGTTCTTAAGCTTATCTTATTTTCCCCTCCATTCCAATCATCTATCTCTTGCAGGAAAAAAAGATTACCTCTTTTTCTCCTCTTCCCCACCTCGAGAAAGACTTCCCTTTCAAGTCTTTTCTTGTTTAGTCTTTCGAGTTGTTTAACGACAGTTCGAAAGGCATTCGAGAAGAGACGCTCAGAAGTCCGGCAATCTGGACTTTGACGCCCGTGTCCCAATCCCCTTCAGTGTCTTCCCGTCGTCGTACCGGAGTGACGCTGTCTCTGAAACTACTCAGACTCGAGTAGAGGGAGAAGTCAATTTCGAACGTACTTCGCGCGCCGAACGGGAAGATACTCGAAGTTCTGCTCCCCTTCCCGCTCCCGTTCACGGAAAGGAAGAAGTCGAGTTTCGCGTCCAAGAAGAGCGTTCGCGCATTCAGGAAGAGCACCCTCAGTACACGCAGCAACCTCAGCAGCAGTACTCGCAGTCATACACTCAGGAATACTCGCAACAGTACCCACAACAGTCCTCGCAAAACTACGCCCCTGAAGTTGAACTTACTCGTGAACGGTATGTAATTGTTTTTCCCTGGTATTGGTTTTTTTGTTTTTTTTTCCTCCTCCCCAGCCTCCCAGAGATCCACTTGGGAAAGTGGAGACCTGCAGCTGAACATCACTATTTGTTGTGAGATCTCCTATCTTGGTTTAGATTGGTTACGGATTTAGTCGGGGACTAAAATTACGTGTCATCAAACCCTGATCCACTTCAATTAGCGGTGACTGGGCTTGTTTTGTTTATATGTTTATGGTACCCGTGCATGTGGGCTAACATCCTTCCTTAGCTACCCCAGTTACCAACAGCCTACTTCCACCTACGAGGACCGTCCTCAAGTCTACGATAAAGTCGTCGAGAATCAACTCGACATTACTGAGAGAGATTACCGTGAACGTACCTCTCCTTCCTACGACCTCGACGTCTCTTACGACCGTCGTTATCGTCAGCCCGTAGACTCCGCCTACGGTTACCAATCCCAGTCCGTCGACGTCTCGTACGACCGGATTTCCCAGCCCCAGACTGAGTCTTACAAGGAAGACGACGTCTACCTTCGTGAAGTTCAGCCCCGTGCTCGTTACTCCACTTCGACCCAGGTAAACGCACCTCGGTCCACTTTCTCTCAGTCCACTACCCGTGACACCACCCCCACTCCTACCAAAATGGGTTACTACGACGACGAAGGCCAGTACCACTCTTTCCGCCGCGGCGTTGAGCGTGCTGCCGACCGTGTCCTGCACCCCTTCTCCCACTCTGAGCACCATCAGGAGTCTCACGCCGGCGAGGTCGCTGCTCCCCGTGAGAACGTCCGCATCGTTGAGCCCCGCAACCGTGGCTCCGCTGGCGAGACCGTCCCCATCCCCTGCCACTTCATTCGCGTCGGCGACATCCTGATCCTTCAGGGCCGCCCTTGCCAGGTGATCCGCATCTCGGTCTCCCCCCAGACCGGCCAGCACCGTTACCTCGGTGTCGACCTCTTCACCCGCAAGCTGCAGGAGGAGTCCAGCTTCGTTGCCAACCCCTCTCCCTCCGTGGTTGTCCAGACCATGCTCGGCCCTGTCTTCAAGACCTACCGCATCCTGGACCTCCGTGATGATAACCGCCTCGTCGCCATGACCGAGACCGGCGATGTCAAGCAGGGTATCTCTGTCATCACCCAGGGCAACCTCTTCAAGCGCATCGGCGATGCCTTCGCTGATGGCCGTGGTTCCGTCCGTGCTCTCGTCATCAACGATGGTGGCCGTGAGCTCGTCGTCGACTACAAGGTCATCCACGGCTCCCGTCTGTAAATTTTTTGTTCCTGGGTTTCTCCTAGAGGGGGTCTAGATACGTTTGTCCCTCATCCATGGTGTGATGAAATAGTTATTTGTTTACTTTTTCCTTTTGCTTGTGTGATTTAATTTTCTTTTGTATGACGATCTCATGTATGCAACTCTTTGTGTGCTGGTGAAAGCTCGAATGGATTTATCTGTACTCAATTAGTCTTGACTTCCTTGTAACTAGCTCATAATGCAAAATCCTGGCCAGGTCCACACTGATTTTCTCCGCTTTTTCACTTTTCTGGCTCATATTGAAGTTGGGCAGAAACCTATCCTGCATGTATTTTTTGGCTTGGCAAGGATCATGTTTTTTGGATCTTTTGTCTTCAACGCTCCATCGAATTCATTGTAAGTAAATACTGTACATACTATGTACTCCGTATGTTGAAAAGAATGTCATTCTCTTTCACCATTGTTGTAGTAAGTAGAAATATAGTTCTCACAGATCCCTGGATACATATTTGACAACCATGGTAGGTCTTGGGACACAACCTTCACAACCTTGGTTCCCCTTCGCTACCCTCGGTTATATCCGGCTATTTCCAAGGTTGTCTCAAATTTTCTCTAGACTTCATGTCTCGTTTAAAATGTAATTACATGCTAGATATTCTATTTTGTGCACGGGTACCTTCCAAGATTGTATGCTATACTCCGTATTTGTCATTACCTTTGCGTCACAGGTACCAACATTTGAAGCATACTGTGCATAAATCCTGTCATAATTGGGCTAGTATTTCAAGTTCTGTCATTCGTCATCTTTCATGGTAGCTAATAATATCTAGCAGAGCGCTACTTTAAGAAAACTAGGCATACCTTGAGAAAAAAAAATAGTACCTAAAGCATGCTTCAGAATGCGCATTTTCAACGGCCACACTGATTCTTTTCAATGCCATATTTCGAAAAATGGGATTGGAAGAACTTTCGATGCCTTTTTTTCTTTGTTCCATGATGAATCTATACACAGACCTTTATGTTAGTGAGTTCTCTAGATCAACTGAGTTATTCATCCATTGCCTCTCTTTCTAACAGATACCTACACTCATATAAAATTCGGGATATTATATATGAGGCTGAACATACATATTTATATTGAAGTCGACTGATAATTAATTGTGCACTGGAGCACTCACTGTCTTGTTTTTATATATCAAGCAGAGGCTTCACCTATCAAGGACATACAAAGGTGACCCTCCGGGAATTTACTCGCTATTCAGATTTGACGAGGGCTTGATGTTATATTCCCAATAAATACAACTCGATAATCCACCCGACACCGCAGGCATCCGGGACATTACACAGACCCGAATGCTCCCACCATTGCCATCGAGCGTCGAATTACCGAAAAGGCCCAAAAATCAAAGAAATTTGATACTAAAAAGAACCGTGTAACAACAGTATAGCAAGGGACGGGGTATATTCATAGGACGAACTGAGATACAGAATTTGGGTATGGTAAGAAGTCGCAGGCCAGACCCATGATGATTGATTATGTTCAAGGGAAAACCTCTGCATTTGAGAGACATCAAGGTTCCTTCCTTGGTCAAACAAGCACAGAAATCAGATTTCTGGAGGAAATGGAAACTGCAATACAAGATCAGTCGACAGATTGCTAGCCAAACGAGCGTACGAAATTGTTAGAAAACCAAAGGATGTCAAGGCTCTTCCTTGCCAATGGGTATTGATTTGAACAAAAAATAGCGAAAATGAGATATATGGCTTCAAGGCACGCTGGGTGGTATATGGGAATCGCTAAGAGAAAACTGAGGATTCCAATACTTACGCCCCGTTGTGTCAAATAATACACCTGCACTCTCGTGAAAATCATCTTTACCACGTTATGTAGCCCGTTGAATTTGGAGAATATAGCGACCTGGATACCGGCCAAGCTCTGTAATGATGAACTGGATTCTGAGTTCAACAAAATCGGCTTCTACTCATTGGAGAACAACCCTTGCATCTCCCTCAAAGGCACTGGAGGCACTGCAAAATATACACAGGGTGCCAAGTCCGAACTTGCCCACTACGACGAACTCGAGTTCGATAACAACAGCACACTCTCGCGGAAGTTCTTCTTTCTGACGCGTTAGTTTTCTTGATGGTCCAACACGACATCGCTCTACTATTATTTTGCACGGGGACTGGAGATGACTCCAAGAATGGAGAGTGGGCCAGCAGTTTGGCCCCTGGAAATATGGAGCTCTAAATTTTGATCTCCATCTTGTCTATTTAGTGTTTGTTTAGTGTACCTCTGAGGACTTCTTAGTATATAAACTTCTCCTCCACCCGAACAACTTCAACCCTACAACTTTATAACTTACACCAGCTTCCATGCGCTCCCCTTTGACCTATGGGAATCCATCGCATTACACCTATCCAATGTCGACATAAAATTATACCGCCTGGCATGTAGTTTCAACAATACGGCACTTCTCTGCTTCGATCGTGTTTTCCAATCCGCCAATTCACTCGATATAGAAAGCTTTCGTTGGGTTGCAGCCCACGAAAATTTACTTCACAGAGTGACTGAGATCATTGAAAATGAGGCGCGTCTACCCAGAGGCCCACAGCAACTGTGGTAAACCGACAATAGGCATGAACTGCCATCAGACGAGGACGAGCCTCGCAACATAGAATAGTAAGTAGGGCTCTTATTCCCAGGAGAGGATCATGAAACGATATCAAGACGAAGAAAGATGGGTGTCTGAGGTGGTTTAAGGAGGTTGCAAGGAAAACATTGAGCACCTTGGGCGGATGAGGAGCAGTGACGATGACAGACCCGACCGTGTTGCGCGCAGAGAACAGGTTTCGGCTCAGTCTCTGCCGAGGAAGTGTTGGTAGTATCACCAGCGCTTACTGCGTTAACAGAAAGATGTCTTTGCCGATACGAATGATTTGCACGCATTTTTATACGGTGTCAAGGAGTCTTCTGCTCTGAAGAGAGTCACCATCACACCCGTGATCCGCACTTTCCCTAAGGATTTAATTATGCATTCCATTCCATGGGGATCGCGCTTGCAAATAATCCCGCAACTCCATATGAGTGGAACCAATACTCTGAGCTCAGATAACGGCACCGGGGCTTCCGCACTGCCCACGATGCGCGTGCTGTCCCGCGAACCAAATTGATGTCTGTTTCAGAGCTGGTCATGGCTTTTAATCATCTCTTATCTCTTGACTGGGATAAACTGTACGATCTTCGACCATCCCTGCAAAGAGCAAGACAATTTTGCCACAGTTTTCAAGCGCATTGGCTCCCGCCGTCTTAAAATTGCCACTCTCATTGGTGGAGAAGGCGATGAAGAAAGCCTCGACCGATGCATGCTGGCAATGTTTCCTAGATAGATGGCTGCGCCACGCACTCGGCGAGGCGAAAAAGTGGAGGGCTTCAGGGTGCATACTACATACATTATCAATCCCTATCAGGACGAGGATAGCTACGGCAGACACGGACCACTAAATCTCCTGATTCCGTTACAGGACATCGTGCCAGTGAAAAAATCGCCGAGGCTGCGCCACTTCGAATTATCCTGCTTCCCAGTCTTATAGTATAAAATCATCTTCTACCTTACCATACTCTCAAAATCCATTTGCTCTGTTGAGCTCAGCATGCCCAAGTTCCTTGAGAACGGTATAGACTGGCACGGTCTGCTGGAGGATATGTGCAGAATGACACGCGAGAGTACGATGTGGAGGGCCCGTGGTATCGCGGCAAGGCCGGAGGTTAGGATTGGATTGCGGCTTGTAAATTGCCACATTGGACGGGGCCAGTGGATTGAAAAGGAGGCGCATGATTCCATCTACGGTGAGGGGAAACATCCCTTGATTGACGATAGCCCTGGTAGTATCCCGTATGGAGTTGGAATTCTGAAGGATGCATTTGAACCTAATTTTGAACGCCTGAATGTGAACCGGAACAATTTGATTGAGATGAGCATTGCCAAGGTAGCCTAATAAACAGTCGGCTAAGTTAGCCTACGACCTTCTAGATACTAATCATGATATGATTGTCATCCTGACAAAGTCATAGATTAAGGCAAATCTGCTGCAAATGTGGACCAAACAATTAGTCTTGAAGCATTGAACATGGGGTCAATTTTACGTAGTGCTAATATACATTACTTGATAATAATTTAAACTACATGCATCCATGTACATCTGTATGTAGGGACAGCGCAACCCCCGCAACACCCTGGACTGTTATCTACCCTAGCTATCTTCCCCTACTTTGGAATCCCTTGGCACTGTAACCTTACCCCTCATATTGACATGTACCGTCGGGGTCCCGCCTGCAGGGCACTAGCCGGCCCTATGAAACTGCTTCCTCCCGTGCCAAGTGAAGCAAGCCAGTCCTTGGCTTGCCCCTCGAAGCCCTGCCAATCATGCATCATTACACTTTATCATCGCGTGATCCAGATGGTAACTGATAGTTTCAAATGAGAGGTATAAAAGCACCCTGTCGTCGACTCAGAATGATTATCAGTTCGCGCATTACTTGACAATGAAGTGGCTTTTGTTGATAACGCACCTGTCCGTGGCCTTAGCTGGAGCTAGCCACAGGAAGCACCTAGTTTCACCGGTATGTACGCATGGTATATTTTTGTCGTTATTGGGTATGGTCTGATTTGTTAGGATGACTTTCCGTCTGAGATTCGACTGAAAGACCTCCTGAAGGGGACCCAGCACCTTGAGGACCTCGCGTATGCATATCCTGAACGTAATCGTGTCTTCGGCGGTGCAGCACACAACGCTACTGTTGACTTCCTCTATCGCGAGTTGAAGAAGACCGGCTATTATGATGTGTACAAGCAGCAACAGGTGCACACATGGACCACTGCAAAGACCACCCTGACGCTCGACGGGGCATCCATCGAAGCGACCGCTATGACATACAGTCCCAGCGTTGATGTTACTGCGGAGCTGGTAGTGGTTGCAAACCTCGGATGCAGTGCATCGGACTACCCCGCTGAGGTGGCTGGTGCAGTCGCCCTGATTAAACGTGGAGAATGTACTTTCGGAGAAAAGGCGCTAATGGCTGGTGCGGCCAAGGCAGCCGCGGCAATTGTCTATAACAACGAGGCAGGTTCTCTTAGTGGAACATTGGGTGCAGTATCCAGTGATTATGCCGGTATTGCGGGAGTCTCTGATGTCGACGGCAAGGCCCTACTCAGTGCGGCAGCGACGGGCGCCGCTGTGTCTTTTGAGATTGACAGCAGAATTGAGAATCGCACTACATTCAACGTGATTGCAGAGACCAAGGGTGGTGATCACAAGAACGTCGTCGCATTGGGAGGCCACACCGATTCAGTCGATGCCGGCCCAGGAATCAATGATGATGGCTCTGGAATCATCGGCAACCTCGTGGTAGCAAAAGCGTTGACGAAATTCTCTGTTAAGAATGCCGTGAGATTCTGCTTCTGGACAGGAGAGGAGTTCGGTCTATTGGGTAGCGAGTACTACACTTCGCACCTGAGCGCTAAAGAGCTCGCCAAAATCAGGCTTTACCTCAATTTCGATATGATTGCCTCGCCTAACTATGCGCTGATGATCTATGATGGCGATGGAAGCGCCTTCAACGAGACTGGGCCACCAGGTTCTGCCGAGATCGAGCATTTGTTTGAGAAATACTTCAAATCCAAGAGACTGCCGTATATTCCTACCGAGTTTGACGGCCGGTCCGACTACGACGGTTTTATTTCACGTGGAATCCCCGCCGGTGGGCTTTTCACTGGTGCTGAAGGCATCAAGACCGAAGCAGAAGCGAAACTGTTTGGAGGAGAAGCAAATGTGGCCTACGACGTGAATTATCATGCTGCCGGAGATAACATGACCAATCTCAACCACAAGGCGTTCCTGATTAATGCAAAGGCTACGGCTTTCGCTGTCGCAAAATACGCCAACAGCCTTGCTTCGATCCCCAAGCGGAGCGCAGCACCCGTCGAGGTCAAGAAAAGAGCACCACGGTCGCATGCCCACACCACGAAGACTGGATGTTTCCACTCTCTGGTCGAAATTTAATAAGTGTTTTCACCTATTACTACCCAGGTGATCCTAAATGTTAATATAACTATGAATTCAATTCAATCCATCTTTCTCTGACCCATTAAAACCATTGTATACGACAAGTATATCACATGCTCTATTAAATATGGGGCTTTAGTACCCAAGAATAGAGATAGTAGTAGGTACGGAGTACTTGGTTCAATACTGTATTTGTATGGCATTGAAGGTGATTCTAATAGAAAGTTCTAAGTGGGAGACGAAACATGGGTCATGTGGTATGAAGATATTCTTTCTCTTCTCTGGCCTTCCAAGTTATGCCTTGGGGTTTTTTAGTCTGAGGAGTCGACGTTCCTTCCTATTTGACCAAACTTGGTCTTTCTTCAACTTCGCCCAACCCAGCTTCCCCCCCCCCCCCAACCAAGCTGAACACACCCTTCCTCTTACGCTGTGCTGGTTCGGTGCAAAGGGTTTAAGGATAGGCTCCTTCGAATATTGCCTTGCATCGTTTCCCAAATCAAAGGGTACCATGAATTCGTTTTCATGACGCGCCTCCGAGTTGGGGAGAGCTTGTATTCCTCTTCCTCGAAGAGCGTGAAAGATCGACCACAAACCATCATGCCGATGTGTGTGCAATGCAAGTCCTACAGTATACGCTTACTTCGTTTAGGTATCTTACTGATTATGTCACTAGAAAAGCCTATGACGGCACCATTGAGGCCGGGTGAACTCTCCTAACACCAGCATAGATTCATGATTCTATCTAGCTATGGTTAGACAAGAAATTACTCGGCTGGTGCAAAAGTAGCGCCACCAAGAAATACGGAGAGGACACCAGGAAATGAACACGGGTAGTTCGCCCGGATCTTTATGGCTTTACTAGGAGCTTTAGGCTAATGATCACAGTGAACTCTTGACCGCAGCTATGGGACTATATCCATTGCCCATGGAGGCCTAGAAGAGGAACAAATCGAAAATATGGCTAGATCTCGCTCTGATTTTGGTTCTTTCGGCCTTTTCACATAAATCATTGTCGCTACCACGATCGAGTATTTCAACCAGCGGGTGACCCAAGATGGCATCGACTGACAACCCAACCGTAACTGTTCATATGGGAGCCCAGGTCGGTGATCAGCTTGGTAGAAGGGGCATATCTATCTCAACGCAAAAAAACATGAGGTATGTTGAAGACATTTGGTTTATATTTCACTTACTAATTATCTGAGATTCATATAGCCCTTTTGCTCACCCTCTGACTGGGTGATTGAAAGATGCTGTCTTCTTTAGCTCTCATTTATCCCTAAGTCATCTCTCTGTATTTATAAATGCAAATGCAATGTATTTAGTTCATTCAAATCATATTTTCCTGTATCCCATTTCGCATAACGTTATCATGTCTTTCCATACCCTTCCCCCACAGTCCCAGACGGCTAACTAGAAAATACAACTGCCCAGTAGCATCAGTCATAAGAATCTAGTCATGCAGACCTCCGATCAGGTCTAGAATCGCCCGCGCCACCTCCTCCGGACTTTCCTGGGGCGTCCAATGTCCAACCCCATCCACAAACCGACAGATACGCAGGTCAGCACACGAAACTCCGTTCTTCATCTTCTCAATGGCACCAGGCTCCTGATAGTTACCCCAGTCCAGCTTGCCCGAGACAAAAGCGCAAGGCGGCTCGAGCTTCTTCCCAGCATAGATATCAAAATCCTTTGTGTACCGCCCCCCAGCAGCGGTGCGAACACGATACCAATTCAGCCCGCCCTGGAAGCCCGTGCGGCCATACTCACCCACATAAACAGCAAGCTCCTCATCTGGCAGCCACGAGTGCGAGGCCAGACCTTGGGACGGCTCATGCGTCATATAGCGCGCCACAGTTTCGGGCATCGTCTCATTCAACGGCATGATATAATACCCAGGTAACTTAACTAAGTTGGTCGCAGACCACTTCCCAAGCGGATGTGGCCGATTCCCCGGCCACGAACCACTCTTCAGATGAAAGTATCCCCTCAAGAAGCGATGCATCTCCTCGGGCCCTAGATCCGACATCTCAAGTCCTGCCTCCTTAGTTGAATAGTACCACTTATAATGCTTGCGCCCGAGCTCGGCAAGCGCCTCATGGATCCCCACCGCAGTAGCCGACCCCTCAGCGCCACCCCCACCACCCGCCGCCATATAAGACCCAACCGCGGCGACATCCGCATTGGCCGTATTAAATGGTAAATCTGGGGTCCCATTAAACGGATGGCTCATGAGCGCGACACTTTGAAAGAAATCTGGCCGCATTAGAGCGCACATAGCTGCTGATACGGCTCCGCAGTCATGGCCAGCAACGCAGCGTACAGAGCGGTAACCTAGCGCATGTACGAGGAACACGATATCCCGCACCAGGCTGGACAGCGAGAATGTTGACAAGTCGACGTCTTCATAGCTGCGTATGTCCCCGCCTGTGGTGCGGCCAAAGCCGCGCTGGTCTGGGGCTACGGCGTAGAAGCCTGCTGCTGCTAGTTTTGGGAGCACGCGGCGCCATGAATAGGCGATTTCTGGGAAGCCATGGAGGAGGATTATTAGTGGTTTATCATTTTCTGGGGTTCGGCCGGCTTCTAGGATGTGGATATTTAGATCGTTTGTTTGGACGTTGCGGCTTGTTATCCCTGTAGGGAGAGGGAGGGGTGGGAGAGACATTTTTCGAATTTGGATCTAGATGAAAGAATATACATGGGATATAAAATAAGAAGGAAATGGGAAATGATAAAGTCTACATGTGTACATAATATATACTCCTCCGTACCGAGGTTGAGATCATAACACAATATAATGCATAAATTACTTGGAAGTGTCCACAAAGGCGGTAAACCAAGTTTGTTGTCCCTGACCCATCAAAAAGTCATGACGCAAGTTCGTCTTGATCTCGGATCTACCTGGATCTGCCTAGACCCTGCTTTGATCTTTTTTTCCGACTTTCTACTTGTTTTTTGAAGCATCTCTCCCTCTATACTCTCCTCGTTTTTGGCTGGTTCTGATTTGGTCGATCCCTTCCGAGTTATTCCCCCTCGGATTCTTGGCTTCCTAGTTCCCACCTCTTCCTATAGCTACCCATCATCAGGAGATCCACATTACCTTCATCCACTTCAATCTCGGATCCCGGCGCTGCAACAAGCAGTGTGCGGCCATCCGATATTTGACCAGTTCCATTCCCCAAAAGGCTCGAGGCTCTGAACAATGGTCTTCGGTCGTCGCAAGAGAAGTGCCTCTGCCCATCACCAGGTGTGTACCACGCATCGAATATCAAGCATAGCAGATTTGCCTATCTGCAAATACATCCCGTTACAGGATTCAATGCAATTCAACGGGTAGCTGCGACCTATGCATGAAATTGAAACTGACAGCTCTCATTCCTCTCTATTAGCCGCTGTCCACACCTGCTGCGCATTCCGCCCAGTCCGCCGCCAGCCATGCTTTCCTAAAATCCCAACCATCTACAGCCAGCTTGTCCTCCGCGGCGGCGGCAGCAGCGCTCCGCAACTCTACGCCCACCCCGACCCCCATCGAAAATGTCCAGACAAAGCGCATGGTCCAGCGGCGCACCTCGACTCAGTCGCATGTTAACCCTATTGGCAGCCGCCGCTCAGCCAGCGTGAGTGGGACGCTGCGCCGCTCCAGTAGCAATAGTTCGATGAGCGCACGCACCTTTCGCGATCAGTCCCCCCATCGTCCATCTACCAGCTCCGGACCTGTCGGGTCCGTCCCTGCACCCATCGATGTGCCTCCGTTACCTGCTCTCCCAACCCATTTTACGCCGCGGAAACAGCAAAACCGACGTGCAGTGAGTATGCAGCCGTCATTGCGTTCACCTCCATCGTCTCCACCGCGCGCTGGGGTGAGGGGCGTGGATCGGGAACATGGGCGAGGGTCTCCGATCCAGTTCACTACGCATCATCGTGTGGCTAGCCTTGGAACGGTTCCAGAATTGGAACGATCGGCCAGTCGAAATTCGGTGAATTTCTCGTACCCCCTGGGCTCGCGATGTACCTCGCCGATTGCGACACCTGAGAATAATCCGATGAGCCTACATGATGCTATCCAAGAATCGATTGCTGATGTATCTGACAAATTCCCCGAGGGGAAGCCTAGGACACAGCCATCTGGCAGCCTAGAGGAAAGCCCTGTTGCAAACAAGTCTGGACCTTTAGCTGCCACCCCAGTTACTGCAGCCCAAGTGGTTGGTATGCCAAAGGACAGTTCAAGTGCGAATTGGGCTGTGAAGCTGCGGAATTCGCTTATAGAGGACGACACTCTAGACCAATATCGCGGCAATGCAGTGCCTGTCGTGGGCAGCGTGCAGAGTGAACACTCATCCTCCCGAGCTCTTCCTGAGCGGTGGCCATCAACCGTTCGAGAACAAGAAGAGCCCGAACATAACGATCCGAACGTCGAAGGCATCCCCATACGGCAAGGCAGAGAGCGGATGATGAGTTCACCGCCAACTGCTGATCATGTAGAGGCAGTGCCAGTGCCCTCGTCACCCTCGTCGGAACTGCAAATAGGGCAGCAGCCACACCGTCAATCAAGCAGCCCAGGTCGGACTGCTCGTTTTTCCAGATTGCTTTCAGTGGCTGGAGCCGGTGATCAAATTCACCAGCCGCCGCCTAGATCAGTATCTCCTGTCAAATCGGCCTTGAAACACTCAAGAGGAAGCTCTTTATCGCCCGATAGGAGGATTGAGGCAACAGGTCTAGTCCTACCATCGAATGAGCTATCAGATGGTACCTCAGTGGCTTCAGACGAAGGATCCCGGGTTGATGCCAAGAAGAAGTCTGTCAAAGTCAGTTTTGATGATGAGCCTGAGGTTGTCAATGCAGCAGCCAGCCCTCCTACCTCGCCGGAAGAATATGCACCTGATTTCCCACCTGGCGGTAAAGCCAAGTCTCGTATGGGTTGGCTTGGTGTTGGAAAGAAGAAGTCGCCTGCGGAGTTTGCGAGCGACGATGACTGGGATGTAGTCATGAAACCCCGCCAAGTTCTTCCATCTTTCGGTAGCATTCGGGGGAGCCGAGGCGGCGGCCTGGGCGGCGGTCTTAAAAGGTCACCAATCCCAGATTTTAGTGACAACGAGTCCAGCTCTTCGACTGAATCTGAGCTGGCGCCAAAGCCAGATATGTCGCTCTCAAATGACCACACTGTCAGAAGTTTGCCCCCTAGGACGCAACAAGATGAATACTTCCAACCACACACTTTGGGCGCCTTGGAGCAATTGTCTATCAATGGCACTTTGCATACTTCGCATTCTGATAGCATCCCAGGGGCCAAACGAGAGGTCAGAGTCACCCATGACATGACTAAGAAACTGCCATATTCCAACATAAGCTCAAAATTGTCTGTACCTGCTATTGCTGTCGAGCCTGCTACGCCCCCTGCAGACGAAACTAAGCACAATTTCGAGATGAAGAGATCCAGCCTAGACCAGTATAGGATTCCGGGCGGATTCCCACCCTCCAGTTCAGACCGCAGCATCCATTCGACTGCAAAGAAGACTAGCACCCAGCCCATGGCGAGTGCCGTTCCGAAGCTGGACGATGTGGATACCGAGGAATCGTCTGGTGATAGCATCTACAGCGATGCCGCAGAAGATATGGACGGTGATGGGTTTGGATCCATCAATGCCATTGTCGATAGCCGATCAACCCCTAGGTCGGTACCCACTGAGGAGAATGCGAGCGAATCTCGGGACGCAACCCCGAGGCCCATCGCTCGAGCCGCCATCGTGGATAGTCAGTCGCAATATGTGACTGATCAACCACTTGAAGAAGCGCACTGTGCGACACCAACTCAAGACTCCGTAAACCGCCTGGTAGAGGAATCCCCTGGCTCTTCGGTTGGTCATGGAGTTGGTTCTGCAAACCCGCCAGTCCCAATCCAGTCCCAACCTCGTAACATGCCTACTCAAAATGGCAGCGTCCAAACACAGCCCACCACGCGAACCCGTCCCATATCGGTGGATGTGAATGGTGCGTCTGATATGCAGGATCTTCGGTGGTCGAGCAACGATACTACTCCACGAGGTGGCCAGGTTCAACCGCGTCCAATATCTCTTGATCCAGGTTTCCAAAATTCAGGGAGCCAATCAGGTATCCCTAGCAGTCTCCGCCGGACATTATCAAATGGAAGTGATTCCTCAAGCAGCTTCAAACGCGCTTCTCCACGTGGAGGCCCCCACTCCATGCGACGGACAATGAGAGCCGGTGCTGCTGGTGCTAAGGTTCAAGCCCAATCTCCAAGAGAACGCAACGAGTCTCCTCTTGAGCATCGACCTCTTTCATCCGGCTCCTCGAACGGCACAATGCGCAAGACTCTCCGGGGACCTTCTGGAGGTGAGCGATATTCGTTCTTCTCCACGAACAAGAAGGCACCACCGAGAGCGAAGTTCACCAAGCCGCCCCCTAAGTCGGCGCGCACATCTCGGCTCGCAAATTCGGATGGCGAGGATGAAGCCCGACCGCAGACCTTTACCAGTAGGTTCGTGGATTCCAGCGATGAAGATAATGAGCCTGGAAACAATAAGTTACGCCCTGTCCGCGGTATCCCCCGTCGACAAGGTGCCGATGACGGTGACTCCACAGAGTTGGAAGATAGTTCAGAAGAAGGCGCCCGGCAGCATGTACAGCCAACAACATCTTCATTCGGGTCAAGCGGAAAGAGCGCACCAAACATGTCTGGAATGGCAGCTGTGGCCAAACAACGTGGCATGTCACAGAGAGACCTTGAGGAGTTCATAATGGCGTCTCCCCGTGGTCGGAAGGCAGGACTTCTCACTCGACTTGGCATCAAGAAACCTAAGAACTCGGATCATGGAGCTCGCAAGCCTGAGATTGAGAGCCCCCTAGAGCAGTTGCCTCTAGAACACGATCAATTACACAGCGATGGCATGGTGAATGGAAACCGCGGTACCACAACTACCACAGTGTTTGCCGGGAATCCTCAGCTGACTCGCCCATCCAGGCTGGTGAAGAGAAACTCTAAGCGCCAGTCAACAGGACCAAATCCCTGGCCCCTCCAATCCGATGTCAGGGAAGAGCATCTCCAGCCAGTGGCGGAACAACCCCACAGCGCCCCGTATTCTCTTCTCCAAACGGAGAACCCTACGCTGCCAACAAAGAGCACCGGCGCAGCACATAATGGGGGCATCGTTGTCAATGGGAATGGCGCTCGTGGTGCTTCTCCGATTGCGGAGGAGCCCGAGGCACCCCGCAACGGACCAGATCCGAACAATGACACCACCTCTGAAATCACGAACCCTGATGACCATGGGCCTTCGGCGCGCGATGTCGTGATCGCTGGCTCGGGACGAAAGAAACGATTTCCTCTTCTTCGGAAGGCATTCGGTCTGCGCGGTTGATCATATCGCGGATTTGGATTGGCTTCTTTGAAATTTATTTTGAGTCAAGACGCTTGAACATATACCCATGTTTAACGTCCCAGTTCAAATGATTTTTAATTTCCTCTTTTCTTCCTCCTCTGTTCACCCTTTTCTGTGGGGGAAGACTTATAGCCTACGATGGCTGTTGTTGTCTTCCCTTCAAAAAAATCGATAATATCTTCGACGATATCTAATCTCTAATGACTGATATACGTGGACCCTTTGGTTTGCTTATTCTGGCTCGCCCTTTTCTTTCGTTCTCCTTTTATTTTGGCTGTGGCCTGTATTCCACTTTTCTCGCTCGCTTTGGGAAGTACTCTGACCTGCAACTGAGTATTATACTTTCCCTTTTACTCTTCTTCTTCTCCTTCTTTACTTCTATTTCTTTTTATTTTCCAGTGTGGCCCATTGGAGTTGCCCGCTTCCATGATACCCTCGTTCTTCCTTCCCACCCTGTATTATTGTCGTTCTTTAATATCTCAACCGTGATCCTTATTAGGACTCTGTGAGCTCTAAAATGAGATGGTGTATCTTTTTGGCCGTTTTCAGACGTGTTTTCCTTTCATAGATTTGGTCAACAAGGAACACAATATGATCTGCCCTAATATACTTCCAAGGTTCGTTATATTTTGAAGTCAAATCAGTAAACGTTGCGCTAGGAATAACAGTCTGTTTTGCTAGTCTTGTTAGAGGTCAAATAATTTATCTACCCAGCGACATAATGTTGGTTTATATCCCGGTTATATATAATCGACTACACATATCAAAATACGAATACTCCTGGACAAGTTTTTGCATTCGAAGCCCTGAAAAATGAACCAAACTCCTATAATGAATATTGCTAACTGCCATTTATAAGGATATCCCCGCTCTGCCTGTATCAAAAAGGTCTTTATCATCACGAGGCGCCGAGCATTCCCGTAGTTCATACTGGCCCTGTAAGAGTGCATCTCGAATAGCACGTTGGTGCTTTCTGAATTGAACAGTGCCCGTCTCCATTCCTGCCAACACATCAAAGTGAAACTGGCGGTGTTCATATTTCATCTGTTCGGCGAACGATAGCTGTTTTGCGACAGCTACATGGGCATAAATATAAGAGATTTGGCAAGCCAAGTGAAGCAACAACATAGCATCATCACTAGGACAATCTAGCCAACTCTCAATCAGTGCATCAAGGAAACCTGGTAGTGTTGGGAAGGACAGATTCCCGTGTGATGAATCCACTGTCAGTGGCACATCGTCAGAATGTGAGTCGCCTCTCAGAGGAAACTTCCACTGTTCAGCCGGAAGAAGAACAGTTATTGTCTGGCCGTTCGGAGAAACAAGTCGCTTTTGTGGGAGCTCCACCTTCGCGTTCCCAATTTTACGTGGCCCTGAATCAATAACCCATCCAGCCTTCACAAGCGATTCGGCTGCCTCGTCAAGGTCCGAGACAAGTAGATAGAGATTAAACATGAATGTGGGAACGCCATAATGGTGAAGAGTATCTTCGAACCAGATGACGTGGGGGACTTGATGCTCAGATAACACCTGACATGGCTTATATCTTCTCTCGGTGTCGGACTCTTGATGGGGCATGACGCAGATGAACCCCGCAACGGTGAGGTGCAGATATTGATTCAAGTGTGGTGGTTGTTTGGTGTAGGGAGCTGATGTTGTAGATTAATGACAAGAAGCGATATCGTCAAGTATCTAAAGGAAGGAGCTTCTCTCGTGACCGACACGGTACAAATAAAACCGGACACGTGACTTGAGGCATCAGTCAATTGCTCAAAGATAATTGAATTGAATGTTAGTTCTAGAAATCTATTTTTATTTTTAGTGTCATACTACTAATAATAGGAGTTAAGCAGAGACGATGTCGCTACTGAGTTGGAAACTAGATTGAAGCAGGGCATGATACCCGAAAACATCATGTGGTAGATATCCAATATCCAATATGTACATACAAGTCATCGATGTCCGCACAGATTGTTGAACTAGCGGATTTGGTCATTTTTAGCTAGATTTTTTTTATTTATATCTAATTTCCCGACCCCAGCGGGTGTTAGCTGCCTGGACTACTGTAAATATATATCCTCCCACTTTCGCCCATCATCTAGAAGGACCTCATCCTCTCCGTCTATCCGAACCCCAATCTGCTGGAGATACGATCGTACCTCTTGCAGGATCTCCCGAAGATTTTCATATTCCCCCTTCCAAGCCTTAAATCAAAACAAAAGAGAGAATGAAAGGCGGCGAGTGGGATGCGCCTTTATATATGTTGAGTGGCATGAGGTTATTAGCGTTCGCCTGGGCTTTGTAGTCACTCCACCGACTAGTAACTTTTCCCCAATAAATAAAAGAAGAGAAATATTGCAGGGAATTCAGAGAAGGGAAGAGTAATGTCCATTCTGTCAAGATAAAATAGACAGTCGTGAATAATTTTTGATTCATAGCAAATATTAAGCTTTTTCGAGAAATGCTCTAATCCCTCGTGAAACAGCCTATAAGCTGTTAGTATGAGTACCGAGATTTCCTGAATCAGATACAACAAACCCCTCTCCAGGTCATAGCCAGCTCCAATCCAAGCTTCCTGGCCACTGTACTTTCGGATGAATGCTTCAACGAACTCTTTGTTCGCATTTGGAACCTCAGCAGCTTTTGGAAGTTGGTCAGGGTGTTCAGCACAATAACCAAGAAGGAACAGAATATCTTGGGCATCGGTTCTCTTCTTAGCCTCACTGGCCCGACTGAGGATAGATCCACATTTTGCATTTAGAAGCAATGCCGGCTTTAGGACCTTCAAGTTTCCGACTGTGATCACTTCGGTCAATTCATCAAATGTTTCCCGGAACAATGCAGGGGGCGCGAGGATCTCAATCTCCACAGGTTCAGCAGCTTTATACCATGTATGGTATGTTCTTGCTTCAACTTCAAAGTCGTCAGAGTGCCGCAACAAATTTCTCACAGCAGGAGTTTGGCCCCTAAGAACAACAAAGTCGATATCCTGGGTTGCTCGCTCGGAGCCTAGCGCTGTACAAGCACTTCCACCAACAAGAGCATACGTTTCGTCACCGAGCGTGTTTCCAAGCGCTGTGAGAGCTTCACGAAGTGCTTCTGGGGCATGCGGGTTCGAGGAAGCCATAACCAAGAAAAGTATTGGTAGGTTGGTAGTCAAGTTTAGATGGCAAATATTTGTAGGTAATAATGGAATGGGTGGTCGTTTGAGATCATCTGATTTGCATTTCCACGGGTCTGCAATCCCCGGGTGCCTATACTACATGTACATGTAGGCAGTTGATATGCAGAAGCATGTCACAAAAATATCCTATGACCAGAGACTGCATTTTGGCTCTGAAGGTCTGTGGGCACACAATCTTGGGATGATTGTAGGCAGTATCTCAACCCGGGGCCCTTCTCACCCTTCTTTTGAGTCGTGCAATTGGAGAGGCAGCACTCACTCACTTCTTGGCCGGGCAGCACCTACCTGATTACTAGCCGCATATCGGCCAAACTTTGCGTAGTTAATTCTCAATATGCTACTAGCACCTCTGACATAAAAAAAGAGGGTCGGGTTCGGGGTGCAGGCGAGAGATGATTTATGCACCATGTATAGTTAACGTGAGATGAAGCGCGGAAGATATGACGTCAATATTTAGTGCCAGTGAACAAGACGCTTAAAAAGGTAAGATAAGCGACCGGTTTCCCGAGGTCTGCCTCCAACTCATTATGCCATTGTTAAGTGTAGTTATTAGTTGGGATGTTGAATCAGTATTTGGAAATAGCCTTCCGCCACTGAGAGCTAGTTGCTGACTTGCTAACACAAATTAAAAGGAGCATGCTTCAAGTTCAGCATATCTCTCTTTATTCATGATATAGAATCTTTAGAGATTCTATTTGCGATTTAATACGCATTGAGACATCTTTCGATAATATGGCTGATAGGTGTGGATCAAAATGGACGAAAGGCCGCTTGGCCTAATGGTTAAGGCACCCGACTCCTATTAATAGCGTCATCGGGAGATTGTGAGTTCGAATCTCATAGTGGTCGTTCTATTTTTTGCTTTCAAATACTATCTATTGTTACCGGTCGAGGACTATCTCTTTTTTTGAACATAAATAAATGAGTGAGGTACTGTTGAGGGCGAAAAGGGAAAAATAATAGACAATTATAGAGAGCCCTTGGGATATTTAAGCCGAAGTGAGACAATTGATATTTATACGGTCGGTCCTAATTGGGAAGGTCCAGACTGTCAACAAACGCCCATTATGGGAAAGAACTCGTTTAAATTCAAATTATCGATACAAAATAGAGCAAAAGTAGCCGTCAATAACATCTCATCTATTTATGTACAAGAAAAGCGCAGACGACATGTCGAAACCGAGCAATACTAACAACAACCAAAAGAAATTTTTACAGATTTCTTCTAACTCTTTCGCACAGAATTTCTTGTTCTCTTGATGTCTTGTCAGCCGCCTTTACAGCTGTGTCTTCTAATCCAAGTCCTCAATGAATCTCATGGCATATAACTCGGCGGCAGACCTTGAAGATGATCGAACGGATTCTCCCAGCTACCATTCTTCAGCCCAAGTAAAGCAGCATTCCTGATTCGAAAATAGTAATCCTCTTTAATCCTGAAAGACTTCTGCATTTCAGATTTTTGTTTAGAGTTGAGTTTGAAACCCCGAGCCTTCTCACATCAGGAACATTCCACTGTGCAATGGCCAACCGAAAAGATTCGCTCGGTACGATTAGAACAGCATCCGCAGTCTCGTGAACAGCAACCTCCTCTTCCAGCACAGTCTTCGCAAAGCACGCTATGAATGTACCACCTTGGATGTGAGCGCCAATAATCGATCCCTCGAGTCAACGGGCCATCCATGAACGAGGCCTTAATCTCCCACCAACGACGTGCTAACATCCAATATTCTTTTGAAAGATCCGAAATCTCCTTCTGTAAACGCTGGATGCGAGTCACCACATCACGAGTGATGGGTACCTCGAGGAGTCCTTGTATGTCCTCTCTCAAGGCCATCTCGTGTTGGGTGTTCTCTCGGAGTTCAAGTTCTTTGAGTAAAAGCCCCATCATGTCAGCATGATTTGTCTTATGATATAGCTCAAACCAGATATTCAATCGGTATTTTTGAAGCGAGGCGATATCCCCGGACCTTTCTAGGTCAAGCTCCCTTTGTAGTTGTTCCCCGAGCAAACACTCGACTCTCGTCATCTTCAATACTCTGATACACTGAAGCCAAAAAAGAGAGATGAACTTGGATAGGATGAATCGGCAAACCTGATTTTCCTTAGGCGAGTGCTGCTTCAAGTGTGTTGACTTTTGATGGGCGTATGTTGGATGTCGGGAGAAATGAATGGTGAGGTCAGGTCAGGTCATCTCCGCATTCCTGAAAGAATCACTTACCGGTGCAAACCTTAACTAATACAGACCAAGAATTGCGATACCGTCATCTGACTGAGCAATAGGACACAGTGGTCTATCAGTTCAACGGTTTTGGAAGCTATTCTATACACGAGCACAATTCCAAAACAACGGGAGCATGCTGAGATTGAAACCTACTCATCCACAAGATTGTTAACAAATTGGACAGGTATATTCGTTCAGTACAACTATAAAAATGAAGTCCAAACACCAGAAAACGCCTGCAAGACATAAGGGATCAATTATATGGTCCATTTCGGAAAGACATAGACATGCAGTATCATCAGCACTGATTTTGAAGCGTCATAGATTAATGAAAACCGGGGTATGGCGCAAAAGAACGACAAAAACAAGGCGCGCGCGCAAATGCAATCAAGCAATCCTGACAGATATCTACATGTACAGGCCGAAGGCGACAGCTAGCAACAGTGACACGACAGCCGCAGCCGACAGTTTCGGGGGCTGTAGCATCGCCGCACCCGAACCAATAGAACTGGTGGTGTACATGTACTCGAAGGTGATAGCCGACGAATTGAAACAATTGTCGCGAGTGACCGTCTCAACAGATGGATCACCATCTTCTGCGAACTCAATGTCCACGCACTAGAGACAAGTCAGTATATTGATTATCAGATCGGAAATAAGGGGGCTGGAACATACATTGAATAGCGCAGCACCGTGCTTGGCGGTCTCGACCAGCTGAATTGTCGCGTAGTCACCTGGGCTAACGCTAATATTGGCTGGCAGAGGAACCTGGGGCAGACACACGGTACCGGGGTAAGGGTTGTTGGTAGGGCCGACGATCTGGAAGGGCGAGACGACCGGGTGGCTCATGTTGGCGGGGATTTCGCCAAAGCCGAGATTGACATAGATAAGGGCAGTGGCGTGGCCAGGGAACCAGCCTGGCTGGAAGGCAAGAGCACCACCGCTGACGGGCCACTTGGTTCGGTTGGTCGACCTGGGCATGCCACCACCTTCAAAGAAAAAATCGAGTCAGTGGTTGGTACATAGGGACGAGTAGATAGGTCTTGCTTACAGGGATAAATCCACTCCATGCCATATGGGTAGATTAAAGAGCCATTCTTAGCATCGTAGGCAACACCGAGACCGTCAGCTTGCTCAACGGTACCGTTGGTGTGGAGGTTGTTTCCTCGATAGCCGGGGTAGGTGATGACGGTGTGAGCTTGCGCCAGGCCTAAGCACAGCAGGAGGATAACGGAAGTCCACCGCGATATGGATTGTGTAAAGCTCATGGTGAGATTGAGATACGACAGCGACAGTGCCAATTTGCAAGAGTTGAACAAGAATTAGGTATTCCAGTCGCTGAGCGAGACTCGAACTCAATTTCTCCGATCGCAGGATAAACGAGGCAGGTAGGAGAGGAGAGGCAACGATTACGGCAAAACGGACACCAAAATCATAGAAATTCCAAGACCAAGGCTAAGCCATGATTTTCGAGGGCTGAACGGTCCTTTTGAGGGGTACCGACCGTTCACTGGGGCGGACGAGTCAGAACCCAGGAGGGCAGATGTGACCGACACTGCAGGGCGAGGCATATGTGACTGGCTCTGGGTGGTGATGAAGAGCAGGGGTAGGCTGGGATCATCACAACCCGCTGCAAGTGCCATCACCTAAAGGGTGATACTGCATGATGATTTGCTGAGCGACCAGCGGTGGAAGCGCCGAGGGGGAGACGCTAACGTTGGAAACAACTTGGGCGCTTACAGAGTGGTGTGCATGTGCTGAGGAACAAGTTCTGAATTGTTGGACTTTTTATTTTCCTGCAAACTATTGCACGCATTCACATGAATATGTATCTCTATCTCACCCTAACCTTGAAATGTTAGTCTGTCTATACTCCGTACTCCCCGGGGACCACCGAGGCCCGTGGGCAGGTAATCCACTTAGTAAGCCCATTAGAGTCCCGCCAAGCCTTCCCCCGCATCTCCAAAAAAAAAAAAAAAGCTTCAAATCCAATATAATCCAATACATCAATAATCTATACAATTATATAATTATATCATATATAAAATATGCCCCACACATCCCACCCCTCTCGCCCAAAACGATCAACCCAAAAACGAACTCAAGTGACCGATGGCGACGGCTGGACGCACGTTGCAAGCGGCAGCAACGTGCGGCGCGTAATGCGCACTCGTCCGCGAGGCACGACTGCAGTCAAGGAATCCGAGTCCAGGATAAGCTCTAATCCTGACCAGCTCGAACCCACTCTGACTCCCGCAGAGGCACCGGGTCGGCTCACGCTGTCCGAGCTGCAGGCGCAGTTCCAGACTCACCGTGAGAGGTGGGAGAGCTCGGAGAGCTGGACTAAGCTGACGGGCGTTTTGGATGCACGGCTGAGGAAAGCGCAGGAACAAGCTTCTGCTCATTCCGCCCCGGCCCGCTGCCCTGTTGACGCTATTGTCTGTATTGGGCTTGGGAGCCCTAGTGGGTTCTTGCGTGATGGATGGGTTGATAGGCGCGCTGTGTCGCTTTATCAGCTTGCTGCGCTGGCGAGCATTAAGGATCAAGTTGCTTGTTCGTTTCCCGATCTTTTTGGACTTGGTTTTCGTGCTTTGGTTTTGCTTGGATATATTCTTCAGCTATATCTTGGATCTTTTTGCTATGCCTTGGATCTACATCTGATCTTGTTCATTACTTCGACCATCGTTGTTGTATACCCATTATATTCCACGCTAACCACATACCGGAACCATAGGCACTACATCCTCCAATCTCAAAGTCTACGCCCAAGACCCTGTCTTCAACAACTTAGACGAATCCCTCCTCGCAGCCCTAAATATAACAGTTATCAAACACCCAGAGGCCTTCTCGCACATCACGGCCAACACAATGCTTTTCTGCCCCGGCGCAGAACGCAAACACCTCGAATTGTTGCTGCCGTCAAAGCCGTGGCTGTTGTTCGGTGGCCCACTCGAGCATGCGGATTCTGGTGGTGTACTGCAAGGTTATGTGGATGGGTCTGAGTCGTATTGTTTGCCGGTGTTTGAAGCGCTTGAGCACGCCTTTTGGAATATGAGGCTATATTGGCTTGCGGATGTGGTGAGCGAGGAGTGATATATAAAAGTTTTTGGCATTTTGGGCATTTTGGTTTAGTATAGATGCATGGGGTTATAGACTAGGTATATAGGTATGCATGGGATTGGCGTTGGTGTTGTTCATTCTTGAGATTGAGTCAAATATCATGGTTCTTCCCATATAAATAGACTTGGAAGGTTGGAAGGAAAGTCGGTGCCTGCCTTTTTTTTGGAATAGAACTCGTCGCCCGCCTCAGTCTCCCCATCGCCTTAGGCTTTGATGAGTTCCTTCCTTTTTGGGCTATTCGTCACCCACCCCCATCGCCCTCACCCAGAAGGTAAATATAAATACCTGGGCCCTCCCATTTCTCTCTCTTCTTCTTTTTCCTTCTTCAACCACTCCAGGTCCACTCTGTGGTTCCTGTTGAGTATCATTTGATTTTTTTGACCGGCTGATCAGCTCCAATACATATTCAACATATGTCTATACAGTCCGATGAAAGGTTGTCCTGAGGACTCTGGCGGATATCCTATGGAAGCTCAGGCTAGACTGCGAGTGCACCAGGCATGTCTATGCAGGCTCCCAACTGGCAGCCTTTGCGATGACCTCTGCGGGTTATCCTGTACGTCTGGGCACTGTAGGGATTCGCCGGGGGAGTTGAATCAGCCTTAGAAGGTGCTCTGCTTTCATCTCCTTCGATCCAATTTTTGGGACCAATATTACAGAGACAGCTCTCTGTTGTCTGAAGATTTTTCTGAGGACACTTTCTTCAAGGTTCCACTTTCATTGTTGTATGTTGTCTTGTTCGTATGTCGTCTTATAACACCGTAGCAGCTAAGGGTACAAAATGATAATCACCAACGAATGAAGCAAGTGGATACATGTATGGTAGTTTTTATAGGTATTCCGAAACTGATGAATTGACATATTATTTACATAGAGCCCGAGCATAAGTAGTATATATAGCTACGGAAAGCAAGCATAAAAATCATCCCTGTGAATATCCCATGAAGACAAATATCCACCACAAAGATATTCAAGACCCTCATAAATGCAAAGGAAAGGAATGAGACCAAAGAAGATATGTAAGGTAAGATCAAGCATGCCCCGAAGACGAGCAGCAATGCAAAGTCTGCAAGCAAAGAAAGGACAGGAAAGATGATAAACCGCCAGACAGGGAACCCCGAAGATTTTGAATGGAAATGAAGATGAAATTTGAGGAAAAGTGCGAGGATGAGAGATGAGCAGCATCGGGGGTTCCGGTATCAGAAAGAAAAACGCCAGTGCAGAGGAAAAAGAAATAAGCAAATCAAGAGTAAGATAACAATACATATTCACATAAAACAAAATTTCATGATCATGATTCCATAATAGAGCCACGGCTGGATCAGACAGCACGTTACGAGGCAATCTTGCCACCGCAATCTGGGATCTTGAGACCCTTCTTGAGTTTGCGTCCGGGGTCCATCAGACCCCATTTATCCTCCCATTCCTTTCCAGGCGTGTTGAACTGGATTTTCCATGGTTCGTCGAAAGCCTCGAACCTGTAGAGAGTGTTAGTGATCTGAGCATAGGAGTTGACGAGCCTGAATAGACCGATGAACAACAAAACATACCAGAAATAATCCGTTCCATTTTCCAGCGCCGGACAGATCCAGTCAGCCATGAAAGTGTTCATATTCTCGATACTGGCGACAGAACCAGGCGTCTCGTCGTCACAGACCTTGCTATCACCGCAGTCCTTGCCGCCGTCACTGGGCCATCCAACCTCTGAGATGATCTGCTTCTTATTCGTGCCCTCGGTCAAGATGACATCGTGGCTCTGCCAGAAGTTCCATGTCCAGGCAACAGCCGCAGTGACGTTGACGCCAGCGAAGAAGGGATGGACGTTGGACATGACGACGTCCACTTCCTCGACTAGCTCCGCATTCCAATTATCACCGAGGTCGGAGGTGGCAATCGATAGATCCAGGTTGCGCTTCTTGACCTCGCTTGTGACATCTTTGATGTAGGAGATCAAGGTCGTTTGGGCAGATGCCTTGCTATCACCGGCGCGGAAGAGGGCTTCATTGCCGACAATGACACCCTTATAGATGGACGTGTCCTTGGTGTCATCGAGGAGCTTGTAAAGGTGTTTGATCTGTCGTTCGGTGGAGGTGATGTTGGAGTCAATCCATACGCCGAGCCAAAGTTTCATATCCTTCAACTCGAGACGATCGATCGCGTGAAGAACCATTTCAGTCTGATTGCAGTCCGTACCGTAAAGACGCACCGTATTAGTCAACTGCGACAAGACAGCCATGTCCCGGGTAACGTTATTCTGCGACGGAGGCCACTTCACACACTCCGGGTACTGCACGCCCCAGGGCGTGTAGTCCATCCCAGGGAAGACCTTGTGTAGATTCACGTTGCCCATCAGAGCCTTGATCTCCGAGGAATCCTTGTCGAGGTCTCCATGAGTCTTCGAATCACCCGTAGCAGTTTCGTCGTTGCCAGACGTTGACTTATCCTCCTTATGTCGACTGCCAAGTGTACCACCCACGGCACCACCGATAATCGCGCCCAGAATAATAACCGCAAGACCAATACCGACAATCCAGCCCATCTTCTTGCGCCCCTCCTGTCCATTATTTGGTTTTCTCGCTGACCCCCTCCCAGCACCGCCCTCCAACCCACCAGGAACAGAGTTATACGCGACATCAGCATTCTTTTCGCGACCAAGGAAGCCCTTCAGCATGCCACCACCCGCAGCGCCAGCTGCCGCGCCTGCCGCAGCAGGCCCCCGGTTGCGCGGGGGACCAAAGTCCTCATCCCCATCATCGGCGATATCATCGGGGTTGATATTCGACATCTCGCCATTACTGTACGCGGTCGAGTGACGATAATAAGGCCCGTCAGCGACACCAGAATACGGCACGGGGTATTGGTATGTGCTGTGTGCCGGATCGCTCAGATGCACCGAGGACTGACTGGGCGTCTGCATTGCAGGCGATGCGACCGGTCCGCCTCTCGCCATGTTCCATGCGTGGGCGTGTTCTGGATGAAACGAGTCTGCGCCTGCATAAGGTACGTAGGGTGTGTCTGAGCCTGTTGTGTTGTAATCGCGCTCTGCAGGGCCGGTGTATCCGTCATTTACGCCTCGAGATGCGTCGATGCCGCTCTGGCGACTGTGTGTATTTGCGATTCCTAGGGCGATTCCGCTGATGCCGCCGCCCGGTGAGGCGGGACCAAGGTTGTCCATTCCTGGTGTGATGGTGTGGTTGTCGCGGGAACCGTAGGAGTAGCCATGAGATGGAGGTGGTGGAGCGTCCATTTCTATGTCGTTTGAGGGCATTTTGGAGGCTAAGGTGGTCCAGTGCCAAGTTATGGACTGGACTTTGAAGAATAAAAGTTGAATGAGTTGAACCCGCGAACGGAGAAAAATGCAGAAAAAGTGCCAAGAACAGAAAATATTACGGATGCAGTGGAATTCGCTGAATTCGAAACTGAGACAAGGGGAATTTGGAATTCGAATGGGCTGAAAGATCAGACAATAAACAAGATTAAGACAAGACAGCCGAGTACAATAGGTTAGCGGATAAATAAGAGGCGTGGCCGGGACAACGGGAAAGCTTCATTTGGATGGAATCACCTTGGATTAGCTAAATCACCTGAATCACCTGGGGCACTTCGATCACTTCGATCACTGAAATCACTTAGATATTATGTCTATTATTGGTAACCATGAACATGGTTACTGTCCATAATTTCAGCATCCCAGGGTCCTTTCCCAGGGTCCTACCTATATAGTGGTCCACAGTGGGTTCGTGTCATTACTATTTTTATCTACACATGGCAACTGTCAATTGTAGATTTGGATTTCTCTATATAAAAGCACATTCATATATCTCATTCAACGTTAAAGTAAAAGTCGTGGTATCATCTGATATCCTAGATATCAATCGTATCCCTTGTCCAATTCCTCCTATTTTTGGAATTTTGATGTTTTCTCCCGCAAACCATCAACGCCCTCGCATACCTCCGCAAACGGTCAAAATAGTGAAACACAAGAACAAAACTAAAAAAGTAAGAAAATAGATATGAGCAAAAGAAAACCATCTAGCCTTGAACCTAAGTTCAACCTTCAACTTCCTCCGCACTCCGCTGCGCAGCATTATCCGCACCAGACTCTAGACGACGCCCGCGCTCTAGGAATCGTCGCTTGCCACGACGAGTATCAAAATGATCCGGGATATCACCCGAATCCTGGCCTGCAGCGAGCATGCTGCTTCGCATTTTATCGCGATAGGCATCCACTATTCGAAAACGATTAGCGGGGTCTCTCATTTTTGTCTCAGTTGTAGTCAGATTGTGCATGGGCACGTGTCGATGGGTTCCGGGGGAACAAAAGTAGATCAAGCAAAAAAGGGATAAGATACGATGAAAATAAGAAAAAAGTCAACACTTACATGACCGCTGCAAGAATAGCATCCGTCCCGCAAACACACGGCTCTGGCTCCAGCTCATACGGTAACCGAGATCATTTAGCATCAGTTCCTTATGATGTTTTCTGCGGGAGAGCTTCGGCACCTCGATCTCAGTATCGGCGTCCAGTGACGGTGCAGGCACAGTCGTGCGGCCGACAGTCGATGCTTCAGGATCATCTGCCTGCTCAGCATCATCACGGAAGAAACGCTTAGCGGGGACAACGCGGTTCTCATCGCGCATCTGGATGGGAAAATAAGTGCGCGGATATACTGCGTTTGACTCGCGGTAGGAGTCCGGGATCTCATCCATGTTGACCTTGTCAAGGACGACCTTGACGCGCACGCGGCAACCGCGCTGCGGGTCGTCGACTAGGATGAATTTGCGGCGTTTGCCATCTGGAAGGTGACTGAAGAGGTCATCGTTTGTTGGACCTTGCTCTTCGATGTCGTGGTCAGCTGAGTCCATGCGGGCAGAGGTTGCAATTGTATGGCGGCTGAGTGAGGTGAGGCTGTTGTCACGGAGGAGAGGGGGCATGGAGGGACCGCTGGAGCTACCGCCCGGGGTTAGGGTTGTTGGGGCGTCATGGAAGATGTGAGCGGGCCGCAGATCAGGGATTGAGGGCTGTGGAAGGCGAGTGTCCATGCTCCGATGGCCTGAGTAGTCTGTGCCTATGGGGAGGGGGACAAGAATTAGCCTACGCTGTACAACTGCATGTTTGACATGTCGGGGAAAGGAGCTTCCAAGGAAAGAAGAGCCAAAGCACAAGAATCGCGGCGTCAAATGATAAAACGGCGACAAAGAAGTGAAGTTGAACAGGGTATGAAATAAAACAAGAACAGCTGCGGACCAGATAGGGATACAAGAGAGACACATCTCATATAACCGTGAACACATCCTCATACACACATACACACACACACCATCAGAGCGGAGAAGGCACAAAACTCCCACATATACACATACAACCAGGACACGATCCGGTCCAACAATAATAAAAAGTCCCAAGGAGAAGATACATGAGTGATCCCGCTGCTCTTTGAAGAGAAAAGAAAAGAAGAAAAGAAAAGAAAAATATCGAACAAAGCACAAAGCACATCACATGTGGTGAAACATACCGCTAACTTCCTCATTAGGACTACCATCAGGTTGATGATGATGATGCATCTGCGGTGGACCCATCGACATGGGACCCAAACTTGGGCGGGGAACAGGAGCCGGCATAGCACTCATACCCGGACCAGGTGGACCGCTTGGACCAACGGGGCCTTGCTGCGCCATATGAGCAGACTGAGCGGGGACCGACTGTCTTCGATTAATCTTAGCCATACGACGGACACGTCTGCTACGCAGTCTCGGGTCCTGGTTGCTGTTGCGCCAGCTATCAACAGCACGCTGGATCAAACCACGCTTGCCCCTCAGAGCGGGATTCAGCTCGGCCAGCGCCCAGCCGACGGCATTGCATTCTGTTTCATAGACCAGCCGGTTCCCGCGGTATTGGTCCTTACTGCAACAGGCGCGCGGGTACACGCAGTTCTCCGTTTTGAATTCTTGCGTGAGCGTGTCCACGATAACGGATTCCACGTCACAACGGATGGTGTATTCCATTTTGACCCGGTCTCGGGAATATTCAAAGGCAATCCACTGCACGCCATTGCTGTCCTGTCGCACGACTAGCGGGGTCGTGGCTGGGATAGGGCCTGGTGCCGCGCTGGAAGTGGTGCCGCCCATTGGTGGGCTTGCATGTGGGTTGCTTGCAGACATTGCGTGGCTGTTAGTTGCCGTGAGAGGAGGGTTCAGCATTGTTTGCTGTGGAGTGGTGGGGTGCTGGGAGGAATCGAGTTTCATGATGGGGCTGCTAGACATGCCGGAGGTAGGGATGTGGGGGGATTGGTGTGGTGGCACCTGGGATGGAGCTTTCTGAGGGGGCATCATCAATGGCTGTGATGTAAGAGGGTGATGTTGCTGGGGTGAATGGTGTGCCCCATATGGTGAGGGCTGAACTGGGTTCATGGGCGAATATGGAGGATAGGCGAACATCTGCGGTGGCATCTGTGGCGACTGCGAGTACATGTTGCGCCCATGTTGTTCATGCGGTTGAGAAGCTACCGAGGCTGGTGAGCTTGATTGAGGGGTGTGGTAAATAGAGGGATAAGGTCTCTGCATTTGAGCGGTAGATGCCATGAGGTCAGGTGGCCCTAATTTGAAGATTAGTTGATGTCTTCTAGAAAAGGATGGCCAAAAGCGTTAAGAAAGCCAAGCACCATGTGCGTCATTTCTCAACGCTGAGAACTTCTCACTGCCAAAAAAAAAAAAAAAACAAGAACTGTGCTTACCACTAGAAGGGTAATGTGACGACGCTGGAGTCGTTGTATAGGGAGAATGGGTGGGGTAGTAGGACGATTCTTGGGGTGGCGGTCCGTAAGGATTATGATTGTGCAGGGCTCCGTTTCCTAATGGATGGGGCGGAGGGTATGTGGTAGGAATAGAAAGAGAGGGCTGAACAGGCGAGGCAGGGCCTTGCTTCTGTGGTCCTAGATTGGATCGAGGTTGTAATGCCTGAGAGTGTTGAGAGCCGGGACGACCAGAGTTGCCGTGTCGAAGCTGTAGCAGAAACACACATCAGTGACTGGGACTCCGATAGCCAGCCCCGAAAGGTTGCTAGAAAGATACGACAAGCAAGATTCAACCCAGAAAATGCACAGTGCTACAAGCCGAGAACGTGGACGTAGGAAAGAAAGAAAAGGAACTTGTAAACACAGCCAGAAGTGTCCAGGGTGACATCAGCGTATGACTCCTCCGGTCTGGCGTGGAAATTTGAATCTCGAAGGTATGCAGAATCTCATCATCATCAAGGTGAGGGGTTGGATTGGGCCACAGATCAATGGTAGTCCTCGAACAGGGATGGTCTTAGGTGCGTAACAAATAGTCCAGGGTATAGCCGGGATAGTCCGTCCAGGACTAAAGAATAGCATGGATCTGTGTAGCCTTGGTGTGTCCTTGATATCGCGAGTGGGGTGTTTTTTTTCCTTCCGAGGGGACAAAGCACGCAGAAGCTGGACCATGTAGATAGCACTCCCAAGCCGCTACATGGACTTTAGGCATTGCTTTTTTGCTCTCAATTGAAATCATTTCCTTTGTATGGTCGAAGTGAGGCTCTAGTCGGAGCAGGGCTTTGGTGGGTCCGGACGAAATGCATACAAATGGGAGCTCCATAAGTCATGACCAGCGCCATATTGATATCGGGTTCAATAGCTTCCATCCTGAGTTGGTGGCCGTATTCCGGAGCATTGGTAATGCTAATCCTGCACAAGATCGAGGGTAAAGGAGAAATAAGTCGAGAGAGGAAATCCAAAGGTATGATAGACATCCAGGTGGGCGAGAAGAGGCAACCCCACTGGATATAGAGCTTCCCGGTAACCACATATAGAACTCAAGAAAGATAGGAATGATATTGAATAGGAAACATCTCACAGAATCTATAAGATAGGAAACTCGAAAGGAAAAAAAAAAAAAGATCAGGTACTGCGCAATATGAAATGATACTCACGGGATCATCAACAGAATCTTCCTTGTACTTCGTCGTTGGAGTACCAAGGTCGGGCTGTACCATGCCAGTCATGAACGACGTCTCTCACGGCCCAGGACAGAATCCAGAACTTGTAAAGAGTACACAAGATTGAGAAAGAAAGAACTGGGATGGGGGTTTCTTTTTGGGAGAAAGAGAAGGTAAAAATAAAAAAACAAAAAAAGGTAAGGTAGACCACGAGGGCGATCCCGAACTGAGGCTAAACAAGAAGCTGCGCGACACACTAAGTGACTGGGGTTCAGGGGGCCGTGTCAATGTGAAGGCAAGTGGAGGGTCCAGGG